GAGAATAGCCTATGCCTGATTCCGTGATCTGTAGCCTCCAGAATCGAAAGAAAATGGTATTTCATGAAAATCGCCCAAAATCTGTGATGGTACCACTTTGCAATCTGCCAAAAATTGACACGGAATAAATCCGCCCAAATCGATGCCTAATGGACTTAATCATCATTGAAGAATAGTCTCAGGGCGAATCCGTGACTTGTAGCCTTCAAAATTCAAAGAAAATGGCCTTGCGACGCTAAAAAAATTACGAAAATGCCATCCGAAAATAAATGGGCCCAAATCGGTGCTTAATGGACTTATCATCCGTGGAGAATAGGATCAATAGACTTCATTATCGGTGGAGAATAGCCTATGCCTGATTCCGTGATCTGTAGCCTCCAGAATCGAAAGAAAATGGTATTTCATGAAAATCGCCTAAAATCTGTGATGGTACCCCTTTGCAATCTGCCAAAAATTAACCCGGAATAAATCCGCCTAAATCGGTGCTTAATGGACTTAATCATCGTTGAAGAATAGTCTCAGGCCGAATCCGTGACCTGTAGCCTTCAAAATCCATAGAAAATGGCCTTTCGACGCCCATAAAATTACGAAAATGCCATCCGAAAATAAATGGGCCCAAATCGGTGCTTAAATGGACTTATCATCCGTGGAGAAATAGGATCAATAGACTTCATTATCGGTGGAGAATAGCCTATGCCTGATTCCGTGATCTGTAGCCTCCAGAATCGAAAGAAAATGGTATTTCATGAAAATCGCCCAAAATCTGTGATGGTACCCCTTTGCAATCTGCCAAAAATTGACACGGAATAAATCCGCCCAAATCGATGCCTAATGGACTTAATCATCATTGAAGAATAGTCTCAGGGCGAATCCGTGACTTGTAGCCTTCAAAATCCAAAGAAAATGGCCTTGCGACGCTCAAAAAATTACGAAAATGCCATCCGAAAATAAATGGGCCCAAATCGGTGCTTAATGGACTTATCATCCGTGGAGAATAGGATCAATAGACTTCATTATCGGTGGAGAATAGCCTATGCCTGATTCCGTGATCTGTAGCCTCCAGAATCGAAAGAAAATGGTATTTCATGAAAATCGCCCAAAATCTGTGATGGTACCCCTTTGCAATCTGCCAAAAATTGAAACGGAATAAATCCGCCCAAATCGATGCCTAATGGACTTAATCATCATTGAAGAATAGTCTCAGGGCGAATCCGTGACCTGTAGCCTTCAAAATCCAAAAAAAATGGGCTTTCGACGCCCATAAAATTACGAAAATGTCATCCGAAAATAAATGGGCCCAAATCGGTGCTTAAATGGACTTATCATCCGTGGAGAATAGGATCAATAGACTTCATTATCGGTGGAGAATAGCCTATGCCTGATTCCGTGATCTGTAGCCTCCAGAATCGAAAGAAAATGGTATTTCATGAAAATCGCCCAAAATCTGTGATGGTACCACTTTGCAATCTGCCAAAAATTGACACGGAATAAATCCGCCCAAATCGATGCCTAATGGACTTAATCATCATTGAAGAATAGTCTCAGGGCGAATCCGTGACTTGTAGCCTTCAAAATTCAAAGAAAATGGCCTTGCGACGCTAAAAAAATTACGAAAATGCCATCCGAAAATAAATGGGCCCAAATCGGTGCTTAATGGACTTATCATCCGTGGAGAATAGGATCAATAGACTTCATTATCGGTGGAGAATAGCCTATGCCTGATTCCGTGATCTGTAGCCTCCAGAATCGAAAGAAAATGGTATTTCATGAAAATCGCCTAAAATCTGTGATGGTACCCCTTTGCAATCTGCCAAAAATTGACACGGAATAAATCCGCCCAAATCGATGCCTAATGGACTTAATCATCATTGAAGAATAGTCTCAGGGCGAATCCGTGACTTGTAGCCTTCAAAATCCGAAGAAAATGGCCTTGCGACGCTAAAAAAATTACGAAAATGCCATCCGAAAATAAATGGGCCCAAATTGGTGCTTAATGGACTTATCATCCGTGGAGAATAGGATCAATAGACTTCATTATCGGTGGAGAATAGCCTATGCCTGATTCCGTGATCTGTAGCCTCCAGAATCGAAAGAAAATGGTATTTCATGAAAATCGCCCAAAATCTGTGATGGTACCCCTTTGCAATCTGCCAAAAATTGACACGGAATAAATCCGCCCAAATCGATGCCTAATGGACTTAATCATCATTGAAGAATAGTCTCAGGGCGAATCCCTGACTTGTAGCCTTCAAAATCCAAAAAAATAGCCTTTCGACGCCCAAAAAATTAAGAAAATGTCATTCGATAATAAATGGGCCAAAATTGGTGCTTATTGGACTTATCATCCGTGGTGAATAGGATCAATAGACTTCATTATCGTTGGAGAATAGCCTCGGCCTGATTCCGTGATATGTAGCCTCCAGAATCGAAAGAAAATGTCACTTCGGGAAAATCACCCCAAATCTGTGATGGTACCCCTTCGCAATCTGCCAAATATTGACCCGGAATAAATCCGCCAAAATCGGTGCATAATGGACTTAATCATCGTTGAAGAGTAGTCTCAGGCCGAATCCGTGACCTGTAGCCTTCAAAATCCAAAGAAAATTACCTTTCGACGCACATAAAATTACGAAAATGTCATCCGATAATAAATTGGCCCAAATCAGTGCTTAATGGACTTATCATCCTTGGAGAATAGGATTAATAGACTTCATTATCGGTGGAGAATAGCTTCGGCCTGATTCCGTGATCTGTAGCCTCCAGAATCGAAAGAAAATGGCATTTCGGGAAAATCGACATAAATCTGTGATGGTACCCCTTTGCAATCTGCCAAAAATTGACCCGGAATAAATCCGCCTAATCCGTGCTTAATGGACTTAATCATCGTTGAAGAATAGTCTCAGGCCGAATCCGTGACCTGTAGCCTTCAAAATCCATAGAAAATGGGCTTTCTACGCCCACAAAATTACGAAAATGTCATCCGATAATAAATTGGCCCAAATCGGTGCTTAATGGACTTATCATTCGTGGAGAATAGGAACAATAAACTTCATTATCGATGGAGAATAGCCTCGGCCTGATTCCGTTATCTGTAGCCTCAAGAATCGAAAGAAAATGGCATTTCAGGAAAATCGCCCAAAATCTGTGATGGTACCGATTTGCAATCTGCCAAAAATTGACCCGTAATAAATACGCCCAAATCGGTGTTTAATGGACTTAACCATCGTTGAAGAAAAGTCTCAGGCCGAATCCGTGACCTGTAGCCTTCAAAATCCAAAGAAAATGGCCTTTCGACGCCCACAAAATTACGAAAATGCCATCTGATAATAAGTTGGCCCAAATCAGTGCTTAATGGACTTATCATCCATGGAGAATAGGATCAATAGACTTCATTATCGGTGGAGAATAGCCTCGGCCTGATTCCGTGATCTGTAGCCTCCAGAATCGAAAGAAAATGGCATTTCGGGAAAATCGCCCAAAATATATGATGGTACCCCTTTGCAATATGCCAAAATTTGACCCGGAATAAATCCGCCCAAATCGGTGCTTAATGGACTTAATCATCATTGAAGAATAGTCACAGGGCGAATCCGTGACCTGTAGCCTTCAAAATCCAAAGAAAATGGCTTTTCGACGCCCAAAAAATTACGAAAATGCCATCCGAAAATAAATCTGCCCAAATCGGTGCTTAATAGACTTATCATCGGTGGAGAATAGGATCAATAGACTTCATTATCGGTGGAGAATAGCCTCGGCCTAATTCCTTGATCTGTAGCATCCAAAATCGAAAAAATGGCATTTCGGGAAAATCGCCCACAATCTGTGATGGTACCCATTTGCAATCTGCCAAAAATTGACCCGGAATAAATCCGCCCAAATCGGTGCTTAATGGACTTAATCATCGTTGAAGAATAGTCTCAGGCAGAATCCGTGACCTGTAGCTTTCAAAATCCAAAGAAAATGGCCTTTCGATGCCCAGAAAATTACGAAAATGCCATCCGATAATAAATTGGCCCAAATCGGTGCTTAATGGACTTATCATCCGTGGAGAATAGGATCAATAGACTTCATTATCGGTGAAGAATAGCCTCGGCCTGATTCCGTGATCTGTAGCCTCCAGAATCGAAAGAAAATGGCATTTCGGAAAAATCGCCCAAAATCTGTGATGGTACCCCTTTGCAATCTGCCAAAAATTGACCCGGAATAACTCCTCCTAAATCGGTGCGTAATGGACTTAATCATCGTTGAAGAATAGCCTCAGGCTGAATCCGTGATCTGTAGCCTTAGAAATCCAAAAAAAATGGCCTTTCGCCGCCCAAAAATTACCAAAATGTCATTCGAAAATAAATTGGCTCAAATCGGTGCTTCATGGACTTATCATCCGTGGAGAATAGGATCAATAGACTTCATTATCGGTCGAGAATAGCCTCGGTTTGATTCCGTGATCTGCTGCCTCCAGAATCGAAAGAAAATGACATTTTGGAAAAATCGCCCGAAATATGTGATGGTACCCCTTTGGAATCTGCCAAAAATTGACCCGGAATAAATTCACCCAAATCGGTGCTTAGGGACTTAATCATCATTGAAGAATAGCCTCAGACCGAATCCGTGATCTATAGCCTTCAAAATTCAAAGAAAATGGTCTTTCGACATCCAAAAAAAATTACAAAAATGTTATCCGAAAATAAATTGGCCCAAATCGATGCTTAATGAACTTATCATTCGTGAAGAATAGGATCAATAGACTTTGTTATCGGTGGAGAATAGACTCGGCCTGATTCCGTGATTTGCAGCCTATAGAATCGAAAGAAAATGGTATTTTGAAAAAATCGCCCGAAATCTGTAATGGTAACCCTTTAAAATCTGTAAAAAATTGACCCGAAATAAATCCGCCCAAATCGATGCTTAATGGACTTAATCATCGTTGAAGAATTGCCTCAGATCGAATCCGTGATCTGTAGCATACACCTTGGTGACATCGAGACGTGGAGTAGGGATCAGGTGTCTAAAAATATATCACAGTGTATGTCATTTCGTAAATTATGATTACGATTATATCTTCGTTGTACCATATTTTCTTTTATGGTTAAATCAAATATTATTAGGCACCAAACCAACTTCCTTTTGAACCAAGTACAATCATCAAAGGAGAGGACAGCTCCACAAGAGCAGTCCCTAAAGAGGAATGAAAACAAAATCCAATACATGTATTTAACAAACAAATAAACAAGCAAAACTATTTAAGTATTCTTCACCATCCCAACTCCCAACGTATTAAGGCTCATCTGAAGCTCCTGGTTGCTCATTGCTTTGCCTCAAACTACACTCTGCATACCTGGACAGGGCACCGAACTGGCTTCAATCTGATATATATATTTCTTCCGCCTGCGGTTTCACGTTTAGAGTATGGTACAACATGAGTTGGTTTTCTTGGCCTGCTTGTAGAACATCTGCCCATATCGAAGAGAGAAGGATATAATATGTCAGGAACCTACTATCGCGATAGGCAATAAGTATATGCAAGAAGCTAATTCGACATTCAACTGAGACGAGAGGGCACATCAGTTTCCTGGTTTCCCATGAAATGTTGTATGCCTTGAAAAGTTAACACTAAAGACCAAGTTTTGGGTTTGTTATGTGTGAAGGTTTATATGACTGAAAAGCATATGGGATGCAGTTTACTAGGTACATGTTTACCTGAGATGCAGCACTGAGATCTGAACTTTTTTCAACTAAACTGTCCAGCTTTTCACCTCGGGCGAGGACACTGTCGATTGTTTTGTGCTGTAACGAAAACAACAATGATATGAACTATTTAAGAGAGCACGGATAAGCAGGTATGTAACAAATTCAGTTGCGATTCCACATAGAGGAGTTCAGAAATAAATGCAGGCCGCTCCTAGGAAAAGCAGAAGATGATATGTTGCTTAGTTGCATAATAAGATCGGAAGAGGGATGCAAATTTATTTGAAAGGCATATCTGAACAAAATCACTGTATCAGGAGGAGAAGCCAAGCCCCTAAATGGAACCACATTGATGCCATCTTACAGAGAAGCTTTGGACACATTCTCTACCCGTAGGGGAACTCAGTTTCATCTACCAGAGAAAACAACTACAAACCGGCCCAGCTAGTACTTCCATCCCAAGTAGGTAGAACTGTAGAAGAGAAAGTAGAACCTATGCAACTCACTTAACACTCCTCCAGGAGACCAGGACACAACTAAAATCCACTCACCAAATCATCTCCGAGCAATTAATATGCAATAACCTCTAAAATGCAGGAATAAGGATATAAACCTCCCACCAGCAGGCAAGTTAGAATACAATAGTTGCAACTTGCAGGCCACAGGGCATTTTGTTTAGACGAACACTTATGATACCACAACAAGGAAGAGGAAAGAAATTTAGGATGGGGATAGGAGTGCACTCACTAGTACAATTTTCGTCTCATCCAAGTCCCTCTGAATTTTCAACAACTTGTCAGCCTCAGCAGGATCCTGAAATTATCCATATATCATGCAAGAAACAAGAGAAGTCAGACATTCCTACAACAAATTCCACATATCAGTGAAGCCATAAGCATGCTTCAGAGGCTCAAAAGTACAGTACAATGTAAAGAACAACACTTATTGAGTCTGGGAAGAAGGTACAGTTACCTGGAACCTAACCAAAGCGTCATTCAAGTATTGCCAAGTCTCGGTGCTATCTGTCTGTGCTGTCCTCCATGACTCGCCGAAATTCTTTTGATACTCATCAACCACCTTAAAACAAGTAAATTTATCGTGTTATAGTGCAACCACAAACTAAAGAGTGCGTCAACTACACGACACCACATAAAAGTTTAAGAGCCAAACACAATCACCCACCTTCCTACGTAGGATGGTGAGAAGAAACTAGAAAGAGACAATCGCGTGACAAACCTAGCCAACAAAATTAATAAAATTCATAATCTTTTCAAAGCAAATCTAAGGGTGCTTGAGACAGATCCACACGAATGCTAACCACACAATACTTTACACCCGAGGGAAGACCTAATTTTGCCATAAAAACCAGGCAGCATGTCGCATCTCTCAACTAGAACTATAAAAGAGACACAGAACCTGAGATAACTAATTGGTCTCCAACTCTGCCTCTGCCACAGAAATGGTAATGTTAATATACCTGGTTAAGAAGGGAAAATGAACTACGAACGGGATAGTGATCATCCATGAATCCCACAGCACAAAGTCCATTCCTGTTGTATGCGTGGACCTTATACTCTGCAACCAACCAAATAACTCTTTACCAAACGCAAGGATAAGAAAGAAGGCCAATTTCATCTAAGAAACAACCGTGCAAGATCATAATTGGGCAGAATTAACCCATAGAAGCGTCGCATCTATAAATTCCCTTGGATTAAGAAATCTACAAACACCTCAACCAGTTCATAAATTCGAAGCTCTATCATAATCCCGCACAGGAAAAATAATCCGACGAGTTTAAATAAATATCAATCGAATCCCGTGTCTCCCGAAGGATCATAGTACGGGCGTTCATCTAACATGGGCGAAGCATTAAAGGAGACGGAAAGAGCTAAAACCACAGGTAAGGACATTGGCTTGATCACAACCAATCCTCAAATTTAACCTCATCAGCGACACCGATCCTTGCGATCAAAATTGAAAACCAAAAACCTAAAACTGAAATTCGCAAAAAAAGTGAGGAGACGATACACAGCAAAGGACGCTGAGTAGGAGATTCGAGATCCTACCTTCGTGCTGAACGGACTGACGCTGGCCGGACGGGGTGCGCTTGGCGACGGTCCGGCCGACGAAGACGATGAATTGCCTGATGCTGGGCCTCTGGAAGTATCCAAAATGGGTGACGTCGGAGGCGTTCGCTAAGATGATCGGATCCGACGAATCCGAGTCGCACTTCAACACCAAAAGCGCCGTGATCTTCATCTCTCCCTCCGCCGGCGTTGTTGGTCTCCGAAGGTTGATGATCCCCTCCTCCCTTTTACTTCCTCTCTCTAGAAATCAAACAACAGAAACTTCGCGTTCCTCTCTCTAGAGCATTTCGTCAAATTTCTGTTGCCTTTCCTTCTCGTTTTTCGTCCAACGACGGTCGGTTTGTTTCCATTTCCTTCTATTTGAGAGTTGAGCGGGAGGGATCAGGTGCGGCCGAATCTAGCCTTGCCACTTGCCAGTGCTGCTTAGCTGGATGGCTCTGATTGGCGGAACTGCGAATAATATGTTTATTCTTTAATCTTTCTCGTCAAACCAAGCAAGGCCTACGACAGTGCCCTATGGGCCCAGACCAATTGGTGCGGTGGGCCAACAGAATTTATACCCACTCTCATCTTCATTAGTATAATTAGTAAATACTCCGTTTAATACACGTATATGTAGGGGTGGGTACGTGGGTGGTTAATCCGCGGATTGATATCGATCCACCTACAAATAACCCGACCTGCACGTAGTGGGTGATTGATATGGGTGGATTGTAGATTGGTAAATCTCCCAACGGCACTTATGTGGGTGGATTGCGGGTCACCCATATGACCCACATCCTATTTTTACATGAAAAAATGTTGTTTCTTATAGTATCGAATATTCATCATATTTTCCAACTGCACTACAGTCTGACCATATACTTCAAAAGGTGAAGAATAAATAATTGTTTTGACTACTTTTATTGGTCATTGTGCTGTGCAATATCCATTAGATATTGGATATTGGTATGCATATTATTGTTAATAATCATTAAATATTGGGATGCAAACTATAAATTATTAATTGTATCAAAATCACAAATTATTGATACAGTCTTACTAATTTTACTATGAACTTATTATAAATGGTAGTCAACTTTCTTAATAGCTAGTTGGAGAATTGCTTTTGGGGGTTGACCCACGACCCAACTGCACTCATCCGCCACCCACCCAACCCAACCCGCAGAAGTATGTGAGTGGATTGCGGGTCACAATTATTTCAACCCGCTAGTAAGCTGGTGGGTCAATTTGAGACCAAAATCCACCCAACCCGCCCATTGCCCACCCCTACGCATATGTACTCGTACATATTTTATCCGTTTAAAACTTCCGTATCCGTATTATTGTCAAGCTGTTTCATTTTTCCCTTTCATTTGATGGCTCCCATACTAAACACGTATGAAACCCGTATAATACGTTTATTATCCGTATTTTATGAATTAAATTATTAACTTTACTATTATTTATATATTTATTTATTTTTAAAACGATTAATTTTATATCTTTATGACTATTAACGTACTATGAAACGTAACTATGGCTTAGAGATGAAGTATAATACCCATACGTATTTTTTACGTAACTTTCCCGTACCGTATTTTACTAACTATGTTCATTAGAACTAATGGTGTTAATTTATACCCACTTCCGTCTTCATAGAATGAAATGAGAGGCCACATGGATAACGTCAAGATCCAACTCATATAATTAGTATTCACTTAATCAATTCCACAATCAAACCAATTAGTATTCACCTATAAAAAAATTCAACTAGTATTCAAGATTTGTTGACTGATACCCACCATGAAATCAATTATTATTCCACATTCACGAACTAATATCCAAACAACACAAAATAGTATCCATGCATCACATAACTAGTATTCAGCAAATCAATTGTGAACTAATATCTAAAATCAACTAGTATTCAAGGTTCCCTAAATGATATCCAACATGAAACAATAGGTAATCCACATTCACGAACTGATATCCATACAACACAGAAGAGTATCCATACCGTGGGAGACCTAGTATTCAACCAAACAATTACGAACTAATATCCACACTCAAAACAACTAGTGTTCACGTTTGCTAAATAATATCCAATATGAAAACAATATGTGTTCCACATTCACGAAGAGAGAGAAGCAGGAGTGAGAGGGGATGGGTGAGTGGGTAGCATTAAATACTCTCTTCCCAATAATAAGAACATTATTCTAATTCGTTATGATTCACATATTCGAACCAAACCGAGTGAAACCGGACTAAATTGACGACCCATTAACCCTTCGTTAACCCGTTCGACCAGATCAACCGGCTAAACCAGATTGACAATACTATTGTCTCATCTTCATTTTCAGATCGAGAGAAGCGTCTTTGAAACTATAGGGGTTCTGTCACGACCCGGAATGTCGTGACCGTGTTGATCGTCTGAAAAACGTTGCCATCTGATTGTCTTGCCACAAGAGGGATAAAGGGGGCGACCTTAGCGATAAATCGTTGTCTGCCTGTGCATCGTTCTGGTCGAGTCAGGATGTGGCTATGACGGGGATCGTTGCAAGCGAAGGCAGTACTGGTCGGAGGCTATTGTCGTCTCCCTAATGAGCCCAAGGCAGGGCTAAACCAGTTGGCATCCGTATGCGGAGAGGCTGGTCTTGAGAAATGAGTGCACCACCCGCACGAGCTTCGGAAGTCTATGTCCGTGACAAGTGGTATCAGAGTCTGGTTAGGCTGAAGAGCCTAGTTCCTCTCTCAGTACGGCGTAGGTCAAGTATGGACCGACCCTATGCTAGAATGAGAGGCGGTACTGGGTGTGCATCAGGCTGTCCGGACGCAGATACACATGTGTTGCGTCGTTGTGGTAGACCTCGACAGGTTGGAGAGAAACAACGGTTGAGAATGTCGTTCAACCGAGGAATTAACACTAGCAAGAGCGTAAGGTGAAGGTCGATTGAGGTACAAACGCTAAGAGAAGCGTGGGGTGAAGGTCGACTGAGGTACTAGCACAACAGAAGCGAAGAGTGAAGGTTGATGTCGAGGGGCGAAGCGGTATGTGCGAGTGGCACAGCAGGCTAGCGCGAGAGATGCGATCGGAGCCTGTCCATTAGAGGATGGTATCGTATGCGAAGGCTCACAATCGGTTCGAGTGTTGCAATACATGATGCGGAGAGAAGTATTCTTCACCAGCATGAGGACGTGCTGCATTATGAGTGGTGGAGAATGTCACAACCCGGAATGTCGTGACCGTGTTGATCGTCTGAAGAACGCTGCCATCTGGTTGTCTTGCCACAAGAGGGGTAAAGGGGACGACATTATCGATAAGGCGTTGTCTGCCTGTGCATCGTTCTGGCCGAGTTAGGATGTGACTATGACGGAGATCGTTGCAAGCGAAGACACAACTGGTCGGAGACTATTGCCATCTCCCTGATGAGCTCAAGGCAGGGCGAAACCAGTTGGCATGAGTATGCGAAAAGGCTGATCTTAAGAAATGAGTGCATTTCAAGACGACTTCAAAAGTCTATGTACGTGACAGTTCCCCTCTCCGTTGCAGCCATGACAGCAGCTAGTTTGATTTTCCGCTTCTCCTTCTCGCTTTTTCCCCCTTCTGCCCAATTAAAGGCAAAAATGTGAGCCTCCTACAGTCAAGCTCCATCAATTTTTCACATTTTTTTTCAAAAACTGTAGTGCAAAAGGAAACACAATTGGAGAAAACGTCCTTTCACTGAAATTAGTTTCCTAATTAGAAATGTTTGATTATGGTTGCCAATTCTCATTTACAGCGGGGAGGAAACCACAAGTCATTGTGAGAGAGAAACATGATTTCGGAGTCTGTTCGTTTAAGAACCCCAATTGTGTCCCGCAGTGAGAAAGCAGAGCAACGCCACGGCAACGGCGACGGCGGGGGCTGTCGATTGGAGTCCGGCAGCTGCAGAAGAAGATGAAGTGGATGCTTCCTGCTTCTGCTTCGAAGGAGGGTCTTTCGGTTTGGCTACTTCGGGCAACGGTGAGTCGACGACATCTTGAACGGTGAGAGCTGGTTTTGGAGGATCTGCTGGTGCTGCGCGAGTTTCGTTCAAGAGACTTCCAGGCCTGGCCGGGAGGATGATATAGCTGCGGTTGATATCTGAGCATGGGTTTCCTGGATCCATTCAAAACATATTAGACCGCGCGATGGTGGTGTGTTAGTATGTGGTATAAGATTCATTATTGAAAACCTACGGCGTGCGGGCAGATGCCAGAGTATCAGAGAGAGACACTTACTTTGGTATCTGCTCGCGGTCTTTGGGTACTCTGTGACGAACCCGTCGACTCCGACCGTGTGCGTGTACGTCGCGATCTCGACCGTCGGGTCGGCGAAGTAATCGAACGCTAGCGTGATGTACTCGTTGTTGAGGGTGGAGACGAAGACCGTCAGGTTCGCGCTATGCAATGTCTCGACGATCGGGGTTTCCACCGTCGTGAAGCCCTGCGGGTTGGTGGGGAGGATGGAGTATCTCGTCAAGGTGACCCCATCGGCATTCTTCTTGATTTCCTCTACGGCGGCCTTGTTCACGGAGCTGATTTCTTCCTTGATGGAGAGAATCCTTTTGTAGGATGGGAAGTTCTTGAATTTGGCCAGCACGGACGTGTCGTCGGATTGAATGAAGACCTGCGGACCGGACTTCTTGTCGTACTGTGCCTTGGTTAAGGCCGCGGTGACCGTGGTGACGAGATCTAGACCTTTCGACGCAAGGTATGGCGCATTCTGCAGTAAGAATTGGCCGAAATCGTAAAATCGTAAGATTTTGAATGCTACACACAAAAAAAAAAAGACTTATCATAATGTGGTGAACTTACATCCAGGCTGATCAGAATGCCGGTAACAGATTTCGATCGGGCGAACTCCAAGAACTGAGCAAGGGTTACAAACTTGCCCTTGTTTCGGAACAGAGGGTTTCTCTTCAGGCCTGTGCTTTTCTCGTAAGGGGTCGACAATTGAGCTGTGACAAACGCAAAGAATGGATCATTTATGGTTAGTTTAGAAAAGCTCGAGACTAATGAACAATGTCAATGGCTTTTTTTTTTTTTACGCTGTAACGTCTGAATCTCGTCCCACGACAAGGCGAAAGAGAAGATGCCCGATTCCTCTTGGATTTCTTTGACATCGGTGATGCGATCCACGAAGATGGTTGCTGCGGTTGTGCTTGCAGTGAGGTCTGGAGAAATCATACAGAAAGCGACTCCATCTTGCGACATTTGAACGCTGCAATCGATTACATCCGCACCATCGTCCACCGCTCGCTTGTACGCGAGGTCGGTGCTCGGAGCGTAGACTCCGTAGGCTCCTCCTCGTGTTATGATCAGAGGTTGGCCTGCCATGGCGATGAGATGTGTATATATGGTTGGTTCAGTTTTTTTTCTTTTCTTGCAGAATTGTGTGCATAATTGAGCTATTTGATTTTTGGGTATGGTTAGGTTACAGGGGAGGAGATATCTCTCACCTTGTTTCGACCGGTTCTCGCGTAACGGTCCAAAACACACTGTGTCACGTTCCAAAAAAAAATGTTCAAAATTTATATGTGAGGAGGTCTACTCGTGCGCGTTCCTAATCCGAATGTCTTTTCGGATTATGCACACGCTTGCGCGAGTAGACCCAAATGTGACAAAAAAAAATTAATGAAAACAATGGATAAATTGACATAATGTAGATACAGGGGGATCAGTCTTACTGATGGCATCCGTCGCGGTCGGCGGGAAGTCGGTGATAAGTCCGTCGACGGAGAACTGGCCGTTGCTGATGAAGTTGAGATACTCTGCCATCGGATCGTAGCTGTAGTTGTAGACGAGCACATTGTCATTTGCGAAGCCGGAAGCGTAAACCTCGAGACCAAGTTTATGAGCGTCGGTCACCAGAGTCGTCGGCTGTGCGACCAAGTAGTTGGATTTGTCGACCGGCCAAATGTAGTCCTTCGGGACGACGATTCCGGCCACGATCGGCTTCAACGCGGCCAGGTCCGACGCGATCGAACCGTACGTCTTTTTGGTCGTGGGCTCGACGGCGTCCTTGCCGTGGAAGGCGAAGTAGAGCTTCAGCCCAGCCGGGAGCTTTCTGTCACTCATTGCTTTCAAGAAACCGATCTCCGGCGAGGAGAGGCAATGTTTGCTGGTGAGCGGGACTTGGCGAATGAAATCCTCCATGTTCATCTTGTGTTCTGAGAAGAATTGAACATACTAAAAGAAAAAAAAAATAGAGGTGAATCAGTTGTTTAACAAGTCAAACAAATTTGAAATTCTCCGTGCCGAATTGTTTCATCCAAATTTTATGATGTCAAATGGATCAGTTTCGCCAGCTTATCTCAAAACAAAACAATTAGGTCACATTGATCCGTTGGAATTCCTCATCCAATACGACCCTTTCAAATTTCATGCAAACAAAAGACTCATTCGCGAGACCATACCGGAACATTGATCCACAAAAGAGGCATCTTGAACTGGCTCTCGCCTTCGAATGGCATAATACTGTAGCCGTCAAAAGCATCTGATCGAGTCATGATGCGTTGAACCCCTGCAGGACGGTAAAAAGAGGAGAAACGAAGCAAATTTATCAAACCGGCGATTACAGAATAAAAAGATGTGTTACATATGCATCAGGGCCATCCAATCGATCCTAGAGGCCCCGTACCATATAAAAGATGTGACCAATTTTTTTTTAATATTCAATAAATATTCTTTTTAGCTATTCAATTCGAAATCTTCTTATAAAACATAATTTTCAGGCTAATTTCACTAAGAAGTCCGAACTATTCAAAAAGCGTCATTTGTGTACTAAACTATTCAATATGACAAATCTGACACAAACTATATGCGTTTCGTTGCATTATCCAACATATTTACCAATATATCAAGTACAAAATTAGTATTTTAATTTTGTATTACATATTATTATATTGGTCTAAGGGTCAGACTGGCGTACGTCAGGCGTATACTATACGTCAGGTACTATTAGTGAGATATCTCTATCTAGACCATGAATTATATCGAGTTTGGGGTATGATACTATACCCTAACCTCTAATGGATAAACCCCAGGCACCGATTTTCTAAATCCCAACCCGAAGTTTGATTTAATAAAAAATAAAAATTGACCATTGAGATCGGCCGGAGCTCATCTAACTACATCTAACGGCTATATCACCTGACGTATACTATACGCCTGACGTACATCAGTCATCACCATTGGTCTAATCGTAAAAATTTAGTAATTATGCTTAGATGCAAAACTTCATTCTTTCATAATCTCGTAATTTATAGTAAAAACTCACCAACCATCGTCTCTACGAGGTCATTCATGGTGTAATCAATGGTGAAGTAACCGCTAACGTTCTTGCCATTCACGTTGTAAGTTTTGGTCATGTTTGGATGGAGGGCCTGTACGTTTGTGGATTTGCTGATCTCCACATCTGGCTGGCAAACTGCCCCGTTGTCCATCGTTAACTGTACGCTGCAAAGCAAGAGCATGCCGTCGTATGTACGCATTTGGAACGCCATTCCGGTGTCTTCAGGGAACTGCCCGGAGAAACCCTCTCGAGCTACCACCGCCGGCGCCTTTCCTGGGTGAACATTCATATCGGATCAGAAGAAGAAAGAAAAAAAAAAAAGGGCTTTAAAGTACAACTTGAAGTTATATCATAACGTTAAAAAGTACAAATTGAAGTTGTATTATAGGGGAATTTGACCTTAATGTTATGGTACAACTTGAAGTTGGAAAGTTGTACCATAAGTCCATAACATTAAATGTAAAACTTCAAATTGTATCATAAAGACAAAACTAAGACACTAATACTTTAAGACATTGTAAAATTCCTTCAATTACTCATTATTATTGTCGCTTCGTAGGATGAAAATTCGATACGAGCGGGGCTAGTTGAAAACCAAAACATGTTTTTTCTCACCGTTTAGGGTTAGCCATGGAGCTTCTTTCTCATCGGCACCGTTTGCAGAAGAACTTGCATGGATGAGCAATAGCACAAAAAACAAACCCCTCACCATTTTTTCTTCCTCTTAACTTGCACCTTGTTTGATTTCTTCTTTTTCGTGTACAAAAACAAAGAAGCATTAGTTCAAAGAAAAGTTCACCCACATGTGTTATGTTCAATAATTAGATGCAAAATCGAGATAACCCTGATAATTATATAATATCAAATTCTAGATATATAGTAAAAAATGAGAAAATACAGATACACAAGAACACTTCAAAAGAAGAATATTGACCTCTATCAGCCAGATAATCAACATACATGTTTTCACCAAACATTCCTTGTTTTTTTTCCCTTTTGTCAACGGTGAGGGAAGAGTTCAATTATAAACCCTAAAACTAAATGAACTCTTTCCTCAATTTCTCTCAATTATCTCGTTATTGGGACATGAGAAGTTGCACTTTATACCAGAATTTTCATTCAGATTATCAAATGTTTCGAGACATACTCGTATTATATTTTTCATTTCAATCACGAAACTATGGATTACAAAGTGAATAAATTAGACTTAAAAGAGAACTTACCTTTACCCTTGAGCAAAGAAATCATAAAATGAACATTCCCCTTCATAAGAACTTTGAAAAAATTTGACCAGACATTTCTTGCCTTTTTTTCTCTCCTTCCGTGAACAAGGATTTCAACTCTAAATCCTAAAACCAAATGAATTAATGAACTCATTTATCAATTTATCTCCATTTTCTCGTGATTAGGACGGCGGAAGTTATATGTTACATTAAAATCCCAATTCAAGTCATCAAAGGTTTCAACGCATACATCTCGTGTTATACTTTTCATTTCGATCATGAAACTGGGGATTCCGAAGATGATAAATTAGAGATTAGAAAGAACTTACCTTTACCGTGGAGCGAAGAAATCAGAAAACGTACATTCCCCTTCAGAAGAATTTGGGAAATTTTTTTGTTTTGTCCCCTAATGTGAAACTCTTAGAAGGGGAATGTGAGTTAGCTCCCAAATGGTAACAGAGCCAAATTGAAAGCAATTATAATAACCGAAATGACCCTTTTGGTGAGAATTGCCGTTGACAATTGTTTGGTTCTCGTCTTTTTTTTTGTGCCAACAAAATTTCGGTATCTAATAAACTTATTACATGTCTAATTAACCTTTTTGTTAACTACATCTTTTATGTATTACATATCTATTGCCGACGGCTGGTTTTGAATGAAGGATAGGAATGCTAAATGCCCATTCGGTTAAAAATAATAATTATACAAATAGTGTTAAATTAATTTATGATTTTAAGAGAAAATCTACGGCCGAGATGTCACAAAACTCTAAAATAGTAAATTTCTTACTTTTCTTTCCCAAGAAAAATTTGCCAACACATTTTCAATGCAATAAATCTGGAGAGTCAGAATTCGCTTTCTTTCCTGTTCTCTCAATTTCTTCAAAGAAGCCTCGGAAGTTTTATGAGTGTTTTTATTATGAATACATGATGTTGTCCTGAGAATCAACGAAGAAAGCTTCGAACACTGTTCATTCTGTAGCAATTTTCGAGCTCCGATTCGCTGTAAGAAACCAACAAAATTTCCTGCATTTTGGCTCAGGATTTGGATCCCCCAAACAGTGTTTCAGGGGGTTTGAAGTTGAAACTTGACAAGGAACGTCCATCTGGTGGACGTTGCAGAAAATTGGAAAGTAAGTTTCGTTTTCAAAAGATTTCATTTCATGACATGATAACTCATAATCTCGATCCTGCTTTCTTCCGAATCAACGACGAAATTTTTGACGGAGAGATCGTTTGATAGACGTAGTAATTAGGAACAGGCAAGCAATATATGCAAATAACAATGCATACTTTCTTTTCCCCACAGCAAGGAATAGCAGACGAAGATGACAAGGAGTTTGCTTTTGGTTCTATTGTTCATCCATGCAACTTCAGCAGCAAGCGCAGAACCCTCAGGCGAAGCACCGCCTCCAGGCGACGCACCACCCCCAGGCGACGCTGGGGCAGCCAAAGGAAGCTCCGTATGGCAAACTCTACATGGTAAGATAAATGTTGTCTGATATTACACCACACGATGATGATCCATACGAGTTCGAAATGCATGAATCCTCGGGCATTACCTGATGTTCCTCTTCCGTTTTCCACAGGGGAGCAGCCAAAGGTGGTGGCTCATGGCGGGTTCTCGGGGCTATACCCACAATCGACTCCAACTGCGAATGCAATTGCTGCACTGTACCCAAAACTGATTCTGCTCTGCAATTTACAAATAACAATGGACAAGGTCGGAATCTGCGTGGCAAATCTCGACCTCAGTGAAGGAACCAGCATAGCGGTAGAGTACCCCAACAAAACTAAAACGTACAAGGTAAATGGAAAAGATGTCACTGGCTATTTCAGCGTGGATTACGCCATGAACCAACTCAATAACGTGATAGGTCAGTCAGAAGGCCATTCTGCAGCAACAAACCGACATGTTATTTACAGAACGATACCATTTCCATTGAAATGAACGAATCAGAAATCACTTACCAGCATTTTCTTTCTGTGTTCTTCAAAAACCGTAACAGCAACGCAGAGCGTATTGAGCCGTCCAGATGCCTTCGATATCGATCCGATTCCAACATTTGATGATTTTCGTGCAAGCATCGCTGCTCCACGGTGGATCCATGTTGAGGTACGTTTCCAGTTTTTGCTTCTGTTTTTCCTAGTGCTCTGAAGCTTTCTGCAGTAAGGGTTGGTAAATACCAAACCAACCAACTTAGAACCAACTTAGAATTCATCTAGCCCAATTGATTTGGGTTAAAAGAAAAATAATACTTTAAATATTTATGGTCTTCCATCGAGTACCTACACTTTCAAATGTTCATAAACTGGTCCAGAACTTAACTCCTATTGTACAAAGAATCTACTACTCATTCAAACTCGATCCATTTGCCACCTCTACCAGCAGGCAACATTGCTCATCAATTTTCCTTACTCTGTATGTATGCTCTCTTCTGCTGTGATTTCAGTATCCTCAATTCTATGACGAGCACAAGCTGAGCTATGAGGACTATTTTGACAAAAATAGTCTCCGAGGCATCAATTATTTATCCACTCCGGAGCTTACTTTTCTGAAGGCAATAAGTGCTATGAAACCCCCTACCATGAAGCTCTATTTTGCCTTCAAAGGCAGAGAAGAGCTAGAACCCACAACCAACCAAACCTACGGTGAGCTCTTGTTAGACAAACTCAAACCGATGATAACTGGAATTGTTGTCCCAAGGGAATACATATGGCCGGTCGAAAAATCCAACTACTTGGCACCAGAGCCAAACCTACTGGTGGCTGATGCTCATGAACTTGGTCTGGAAGTATATGTCTACGGATTTGCAAATGACAATGTACTCAGCTACAACTATAGTTATGATCCAACAGAAGAATACCTGCAATTCACCAGTAAGGGCTTCTCAGTCGATGGTTTCATTACCGATTTCCCTCCAACTGCAATGAACGCCGTTGGTAAAGATCACTTCTCCTTACTGAAAATTGCACTAAAGCAGTGTTATCACATCAGAAAATTACCTAAATCAGTTTATTGAACATACAAAATAGATGGTTAAGCCTTCTCTGTGTCTTTATATTAACTTTATAACTTTTCGTGGAACAGAATGTTTTGCCAAGTACAACAACTCCGAAAGCCGCAGAGAGGGTGAGTGAGGCCTTCTTCCTGCATCCAAATGTTTGAATCAAGATGGCAATGAGGAATAGCAGGATAACCAAAACATGATTTACTTTAATGTAATGCAGGACAACCTTTGGTTATAACCAACGGGGGAGCAAGTGGAATTTATGCAGGGAGCACTGATCTCGCTTACCAGAAAGCAGTAGATGATGAGGCCGACATAATTGATTGCAGCGTTCAAATGAGTAAAGATGGAGTTGCTTTCTGTATGGCGACTGCTGACCTCAGTGTAGATACTACTGCAGCAGCCATTTTCCCTGATCGGGCCACCACCATCCCTGAAATTCAAAAGGATGATGGAATATTTTCTTTTGACCTGGAATGGAGTGACATTCAAAGCTTACAACGTATAAGCAACTTTCTTCAATGGTTTCACCACGTTTTCCTGATGCTTCAATCTTCCTTCATCATGTCCTTCTCACAATGGATGTTTTTATTTTTCAGCTCAATTATCATCCCCTTTTGAGAAAACCAGTGATCTTAAGAGAAATCCAGCGGTAAAGAACGAGGGAAAATTTATGACCCTCGATCAATTCCTGCAATTTGCAAAGGCAAAATCTGTTCCGGGCATTCTGATCAACATAGATGTAAGTAATTCCCTTTCATCTGAATCTCTCTTCTTATTAATCATAAACAAGCTAATAATATACCCAAAAAAAAAAAACTTGCAGAATGCTGCATACCTAGCATCGAAAGAAGGCCACGACGTTGTTACGACAGTGAGCACAGCCTTACATAAAGCCTCATTTGACAAACAGACCACTCAACAAGTCTTAATACAATCAGACGATACATCGGTGTTGGCCAAATTCAGCAATCTCGGGTACAAAAGGGTACTGGCTGTCAAGGAAGAAGTAAGCGACATACCAAAGGCTACAGTAGACGAAATCAAAAAGTATGCAGATGCAGTCACGTTGACTAGATTCTCTATAATCCCAACAAGCCATGGCTTCACGAGGAAGGAAACCAACTCTGTTCTGGCACTGCAAGCTGCAAACTTGTCTGTGTTCGTTACAACTCTGAACAACGAATATCTCTCGCTTGCATTCGATTACAACTCGGATGCCATGTTCGAGATCGCCACTTACACACAGCTGGTCCAAGTCAATGGTACCATTACGGAATATCCAGGAACTGCAAACAAATATCTGAGTAAGCATTCATTCATGCGTGCAGCCTTCTTTCATCCCTCCAAAGATCATAAAAATCTGAATTTCCCCTTATTGTTTCCTTATTGCAGAGAACCCATGCTCGAATCTTAACGACCCAGATCTCATGTACGCCATCTTACCAATCAACCCGGGCCAAATGCTCAATCTAACCAAGTACTCGGAAAACCTGAGTCCTCCGAAACCAGCTCTAGCTGTTAAAGACATCGCCGACCCACCATTACCTCCAGCGATCAAAGTTCAAGACGGAGCTCCTCCTCCGGGTTCATCTGCCTGTGCCCATTCCGGCCTCTCAATTGCAGCTATGGCGTTGCTAAGCTTACTCAACGGCTTATTCCACATCTAACTCCAGCCAGAAGTTCTAACAGACGTCTAGCATATTAGCAGTCGTGATTCCAACTTTACATCTGTACAGATTGCAATTTATCACAATCCGCTGCTATGGCTTTGCTAAGCTCTCACTCAACGGTTTCTTCCACATCTAACTCCATCCAGAACTTCTAACAGACGTCTAGCATTAGCAATCGTGATACCATCTTGTACAGATTGCAATTTTTCACATTTCAAGCTATGATCTAGATCTCTTTCACACTATTACACCGTCTCCACAATCTTCACATTCTAAGAACCCTACATATGGTTCTAGACTCAAAATCCATTTCATGCAAACATTTCAACACTATCAAATCTTCGACGCAGCTCATTAGAAAATCATCGCAAAAGAGAGAAATTACAAACTAAGAGGCTCAGATTCGCCTTTAATCAGACACTAAGAAGCAAGCCACGAAAACAGAGAAGCAAGAATCACCAGCTGCCATTGGCTGCAGACAAATTAAAGGAGGCGGAGAAACCCTAAAAAAGGTGTTCCAACACTCTCTCTCCAAGATGTCGCCATGCCAGGTAACTGATATCCAGCCATTGCTATCTCCGTCTCCGGGAAGTCTGATAGAATCATTCGTCATAGCCTCAGGCGAATGTGAGAGAGAGCGAGAGGAAGAGTGAAGGTCGATGAAGCAAAGGAAACCATATATATATGTTTTGTTTTATGTATATAATCTCAGTGACCAAACTTGCAATTAACCCTAGGTACTTTCGGACGATGTGGCGGCAGATCCGCGCATCGGCGGCGAGTAATCACTGGCTTCGCTGGCGACCAGAGGGAGAAACTGTCGATTTTCCGGCGACGATTCTGTCTCTCTCCACTGAGAGCAAAGCCTCATACTTAAACTAGTGAGTGATTGCCTCTCGAGGCAGCTCTCTGTGTTTATATAAGCCACTGGCCGCTGTCGGCAGTTCCTTATTGGGCTCCGATTGGGCCAGTGACTTAGTTTATAGCAACACGAAATTAGCCCACGTTCTTTCGCAGCCCATTACGAACATTAGAGGCGGTCGAGCACCGTCCACGTGTACGGAGACGGAGGGTTAGTTTGTCGGAGACGGAGGCTCAGATTTAGAATTGCGATCGGGAGCCGGAAGCTCCGCCGTCCATGGCTGCGACAACCGGTTGCCGGAGGGAATCCGATGTCCCGTGAATCCAGCCGTCCGGCGTCTCCCCGCCGTGGAATCGGCGGCTCCGCCGCTACCGAGCCGGGAGCTCGCGGAAGAGAGAAAATCGATCAAATGTCATCGTCATTGCCTCGTGTTTAGAGAGAGAGAGAGAGCGAGAGAGCAGAGCAGAAGCGATAGGCAGAACGAAACAAAAGGGGAAGGAAGAAAGGAGGAACCAGAGCTGTGATTCCAGTAACCAAACTCACAAACACAGAGTAATCAGCGGCCGGAGAAGTCATCGGCTCCGGCGGGGGAGAGAGAATCTCTCTCGAAGCCGAAGCCATCGTTCTTTGCTCTCTCTTCAAAGCGAGTACCCGGAGTTCAGTCCATGGCTGTAGCCTGATGGCTGGGCTCTGTGGCTTTTATAGCGGGGAGGATTCTTCCTATTTTGCCCTTTCACCGCTGTGTGGGATAAATCTGTAAATGGTCACTGAATTATAATGTTTGTAATAAGTGGTCACTATACTATAACTTTTAGCAGAAATTGCCAACTAAGTTGTGGTAGTAATGAATAGCTATCTAGCCCAATGTGGCATCAATTCTGCTTTAGTTAAACACGTACCAAGTTACATAATGAAGATTGCCTAATGAGTATAATATTGTGAAAAATCGGAAACCTCGACTCTGTTGGTTTGGAGTCGGATAGGTACAGGAAGATCTAGTTTATATGTTGTGAAGTGTCTACCTTAATCGCGACCTCCAGAAGGAAAATTTTTTGGCTTTCTGAATTAGATTGTAAGAGGTCAGATGGCAGCCTTGCCCTTCTGTTGGGTCACAAATCTGCTCAGGACCTTCCCTTCTGAACTAATGGAATATGTAATCTGCCATCGAAAGGAATGAGGTAAGCACGAAGAGATCGGATTGCGAAAAAAGACTTGTATGTTTCGTCGCTGCAAGACGCGAGATTCAGAGAGCAGCATACCATTTCAAGAGAGGTTACTCTGTGGAGAAGGAACCCATCGGCCATTCCACTGCAAAAAGCCAGCAACAGAAAGCAGTTCAGAGACCAAAATGTTGATGAAAAAACTTAGGAGGTGCGAGGAAAAGATGTATACTTTTGCTGCTGCTGATCCAATCCCAATTTCCTATTTGGGAGAAAGGGACCATCACTGTGTTCATCAGGGCCTGCGATTCCAATGTAATCCACACCGTCTCGAGAGGTATGATTGGAACAGGCATTGGTACTCAAATAAGCATTCTGAAGAAAGAAAGAAAGATGAGCAAATCAACAACTGGGCATGGAGTTTGGAGAAGAAGCAGCACCTGACATGTCTTTTTCCTTTGGCCTTCTTACCACTCCATACTTCACAAATATATGGTGTAGAATTTCGGGAGCACTGTTTATTGATTCTAAATGCTCATGGTTCTTGTCACAACGAATGATCGGGTGGTATCCAACGACTATATACCTAGATTTACAGATGGGAAATAGGATGCTTTTTTATCAGCATTTGATGAACAACACATAAAAGTACTAATCCATGGATTCCATCGAGAGAGAAGTAATGATGAACCAACAGACAGGAAATGTTACCAGATACTACCATTAGCAGCTTCAAGTGTACTTCCCAGCCAATTCTGACCGTCACCCGAGCCATTCATCGACTCGGTAAGCAGTAGATCCTAGAAGGAAGATTAACTTATGTTAAATCGAGATGGACAAGTCTTTAACAGATTATCCATGAAAATGGTAGGGAGCTAATTATGACACAGTACCAGTAATGAACCAGTATTCAGACCAATCATGTTAAAAGTCTGTCTATTATCTATTTTTATATGTTCCTTGAAGCAACTGGCTATTTCCTGCCCCTTTGAAGCTTTAGTTGTGTACCTGCATAAGCAAATCAATCACAAACTTCATCAGCAGTCTCCAAAGTGTAAGAGTGCAACAATCAGCCCAAGAAACAAGCTGTACCAGGGAATGCTGGATGATTTGAAGAGCTGACTTGCCTGCAAAAAAATCACAGTTGATATTCAACTTTGGCAGGTAAAAACCGAATTCTTGTGCTATTAGGAGCGTCGCACAATCAAATAAACAGCTCTGACAGTGTTCGATTTACATTCCCAGTTTTAAATCTGGTAAACTAAGCATTCCAAGAATTTAAATGTCCGATTTACATTCACTAACCAATTTTACCAATCATTTCTCTCCCTAACGATTCCATTTAGCTGAGTTGACTGATTCCAATTTGAGCCAAAAGTATTCGGCACAGACAGGGCTATTTAATCAAAGAGTCAAACTGAGCGGGAATGGTGGGGTAGAAAGAAAATAAGAAGAACAGAGAAGAGGAAGGAAAATCACATTACGGGTCAGGGGATCTTCCTCCCCAAGCTCACTGAAATTCACCACAAACCGAGCTCCGTAAATCCTCACTACATCCTCAATCTGCAAATCCGACATTAACATCTACACCCATCAACTCGAACCATTGACCATATCAGAAATCGGCCAGCCCAAAATGCCCAATTGCTCGAACTGCACAATGAACCAGGGAAAACAGAGACGAAAGGAATAAAAAAGGAGAGAACTTTGACCTGTTTGAGAAGATGGGTCTGCGTTTGAAAAGGTCTGAACCCACCACCTCGTACCGTTACAAAGACGACGACATCACCAGGACGACGAGGAAGACGCTGCCATGGCTGCTGCTGCTGGGGCTCGCCGATGTTCAATGCGAGGTACAGAGCAACGCAGAGGCATAGCTGGGTGACGAGAGTACAAGTCCAAGATCGTTTGCCGTCCATTTTTCTGTAACTGTGTGTTCTAGTGCCGTCTCTTTCCAAAGACTTCGACTTTGAAAATTTGTTTTCTTCTAGGTGCAGCAGGGGAAGATGTCGAGATGAGATCTGTGCAGGGAGTTTGTCCTTTTTGAATTGTTGTAGGTGATGGGGAAATGCGAGCCAAGACAAATGGAAGGAAGGCACACACAAACATAATTCAAGAGAATTTTGTAATTTACATTTCAATCATTCAGAGACGTCAACACTGTTGTTGATGTATGATTCATGATGGATGAACAGATTCAGCAATGGTAGTGCCCCTATTTTATAATCTTTCATGAAGATATGATAGCGTTCATCTTTGTTTAACAAGATTCTCTTTGCCTTGCCCAAAACTATACTTGCTTTCCACTACAATTTATCAATTACCAAATCACAAGCCAAAAGAATTAAAAGAGAGATCAGATTTATGTTATAGGATGAACCGAATATATACTGTACCCGATCTAAATATCTAATGCATAATCTTCAATCATAAACAGTTAGTCATGAATTCGTATCTTAACATATCTTCGCAATTCTTATAAATTAATGTTCACACGTATTCGATTTATAAACTCATCATTAATCTATTTGCGCACGAAATCAACTTGTAATTCAACTAATAAATCCTAGAGCTGCATATGTTTGGAGGGAAAAACTGACCTGATAAAATCTCGAATATATTATTTGTCATTTTCCCAATCCACCACAAGACCTGAAAAGGACAGAATCCATCGTCAACAGCACGAATGAAGTATTGAAACATTCCAAGACCACAATAATTAAGGATAAGATGGCATCTTAAAATCCACGATCTAATCCTCATTTCATTGTCAACGAGGAGAAACCCCCAGGAACCAAAATCCAGCACGAATTGTTCAAGGGAATCAAGAGCCAAAGACAGAACAACCATCATAGGAAATAGGTATGATGTGAAACTCAGGATTAGACCCTCCCCACCCAAAAACACGGATTTGGATGTTAAGTTTAACAGTGCTAATCTATATTCCAATTCTTGTTCTTTTCACTCAATGTCAGCACGATCCAGCATGTCCACAAATGTCATCCTTCTGGGGAACCTCGGTGGCAGCCTGAGATACGTAGCATCTTCCATCTTGATCGGCAGATGAGTCGCCACAAACACGATCCCACCTTTCTTCCTATGATCCGCAATTATGAACTCCAGCAGCTTCACCCCTTCATCATCCAGCGCCACAGATGGCTCGTCGAGCAACCAGATGGGGCGGTCCATGGCCAGCAATCTCGCTAGCTGCACCCTCTTCCGCTGTCCCATAGACAGCATCCTCGTCTTCTCGTTCGCCAATCGTCCCAGCCCCATCAGCTCGAGAGCAGGCAGCGATTTGCCCTGTTTTCCCTCGAGGACCTCGAACCACTGCACGTTGTCCAGGACCGTGAACCTGTCTTTCATGGCGTCTTTCAAGGAGAGCCAGTTGAGTTGAAGCTTGTACTGCTGGAAGACTCCCGATTTTGTTATGTCGTGTCCGTTCCAGAGGACTTGGCCCGCGGAGGGCTTGGTGAATCCTGCTAACATCCGCAGGAGTGTTGTCTTGCCTGAGCCGTTGGTGCCCGTTAGCACAATGGCACTGCCGTCATGGACCGAGACATTGACGTGGCGGAGGATTTGCTGTGCGTTTCTCATGCACGAGACGTTGTCGAGTACCATTCTTGGCGAGGGTGGTCGACGAAGAGTCATTTGGTGGGTTGTTGAATTGGAAGGTTGGAACTTATGGCGAAGGGCCTTTCAGAAATCTGCAAAGTTAACAGAAATCAAGGGAATTCGATATCAAAAGAGAAGTACTGAACATTATACACCAAGGGAGTTTTGAAACAGAAACACAATATGCGTTTAGAATGAACAGGGAAGGGGATCCATAAGAAAAGAACAGCAGGAGGCTAGTTCAAGCTCGAGAAAGCTACGAGATGTTAACTGGAAACCAAGACTGGTACAAGTAAACCATCGAAAAAGCTACTAGTTCAACTCGTTCAGACAAATGATCGAACACCTTGTGGACACAAGCTCCTCCCATCCCCTCTACTTTCCCCCTTCTTTAATCTCCCTAACGTTCAATTCCCAACTCCTCGATTCATGTGGAACAATCGAAACTTCATTCTCGCTGGGAATTCGTAAAACTTACTCCATCGCAATTCAGCGAAAAAATGGAAAAGGAGAGCAAAGCGACGAACTAAGGTAGTTACCGGGGCTATTACGCTTCTTCAAAGCAGTCCCAACGTTGACATTCGAGAATCACAACTGGGATCAAGCATTGAAGTACCTGCTCTGCCGACTGCCGGCCGGAATCCGTACTGGGTAGAGTTCTTCAACGCTGCCGCGAAATCGTTAGCGGAGTGTGGGAATTAAAATTCTGAGACTTTGAAGTTTGAACTAGTACTATGGAGGTTTTAATATCTTAAACAGTCCCTCATGTTTATCAGTATAACAGAATTCTCATTAAACTTCAAAATGTAACAGATAGGTCACTTAGGTTTCTCGGTTTGTGACAAACTGGTCATTTCCCGGCTGCCTTCACTCTCTTCTTGGCATCCAGTTTGCAAACTTCACCGGATTTCTTCTGTATATATAAAAACTGGAAACTCGTTGCTACGTTACAGTCTTACAGATGCAAGTTATGGGGGTATCCCGCTACCTGCCTTATCAGCATTCCAATTCAAAGACAAAATAGAACGCCTGAAGAACTTACAAAAGCAGGACACTGACAACTACAAGATCTCTTATACAGTTAATACAAGGTCGGATTAGATCCAACGCCTTCTCCGCAGCAGCGGCCATTGACAGGGAGATTCCAGCCTCTCGGAATCAACTCTGACGGTGGAGCCAATGTGGCGACGGTCTCCATGGCTTCAACATCCAGCCATCTGCACATCCAGAAAGAAGGCCGACTTCCAAAATGGGGGAAGAACACAGATATGTTTGTCTTACAAGAAAAAAACAGAAGGGTTTCCTCGTTCTCGTGCCAACAATGGCAGCAGCAGCAGCATAAGCTGGGGTTTTCAGCGTTACATCTATCAGTATGTACATATAACAATAACTAAATAAGATCAAAGCAAACACATGTTACAAGATCGTCGCTTTTCGACCTTCCTCCTGAGAGGGCATCTTGAGCTCAGTGAAGCCTTTAACGTGATCAAGCTGCTCAACATGGTAAGTGACAGCACTAATAGAAGAGCAGGCATCTGAGAATTCTTGACGAATCTAGTTCCCTACCCACCTTCTTCTCCGAGCAGGACGCTCAGGTTTGACCTCTGCATCAGCAACCGGCTCGGTTTTATTAACTGGAGGCATTGGTGGCAATGCATCCGGGGTCTCTATTTTCTTCACTGTCGTAGACCCATCTTTTTCAAGGGGCAGTGGGAGTTTGAACCGCTCACTCCTTTTCTTCAACTTCTCGACAGTTTCCAGGTGGCGGTCGTCTAACTGCTTCTTGTCTCCATCTTTGTTCTCTGTATTATCGCCACCACCATCCTTCTCTTCCACCACCGGATGCTGCCTTTCGACAGACTGAACCTTCTCAGAGGGCCCACCATCGCCGTTCTTATCTCCATTTTTTAATTTCGCAGATGGTGCAGACTTGTTATTCATGTTGAACTCCTTCTCCTTATGGCTCGTCCATCGTTCCAGTTTCGAGCGTCCTTTTTTAGAGTCCGGTTGTTCCTCGTCTGATGATGCATCTTCTTTAGCTCTTTTAGAGGAGTTCCGTTGCACTTGATTCTGCTTGTTATCGTTCTGGCGATCACTGCTGTCTTTCACCTCCTAAACAAAACCAACAACCAGTCACACTATAGATTCTACCGATCATGGAAAATAGTTAACGTTTGATCTTTTGTCATTCTGCAGGGATTAAAAATCAGCCTGTTACTTCTAAAACATTCCACATATTGTAATCTGTGAATATTTAGCATTCACTCCTCCATATACACCCAATGTACTCAAACTATATATTTTCCTTGGAATCGAGAACATGTGTAAAAATAATAGCAACATTGAGAGGTAGAATCTTAAGATATACAAAACTCATATGATGTTATCCTTATTCAAAACATCTATCATGCATGACCCTTTAAATAATTATATCAAGGTAGAATCGTATAAAAGCATAGATCCTATCGCAATTCCACCAAGTTCATTCATTTGTTATTAAACACTTGAGATTGTATGACTGATATCTCCTGCATAAACTCAGAACTATATTTGGTTAAGCGGATAAAGTGTAAGCTTTTGAGTGTTTTGACTTGGGATTTTGACTACAGTGCAAACAATCACTTCATGCGCTCCATGCCCATGTGTCTCATTTTATACATACCGAGTTATTAGCTTGACTAGTCTTGTCTTCTCGGCTTCTGATGGAAGATCCCAGTGTCCCGTAATCTGCACCCTCCGGCTCCTTGAGCTTCTTGGTCGCTTCTTTATGTCTCTTGTCGGACGATCTGTGGTTATCAGGAGTATCAACAGCACGATCAGTTCGAGCACTCGACTTTTCCTTCTCATGCCTTGAAGATTTTCTCTCCTTATTATTAACTTGGTTTCCTCCTCGTACATCCTCCACCCGTTCTCTCTTCTTCAGCTGTTCACTATTCCGAACAGAATCTTTAGCGAAGTACTCGTCTTTCCCTCGAGCATTGCCAATCCATGCTTTCTCATCAATCCCCCGCCCATTCCTCACAGAACCTCGTCCACCCTCGTCTTTCTCACGTTTTGAAAAATGCTCTTCGTGGGTAGATTGTTTTGGTCTATATAATAACTCTTCTCTTTCCCTCGGTTTATCATTCCTCTCTCGCGAGAGCCATGCCTCATCCTTATTATGCCTGCCAGAAGAATGGTAATCTTCCATGGAATCCCGGGGAATTCTCTGCTGATCATCTCTCTCCCTTCTTCTATGGCTACTACTACTTTCCCTGTGGCCATGCAACATCTCTTCTCTTATGTATTCCTCATCCTTCTTTCGTTTGCTATGGTAATCCTCCGGAATTTCATATCTATGCTTCATGCTGTCTTCTCTTCCTCTGTGCCTAGACCCACCACCATCCTTATTATCAAAATGAGCCCTGTAGTTACCATTATCCAGTTGCTTCCTCGAGATCAGATGTTCATCTTTCTCACTCCTCTCACTTTCTCGAACCTTTCTGTGCCTGGATGATCCTATTTCATCTCCACGTTCCCTTTTCTTCATCTCTTCAGGTTTGGTCTTCCTGTTATGAACACTAGAGTCTTCCTGTCTCCGCTGCTGCCAAGCTCCATCAAGATTATCACGATCCTTTCTTCGATCATAGCCCTCGCCTTTGGACTGCAAGTGATTGCCTACAATGCTAGGATCCAATTCCTTGCGAGTATAGGAACCTTCCCTGCTTTTACTCAATACACGACTTCTTTCTGTCTCTTGCCTTCCATCCATGTCTTTAGGATGCCTCTTGATGCTGCTGCCAGGCCGGATAGATGTAGATCGCCCACCACCTTGAACGACTTCATCGTCAACACCATCCTGCCATTTCTGATGATAGTCTTTGCTACTACTGCTGGACCTTGCTTTACTGTTTTCACTGCTTCTAGCAGCTTTAGAATCCTCCTCTTCCTGAGCATCGTCTTCTTGGAGTGGTATATCAGAGGAACGCTCAACTCGCTGTTTCTTTTTGGAATGATATGTACTTCTATCTTTCCCAAAGTCATTTGGCCCAGTTCCACCCTTTGCTATTCCAGAGCTTCCTTCAGCTGGTAAGAAGTCACCCACAGCATCAAGACAATCCTTGTCTCCGACGCTAGACTCTCTTACCTCCCTGCCATTAGTGGGAGATGATAACTGCTGACTACTACGCCTGCCGTCGCCACCCATGCTTTCAACCGACTCTTCGTCTGCGCTTCTACTAGAAGTCAAATGAGGAGACCTGCCATTTGTTCTTTGTTTCCGCCTGTGGCAGTGGAAGTACAATAGGATATTAGGTCCACTAACAATGGAGAAATTCTTCAAAAATTTAATTCATAAACTACCAAAATCGTGGCAATAACCACAAAAAGAGCTTCCATCAACATAATATGGCCTTATATCACTTCGCAACCAACCTAGACATAAAAAGGTTGTACAGGCAAAATTCTCATGATTTATCTTCTATTTGTCATCTCAAATTCTCAATGCTGCAAATGAGGTAAAATCATAGTTTACATACAAGATATGATTCCTTACATAGAATCATTAGATGGTAAAAGGAACGTAAATCTTAACCAAGATCATTTGAAGGGAAGATCTGACAAGGTTGGTCTCTCTAGTAACATCATTGGAGGTATAGTAACATCCATAGATTTTGGAATTGACCACACTTTTTGTCCACTGTACTAAAAAGCTCTGTACCCATAGAGAACAGTGAATGTGGCTTTTTGCAAGGTTGCAGTGTCTCAAATATTCCACGTACCTCTCTTCATGAGAAGTGCCCAAATCTCCACCAGGGTAGACAGGAGCCTGGCCCCTAAAACTGGGACGATATCTACTTGGTGCGTCAGATTGAGAGGCACGAGGCACATCTCCATCAGTGTCCTTATCCATATACGGAGCCTTTCTTCCGCCCTTTAAGTTGGGATGAGCCTGTGAGGGATCAACAAAATCTTCTGCTTTTGGTGCCATCACCTCATGATCATCAGGCACCCGACTACCTCTATTGCTCCCTCCTGAGTTCTCCCCATCAAGAGCATCATTTCCTGAGGAATCATCTTCAAGTGAGCCCTGCAGTTGAATCTGTTTGCCAAGGAAATTCCAGTTAAGATCACATTGCATGTATTTGGAATATGTTTGACAGAGTCAATAATAACAGAAACAAGAAGAAAAAAAACTCACCTCGATGATTGCATCAGAATCACGAAGACGAGGTGGCCGAGTGTCGATGGAGGGTTGGCGGTCACTAAAACCAGTCTCAACTGGTATCGGCCTACCAGTTGGCTGACATGAAGACAGTAGGCGGTCAGTTCTTTCAATTGAAATGGACAAATGAAGAAGATACACAAAAGAATCCAGAATATATAATGTTAAAAGAACAAAAGTAAATAAATAAGACATTCATCATAAACAGACAAGTTAGCCAAGACATACTATAGGTGGCCGAGCACGAGCAGATCCTTTTGCTAAATCACTTTGGCCCAAATCCGTCTTTCCGATATTTGAATTGTCAACTGAAACATCATGGCCTCCAGCTGCTGCTGCTAATTCTGGGGGCAAATCAGGATCAAATTCCTGCAAAGCAATGATCAAAAGTCTTAATAATTTGAATACCATGATGCTTATGAATGGCAGAAGAAAATTCTTAAATCATTACCTGCTCAGCCCTCCCGCTTTCATAAACACGGATTTTGCTTTGCATGGTAGTCTCTAAACGATGCTGTTCCTGAAATGTCAAAGAAGACCCTCTGAGAATCGAATAATCTGTAAGATAGCATGGATAAAGGCCAAATAGTTACCAACTGTCTGCAATAATCTTTCCAGCTTTCCTCATTTAACCCAAAGTTGAAGAAGTCTGTTATATCAACACCAGGATATTTCCAAGGCTTTTCCTCAAAGTTGTCAATGTCAACATCAAATATTGTCCTGAAAACACAAAACAAGAGAAGGAAATGACTAATGCAAACAACACTGACAGGGTTCGCGGACCATCACCACATAAAGACCAGCAAAGCGACTTTACAACCTAATTGGTCTAGCTGGTGCCTAGTACTCTACCGGAAACCAATGATCAACAAAAGCCAAGATATTATGAATAAAAAGGTAATCATCTAAGAATATTCAGAGAGAATTACTTGTGAGAAGGAAGTGTGAAATCCAGTCCTCCACCAAAACCACGCCCACCCATGTTGTTGCCCCATCCACCATAACCTGGGAAGCCCTTTTGCATTGGAGGGCCACTTTTATTACCCATTGGGCGCCAATCACCTCTACCCCGACCCGGCATAGAACCTAAGCTGATCGGAGGACGAAGCTGACCTGGTGCTCCAGGAGGACCAGTGGTAACACCTGGCATTGGTGCTGCACCTGGCCTCACATACTGCACATAGTCAAGCAAAAAGGCTCACATAGTCAAGAAAAAGGACTGACAAAATCAAGTGACAAGCTAAAAAAGAAATCAATTTGACAAATTGCTGCCAATAACTTTAGGGCAAGTTCATAATGCACAGCAGGCAAATGGTATTAAGCACAGGTCTTAGATCGAACCCTTGTCCTATCTAAACCCAAAGCTACTAAATTGACTTTCTCGTCTTTGCTTAAGCTGATCAAACTAACTATCGCAACTCAACTTGATTCAACTTCAGAATTCTTCAGGACTGCAACTATCATTGATGTCCTCTGCAATCATATAAGTTATGAGCTTAATTGAAGACATCATTTCTTAATGGCTCGCTACACAGAATTTATTAGGTATCCTGATTTTGAGCTGCAAAGTCAAAATGCTCCGAGTTGCCGAGCTTTAACTGCTAAATGTTAGCCAAAACAAGGGCAAGGAGATGGTCGGACCTTCGACACAGTGATAGCAGAGAGGTACAATTTGCGGATAACCCAAAACTTCACGGCGTTGTCATTCTTGATCCCCTTAACAGAGGAGCTAACACTTTTTGGGCATAAGTGCACCTAAGGCTGTGAGAAGGCGAAGGTTTTCAGGAAGCAAAGAAGGAGAACGTGATATTGGCTAGATTGTTAGATGAGTCATTGCTTTCAGCGTAGGTGGCTTGGACAAGTCCCCTGGATGCTTCTTATAGCGGATGGAGAACCTCTGAATAACGTTACCCAACCCGAAAAATCCAAACCATGTTGCATACTATAAGAACTTAATGAGCATTAATAAGTAAAGCTTCAAAATTCTCATTCATATCTTCCACTAAAAAAGAGTACATGAAGAAGACATGACGAGCTATAGACACGTTCATGACATTATGTACACCATTATACATTTCTACACTTTCATCAAAACATGAGAAAGAACAACACTTTCGTTATCCCTTTTCCTTTGTCTAACATATATAAGCACGACAACGATCAAAACTGACCTTAAACTGGGAATGAAATGTGTGATGATATCCGTGATTGTTATATCCAATCTTCGCTCCGGCCACCATAGCATTTCCTTTCCCAGCTGCCTCTCCTCCTTCCTTCTTGTCCCCTCCTTCACCTCCAGCATCAGCCGCTGCTTCATCTCCGCCGCCCCAATCCGGCTCCCCCATACCCTGGTTCGGGTCTCCATCTGCCACAATCACCAAAGGGTCGCCGTCGTCATCTTCATCTTCTTCTCCATCGCCCATCATGCCTCTGTCCATTCCCATCGGCCCAGTATCGTTCAACACTATCTGCAGATCGTCTTCACTATCACTGTCTTCCTCGTCCCACTCTTCATCTCCCCCCTCCTTAACCCCTCGGCCGCTGCCACCCATGCCACCAACACCCGCCGCCGCTCCATTCTGCTTCGAGTCCTCCACCATATCAACCCCAAGTCCAGGAATGAGGAGACCCGAATCCTCCCCAGCATTCCCACCTTCCTCGATATCAAAATCCAAATCTTTATCCGGCTCCCCGGATAGAAAATCGGTGGAAATTCCCCTCGCCTCCAAACCCTTATTATTAATCCCCAATCGTGAATCGGAACCGCCGCCGACCATGACCGAGAGCTTTCCATCGGGCCTCGAATTGGGGGCGGAATTCACTAGGGTTTGATCACCACGCCCGGATGCGCCGTAGAGAATCTCGTCATCGTCGTCGGGATTGAGATCGACGGATGACGACGAGGGAGGCGGCGGCGGCGGGGAAGCCCGTTTCGGCTGGAGCTGAAGCACCGGCTGTGGCGGCGGTAGAGCGGAGGTTGAGGAGTTGGAGAAAGGCTGGAGGACATCGGTGTAGAGATCTCCGAATTCGTCGTCTTCGTCCATTGGAGAAGGAGCTCGAGAGACGGTGGGAATGAAGGAGGAGGAAGAAGGGAGGAGAGAAATGGCGGAAGGGTTTTTGAGCTCCGAGTCCGACCAAGAAACAGAGAGAGAGAGAGAGCGTGTCTTGTTCTTAGTGGGCGAAGAGAAGGAGAAAAGGGCAGAGAAGGAAGAAAGAAAAGCTCTCTCTTCTTCTCTCCTTTGGAGCTTCTGCCCGGTCGGATTCGGAGTTCCAGCTCGGTTTGATTTGGTTTCGGGCTTCCGCTTTTTGGATCCGGCTTTTGTTTTGTCTGTCCTTTTTTCCTTCCGATTCACTTTATTGGGGTAAAATTTCAATCATAGCCCTCAATCTTCTTAGGAATGAACAAATTTATCCCTCACCTCATATAATTCCACGATATTTACTTAATTTTGACATGATAATTTAGTACTATAGTATTGTTTTACCAACAAAATTTCAATTTCTAAATCGGGCTAAAGAACTGAGTCGAGTATTGTGCTCAACCCAATCATCATTTCTCCGTGTTGTATTGACAGCTTGGTAAAGGAGATATTGATCCCAACAAAACTCAGTAACAACACTAAACATACATAGAGATGACTATAGCACAGCCACACAGGATAGCAGATGAAATGCTTCCCAATACCTCAACCAAAGGTTTACCTTTTGAGAATAACCTTTCATTGAAATAGTGTTGGCGTGCTACCAATTTACAAGTTTCAAAAAGAGCATGAGACTGAAACGCTTGAAAACGAACAGAAGACCTAATGGTGCTAATCAACACGTCCATGGTAAATCTATCCAAAATCATCATGGGCTTTGCTCATGTTAGAAAAGCCCAACTTCTACTTTGTTTTGAGCCCAACTACAACATGAAGACACAATATCCTGGTGATCGGGTCAACCAGTATAATAAAAACCGGTCCAACCAGGATCGGTGGAATGCAATTTTTTTATTATTTTTATTTCGGAGTGCTCTGCAATTTCATTTCTCGGGCTCCCTTTTCTCAGCTGCCAAACAGATTCCCAAACACTAATCCCGCTCACTGTCCTGAGAAAATTCGCCGGTGATTCGATCTCGTCGTCTCCACAGAATCGGAATTAGGAGGATAAACTGCGTCTTCTCCTGTCAAGTTCGGAGGGTGGAAAAATGATCGGAGCAAGCAAGATCAAGCAGTACTCCAATGTCCTCGAGAAACCCCTAAGCAAGGGCAAGCAGGAGGTAATAACCGTATCCGTCGTTCAATTTCTCACTACCCTAGATGCATAGTTATGTTTGATTGCCGAGAACACGAGGGACGATATACAAGCTGGCAATTTTCGATTAGATTTTGCTGGTGTTACCATTGCCGAATAAGTTTTTGTAGACTTGGGTTTCCAGCTCTGGTCACTAGGCGCAGGATTATTCTCTGTCTCGGGCATTTTCCCGGTAATCAAACTAATGGATTGGATCTTTGACCATTTTAGCCTAAACCCTTTTGGCAAGCTGTCGCGAGACTGTAAGGTTGATGCGTAGTTTCTTGTGTTAAGACTGCTCCTTTGCGTTGTGCAGTGAACTGAATTGATGTCTATGATCATTGTTAGCTGTTGCTCGCTTCGGCATCATTCGGGTTCTCTGAATTTCTTGTTCAATAAGATTGAGAGTGGAATATATCCTCCTTGAAGCTCATGATTTTTGCAGGTTAGTTTGAGTGCATTTGCATTTTTATTCTCGGAGCTTGTTCAGTATAACCAGACGCAGGTTGACAACATTGCTGAATTAGAGCGAAGGTACGGCGTTATTTTGTTATTACAAACAATGTTTCTTGGTCCTTGGGCTGCTGGTTCCGAAGTTAGCAGAAGTACTGAAAACAGGGAAGGGTAAAATGTATTGGTAAGGATTATGAAAATCTGGTGTCTTGCATGAAAAGTTTGGAACTTTAGATAGTGCATAATCAATTGTGCAGGTTGGAGGATGCAGGATATGCTGTTGGGGCTCGATGCCTAGAACTTCTTTGCCATAGAGAGAAGGTATACCATATTATAGTTAAACTGGTATCATTGAGTTGCTCAATTTGAATGGACATTTTATTAGTCTTTAGGAGACCTAAATGCTGGCAGTAATGCAAGTTAGATTTTCTTTGGTACCTGCAAATTTACAGGAAGCTTTAAACTAGTAGGCGTCATCCATTACATTTCTTGCTTCCATTGCTCTGATTTTCGCTGGATGGGTACTTTCAGCTGTCCAATTGATGGGATCCATGATTCATTGCTTCCCGGATCCTTACATTACAGGAAACACTATATGATTTCCTTTGGCTATGTTCCTTGCATTTTTGTTACTAACAGTAATTTACTTGAAAACCTCTTCTTTCTGAGTGTGTTATGTTCATGCCTTTCTGGCTGTCACAGGGTAATCGACGTGAAACACGACTCTTGGGGATTTTGTCTTTCGTTCACAGCACCGTTTGGAAGGTTTTATTTGGCAAAGTAAGTTCATAGCTTATTTGGTAGGTCCTTCTGAGTTTTCTCTATTGCCTGAAATTCTAGGTGCTATTTTCCTTCTCGTCCAATTTCCCTGTCTACTATTGAGTTGCTGATACTAATGTTTTCATGTGAATGTCTTTGAGGTATTCCAAAAGATCGATTGGTTATTGTTTGATAAATTGCCTAACCAGTTGAGTTACACTCATATCTGGTTTCTCTCCTAGCTCATCTCTTTGTTATCCTATCAGGTGGCCGACTCCCTTGAGAAGGGAACTGAACATGAGGATGAATACATGATCAGTGAGAAAGAACTCCTTGTCAACAGGTTCTTGGTTTCTCCTGACTTCTTCCTAATGATATCAACAGTCAATTATTTCTCAATTGTCCATGGATCCATATTCAGTTCAACTACTACCATGATGTTTGCAGATTTATATCCATTCCAAAAGACATGGGGACTTTTAACTGTGGGGCTTTTGTTGCTGGAATAGTGAGGGTAAGCCTGCATTGGCTTTATACACTGCTTTGTCGACCTTTTGAGCAGGTCAAAATATCTCATTAAGTACATTGCTTTTTCTTCATCATTGCAGGGTGTGTTGGATAGTGCTGGTTTTCCAGCAGTGGTAACGGCTCATTTTGTTCCCATGGAAGGCCAGCAACGACCTAGGACGACTATTTTGATAAAATTTGCGGAGGAGGTAACCCTTTGTCTTGCATTTTGGATATCAGTACACTTATTAAGCAAGAATTTCAAGCCTCTCTTGTGTATGATAAGCTAAAAATGTTTCCTACCTACAAATGCTATTGGAAAGCCAGATTCTTTAGGCCAATTTGTATATAGTTTAATCAAGATTGTTTACATCCCTGGTCGGCTGCTTTATTAACAGTTTCCTGGTTCTCTGCTCTTTCTTGCCTCTAGGTGCTAAGAAGAGAAGCAAGGCTAGGGTAAGGATTTCAATGAAAATGCTGATGTGTAATGTTCTTCTCTGGCATGCACCATGTCGAGAGTCAAGACACACAACGATGGACATTTTAGTGGTGTTTTAGCAAACTGCTAACTGCTGCAGGAAGCTTTCTGAAAAAACTTTAGTTGTGGTATCGCCGGATTCTGTTACTACCGTTATTTTGGTGGTGTGCTTTCTTAAGTGGATCTTGTAATAGAGCGACTATTGATCATCAACTGCGCTCATTGTAAAGTAGAAGGTTGTCACAGTTTAGTCTTCACATGATGAACTCTGAATTAGATTGTTGAACTGTTTGCAGAGCAAAATGGAATGCAGATCTTCTTTGGATTATTCTCATCTTCCCTTATCCCTATCATTACAATCCTACAATTCATTGAATGTGATGTCAATATGCGTCTCCCCCTTACGAAATCACAGCAATTATATGCGCATTTGCTTCATAAATAGATTAGAAATACTGTCTTTCACCAAATGGTTGAGAACTTAGCTGCGGAATGAAACAATTGCAAACTGATACACTATGACACACAACTGGTCAAGTGACTCATAAATATCATACACCAGTAGAATATGAAGAGGAGGAAAGGGGAAAGTGATGGTCTAAACTGAAAGGCAGGGCAATCATGAAAGATCAACAATAAAGGGGAATGTCGAACAATTCAAATGTGAGGTGGGATGGTTAACACAATTGGGCAGGATGGTTTGCAATTTGCTAGTGTAGTAGTTTCAGAAGAGAATCAAAAGGATAAATGACCTTTAACGATTTTTCGGAATCAACCTAGCCTAGTTTCCCCTGTTATTCAACAAGTAGGCAAAGAAGCTCTAATGGTTTCCCAATGCAATCATAAAAAATCTCTAAATCCTATAGCAATCACTTTAACAATTAAACACAAGCCAAAATGTGGGCAAGGAAGTAATCTCTAACACAAGCACTAGATGCAGTGCAGCTTTCTAATGCAGCCATATCAGGGAAACAAAGCAACCCGAAACAAAGAAAGAGCTAACTGTTATCATCCCGGTAAAATGTCAGTGAGCAGCCAACCAACTAGCCATAGCGTTGCTAATCCGCCAAACATGGCCTGGGCTGTGCAAGAGACTGGCAGTGTTGGAAATCTCATGCATTAGGCTCCAACCAAATAGACTAAATCAATGCACGAGGAATACGCTTCCTAATCTGATAACCGAGATTACAGCTACCTAGAGCATACACCAAGCAACAAGGATACTATAAAGACCAGGGTACAACGTAAATCTAGCAAAGGAGAAGGCGCGTAGATGGTAATCCATCCCCTGGAGAGAGCCTCATTACCTGGAATCGTGTTGAAACCTGCAAGCAGAAAACCCAATACAGAATGCAACAGAAGAGAACTGGAACACCAAAGTAACACTAACCAAAACTTCATTTTTTTAGACTTTTATTTCATATTGATTTTTTTTTTTTTGTTGTTGTTGTTGCCTCTTTAATGAGTACTCTGTCCATTCTCAACACCAAGACCATATAGCACACCAACGTACTTCTCCGTCGAACCATTGAAGAAACTCTCTTTCAATTTCATGAATGTACAACAAGTGAGCAAACTATCCGACCCGGCTTGGTGACATATCCCGATCCTCTCGACATCCAAGAGCTCGGCCAGCTTGTTCAACCCACCATGAAGGCTATTGCAGAACTTCACCAAATGCTTTATATCATACAGCACGGGGAAGTACAACCTGATCAGCTTGAAGAATTCCGCCTGTGTCTCAGGCAAATTCTTGCAAGTAAGCAACTTTAAGAGGTACCCGAAATCATACCCACTATGGAAGGTAACCCAATGAACATTGTCATTCAACACGATCCCGGACGACATCAGCAGCTCGCTGAAACGCTTCGCATCAATACCCATCTCGTTGTTCTTTCTGAAATCAATGCCACACTGTGAGAGAAGCTCGATGGAGTCATCGGCGTAGACATCTTCACTCGGGTTGAACTCTCGGAAGTTGAATTGCCAGACGCAGAACTTGCCAGTTCCACATGTGGGCAAGTTGCCTTTGTCGTCGGAGAAAGTGAGGCCGAGCTGGATTAGCTTGAGAAGGTCGACGTTGGCCTTCAATGTTAAGTAGTTGTAATCAGAACCATTTTTGAAATTGCCTACGGGCCGTAGCACGATGCCAGGGAACTCTGTGTCCATCGCGATGAAAGGGTAATCGTCAACTATGTCCCTTATCAGCTCGAGTTCGTCTTCGAGGTTGTCGCTCCATACGTCACGGATGATTATGGACTCGCTCTTTGGCAGAATCGACATTTCCTTCTCAGAAACCAAGAACTCTACCCTCTGCACGCAGAAAGAACAGAGTAAAATCAGTGCATGCAGGAGGATAAACCCTGGAATTGGAACAGAAAAACCCTAAATTCCGCCGAACCAAACGGAACCCAGAAAAATTCAATTCGTCCAACAAGAAACCCACGAGACGGAAACCTCAAAACGAGTGAAAATTGGACGAATTCAGATAAAAGATCGTACCTTTCTAGCCGAAAGCGCCCCAATCGCAGAGGGGGGATTGAGCTTTTTCGCGCCGGAAGTGAAAATTCTCTCCTGGGAGTTTCTCGAGAAAATCTTTGTGGGGTTTTCTTATCAACAAGGTACGACAACGATGAAATGATAGCCTACGCTGCAGATAAGGGTTTTTTTTCCAGTTTTCCGAGGGAAAATATTAAAGAAAAACAGGGGAGAAGTAAAATTCAGAATGCAAATCGACAGAAATTTGCCGGGGGATTATGAATTGAAGGAATGATAACGATAGGAGGAAGAGGAGAGAACCTTTTGTTTGATTAAGGGAAAGAGGAGGAGGAGGGGATAGTTCCATTATGGTTACATTGTAACGGCATCGAACTGAAAATCGGCAGGAAAAACAGACAAGAAAGGGAAGAATGAAGAAGAAGAAGCAAAAACAGTGGGATTCAGATTGGAGATTCTATGAGAGACGGTAGAATAGACTGATGATGATGATAGATCAATTTACAAGTTTTTATTTTTTATTTTCTTCTATAGAGGAAATGCAATGAAATCAATTTTTCCGGTATTCTCTTTTCTGTTTATCTTCATTTTTGTCATTTATTCATTTTTCATTTTTTGAGCCTTTGTTAGAGTTTTGAGTTATCAAACTACAAATAACATTTCTCAACTTTCCTTTTTGTTTTCCTGTTAAAAAAAAACTTTTCCTTTGGTTATTTTGAAAAAAAAAAGACATTTTTCCCTGCAGAAGACATAAAAATAATTTCACAAAGTTTAATTACGTGGAACATGCCGTAAAATGGTTGATCACAAAACTAATTTTTTATTTTCATGTATTGATGAATGATTAAGATAAATCGGTTAAAGCAATAAAAAATGTGTAGTCTTGGTCGAACTCGAAACATACTATGGTGTACCCAAAGCCCATGCAAATTTTATATGCTCAAGATTTAAGAACACTTGCTCGAAACGCTTCTACAATTCCGACATATGAAGGGACTTGGGAGCAAGTAACGATATAAAAAAACACGTAAATAATTATCATAAATATCAAATGTTAAACATAAGCTTCTCTAAACCAACCAAATGGAGTGATAAAATGAGTTTATATACATGTATGAACTCAAAAATGAAAACACACGTAGTGAGATTTGAGAACCAAAATTTTCAAAATATCAATCTTTCATTTTCCTCTGAGTATTTTACTAAATAAACAAACATAAGATGAATTTGTCACTTACTAAATAGATCGTCATAAAATAAATCTGTGATGTAATGTCTGAGTTTTATTTACGTGGGTTTTCTCATACGAGAACAACCCAACTCATTTTTTCATCCTGTCAGCCCAAGTTTTATGGAGTCGGCCCACTTAGAAGTCGCAATGAAGAGTGACGAGTCCTTACATAGCTTCATAAGTTTAAATTTCCCGAAAAACAAAAATATTTTAAAAATAGGCAAGAAAACGGTAAACTAGCGGGACCAATTTTCCCCAGTTATTCAACGAAAAAAAAAAAAAAAATCCCCAGTTAGGGCATTCCTTTTCCTTCCCTCGCTGTCAAATTCCAGAAGGCCCAAAAACCTCGAAGAAACGAAGCGAACTGCAGCCTAAAACCCCGCCACCGTCTGCTCCGTCTCTCTTCCTTCCTCCCGCTCGCCACCGCCACCGCCGCCGCTCAGTCGACCTCGTCTCTTCTCCTTCCAGCCTCTGTAGCTCGCGCGCGCGCACCTCCGTCATCGTCATTATGATCAGAGGCGGGAGGAACTACGTGTCTTCGCCGCCGGTTTTCTCCAACGACTCCAAGCGGCTATTGGTTTGCGCCGGAAACTCCGTCGCCGTCTTCAGCACCGATACCGGATTGCAGGTGCCTTTCTAATTTTCCTCTCTTATTCCTCATTTTATTTTCTAGTTTTTTTTTTTTTGTTCTTGAAAGTTTATTCCGAAGCTGGTTTTGACTATGAGGACTTGCTTAGGTAGCGTCGTTGGACGGCCATGGGGCGCTTGTGACGGCGGTGATAGTGGTGCCGGCGACCAGTCCGGGGAGTAAGATACTGTGCTTTTGCTGGACGGCTTCACTCGATGGAACTATTCGGTATTGGGATTTCGCGGTCCCGGAGTTGATTAGGACTGTTGATATTAAGCTCCCCGTTCACTCCATGGTAAATAAGACCTTGGCATTGCTGATTCTTCTATCCATTTTACTAGCGTTAGTTTGAATCTCCTTAGTTCCTATAAGCTGAGCAAGCATGCAGAGCAGCATTTTGGCAATAATTAGTATTCCCTGATGCATTAGGATTTGTCTTCCCGGTGTACTTTAATTTGGATGCTGATTCTGTTGATACGTTTGCAGGTGATTCCCTCTTTGTTTAATAAACCAGTTCAAACGAGGGAAAAAGCCGTTAAAGTTTTCGCTTACATTTCTGTTGAAGTTAAAGACGCGTCAGAAGATAAGTCTAAAGTCTTGTTTCAAGTCAGAAAGTGTAACTTAACTGACGCTCGTCTGGTTGGAGGAGCAGTATTAGCAGAGGTACGTACGCTTCATAATTCAGCAGTTGATCGCATTATGCTACTTGTTTCATAATCGAAGGTTAACTTTAAGGGTAGGTTCTTTGCCTGAATTGATCGATTCGATTAGCCGTGGCTGGTATGCATTTGCTTTGGTTAGGAATTTCTGTGTACTACTACCATATATCCTTTATGCTACTGGTATCCGTTATCTTGTGTGTTCAATTCTACTGAGAAATGGTTTCTTCAGTAGCAATTTACCATTAATATGTACGTAAAGAGTTCAGAGAAGTTGCCACAGGTATTTCATTTTATGAAATGGTTTTCAAATGATGCTATTTTCATCTGACAGACGAAGAAACCAGAGATAATCACAATGAGCTCCTGTGGTGAACTTTTTGGTGTCCGAAGAAAGCATAAGCTGGACATATGGAAAGTCCCGTCTACTGATTCTGGTCATGCAGTACTCAAGAAGATTACTCTACATCATACAAAGGCCATAACGGTTATGGCGTTCCATCCTACCCAAAGAATTCTTGCTGCAGGTGATGTGACCGGGAGAATTATGATATGGACGGGTTTTGGAGACAAAACGTTTGCCATGGCTGATGGGCATGTAAATGAAAGTTCTATGATTATGGATGAAGAAAATCCTGGTGTGAGGGATAGTGATGACGCTGAGTCCTGCACAACATGGCACTGGCATCCGGCTCAAGTGAATTTGCTCTCCTTCTCTTCTGATGGAGCTTATTTACTTTCAGGTAAAACAGTGGCAAAACTAGAAGGAAAGATGCCCTATCTTGTGATAGCTATTACTGCCTATATATATCCTTACACAGGAAAAGGGATTGTCAAACTTTTCCAGGCTTTTGGAGTTCATAAAAGAAGTCCATATTTATGCTGTTAACAAGCACGCCAATTGATTATTTCTCTTACTGGTATCATGTGGATTTTAAAACAATGACACATTACTTTCTGGATACTAAAGGTAGTAGAGCTATGCCCATAAGATTTGTTCGCTCAGGTGGACTACTGTAAGCATAATACCTTATGTTAAAACCACTTGTTGAAAATTTGCGCAGCAGTCACCAATCAACTGGGGGCAGCTTAACTGTCCCTTGCAGATTTTTGTGGGCTTCTCTTTTTAGGATCTTTTCTCTTTCTTGTTTCTTCTTGTAACCTTCTGCTTTGATTTGTGTTTAGGGGGAAAAGAAGGTGTTCTTGTAGTCTGGCAGGTGGACACAGGGAAGAAGAAATTTTTACCCCGAATCGGATCACCACTGTTACATTTTACAGACTCTCCAGATCCGTCAATTTCATCAGTAAGTTGAACATTGTTGGACCGAAGTGGAATTTTTTGAGAATGCGCATGTATAAGCATGTTTAGCTGCTTTAGACAGTTTTATCTGAAACAAAGGCCATCAGATATCTTGTGCAGATAATCAGATCCATCTAGTTAAAAGGCCTTCAATGGAGATCATGAAGTCTATCTCTGGAATAAAGGTTGGTTGTCTCTGTGATTTACCTGATTTAATTGAAATGGTTATGTTTGCAGTTTTCATTTGTTATTATGAGGAGTCCACATGAGAAGCTGTCGAGTCTTTTTATTTGTTAGTATGGAAACTAGATCTTTCTAGGATGTGTCTTAAAAGACAAACGTAACAGAGGAAAAATGAAGAAATGAGCAAAAACAGTAAAGAGTGACAGGGAGAGGAAATTAGGGGCAGATAGAAATTTCATTCTCATATCTTTTGGTCGTTATATATCAGTTTTCTGCATGTTTAAGTTTGGAGGTGCATATGGGCCCTATAACCCAATGCTATACCTGGTGTCTCGTAGCAACCTACATCGGGAGAGACATGACGTGTAATTTGTTAAGCAAGTCTGCTTTCAATGATATTTTGTTATTAGCTAGAGGTATATAAAGCAATGCTTTTTGCAGCTTCCATATTCAGATCCAGAGATATCGAAGGTTATGTCAAGTGGGGCTTCCTTTGATCAGAATGCTGGCTTGGTTGCCTTGCGTACCGAGAGTTATGCAGTCCAGTTATACAGCCTCTTTGATGATCGTGGAATTTCGGAGGTTGAGAGAATTACTCATTCTTCTGTTAACGCATACTCTATTCTAGTTCCCATGAACCTTCTCATCCCTTTTTATTTGGGCCATCTGCTCACCATCTTCTGTATAGCTTGTATATTGAACTATTTTGATTCTCCACTTTCCAGGTTCAAGTTTATGAGAGAAATCACCAGCCAGTTGATGAAGTCACGGTAACGTTGTCGCTTGACCTAAATCTTCTTAACTTGAACTATTCTCTTTTACATGTTCCTTGAAAGTGGGAAATTTGAAGAGCTTGTGTTGTTGCAGATAGTTGTGACATCTGTAGTCCTATCTCCAGATGGTTCTATACTGTGTACTTCTGAGGTGAGGCTGCCTGAAGAAGGCATGGGAAACCTTATTTGCCTTAAGTTTTGGTCCTCAAAGTCGAAGGTTGGAGATTTCAGCTTGTCGACCATTGTCTATGAACCACACAGGTTTGGCCTTGGCAATATATTTAGAAATGGAGTTGTGATCTTGTAGAAGTACTAGGCTTGTGCTGCAAGCTGCACAATAAGCCTGCACTCCTCTCCCTCACTAGTATTCTTTTCGCATGCTATTGTTGTTGTTTCATCTGGCTCTACTCCTTCTCAAAATATGAATATCCACTCTGTAGTTTTCTGAATGCACTCAGTGAGCCACCGTTTTTATGCTGCTTAGTATATCAGTTCTTCATGAACATGGTTTTCTTTCTGCAGAGATGCTGTAATTTCTGCTATTGCATTTCATCCTATCCGTCGTATGGCTGTCAGCTCATCATTTGGTGGGGACTTCAAGGTAAGCTGAACTCTATCAAATTTTGGCTTTAAATTTTCTGTGGCCATGTTCCATGACAAGACATTGTCTTTCTTTGCCACAGATTTGGATTTCCAACAATGGGGTTCCCATGAAAGAAGAAAGTCAGGCAAATTCCGGATGGATTTGCCATGCCGCTGGCTCCTATAAGTAAGAGCCTTGTTCCTGTTAGGAATATACCATCTTGTTCAATTCTTCAGAGGCCTATTTTTCTTTTGGCATTGTCTTTTCCATTAAACTTTACATTGATTCTCATATTCGATGATACTTTTCAGGAAAAAGCCAATGACAGCAGCTGCTTTCTCCCCTGATGGTTCTGTCCTCGCTGTTGCAGCTGAAACTGTTATTACGTTGTGGGACCCTGATAAGAACCTTCTTCTGGCTGTAATTGGAGAAGCTATTACGGTAATTTCTCTACCATCCTATTTATTTCTGACTTCAGTGTTCAAATATCCTACGACCTATATTATGAACTAAGCAAGAAATTTAGCGTTGAACTTCTCTCCATTCTCCAGTGATAAGTGGCTAAAAATACTGTGCTCTCTCTTCCGAGAGGCAGAGACCTGCTAGCTATGATTGAGCTTGTAGTTCTAGCATGTCTTTCACAGCTGGCTTCTTATTGATACCTGCAATGTCATTTGAGGGTTGCTGCGTCTGCGCGTCCCTCTCTTTGTTCTTTCTTCCCATGTTTTGTAGCTTATCTGCTGACTATATGTATGGAACTTATTTTGACAGCCAATCGTGACCCTCTCGTTTGTGGGGAACTCGGACCATCTTGTTTCAGCATCTTGGGGTCTAAAGCCGCAACTTGCAGTGTGGAGTCTGTTGAATCTCTCTATATGTTGGTCTTACAGGCTTCACGTAGAAGGTAATAAATGCTTTATCTTCTGAAGCTGACCACTAAACTTGTATCGACTGCTAAAACATCAACTTTTAGTCATCAATGCTAGTACTTAATTAACACGTATACTCATGGTGCAGCTATAGCCAGTTCTCCGAACAGTTCCTCTTTTGCTGCTCTCATCCTCCTTTCGGAATCAGCCGGAGTCTACGACTCTAATGAAAAATCGGATAAAACAGTAGATGGGTTGATCCTCTTATTCGATTCTGCAGAACCGAATCCTGTGGCTGTATGGTCAGTCAAGAAGGTAGTTTCTTTACCCGCTTCCCCATCAACTCTTGAATGTTGGATAAATAGTCTACAGTCATTTATATTGTTAGTTCTCCTTGCATCGAGAATATCTACTTGCTCTGATATTTTGATCCTCGTTGCTTCGTAAACCAGGCCAGAGGCGGGGCACTAGCGTTCATCAGAAACCAGTTTTCCGATCAAGAGAACGCATCCGACCAGCAACAGGCTGCTCAAACACTGCTTGCATACATGAATGCCGATCACGAGTATGTACTGTTTGATCCATATGGGAAGGAATCAGATGAACTAAACGTAATTCGATGGAGGAGTGAAAACCGCATCGAAGAAGCTGGTAAGCTTCAATTCATTCTGAGACCTATCTATTCGACCCGAGTCTATAATCCCATACCAGCTTGTAACTTGTAAGGAATCTAACCCGGTGCCTTCTGCTCATGCTTTTCCAGGAAATTTTGGTTATGCATCTCTCTATGGCGAGCTTCTTTCGCCAATTCCGTCCAGAAAACAAACTCCGTGGACAGTCCCATCTTTCCCATCCGAGAGGCCCTGGGAGACAATCTTCAGCGGACCATCACACAATCTTCCACCCCTTACTTTACTATGCGGGCCATTTTTGGAAGCACTGTTAGAGAAACGAACTACAGTCGTGCAATGAATCAGCAAACTGCTACCTACATCACAGTTGTCATTTGAAATGAAGAATCAATCAACGAGTTACTTCGTTGCACCGGGACAACAGGCGAAAGGCTCCATTGATGGGGCGAATGTTTTGGCCGTCGGGGCTCCCAGCGCCTCCTCTGATCATATATGAAAGCAGAGCCGGTGGAAATGCCGGATTCGCAACATTGTCTATGCTGGAGAACATGATATAGAGGTTACTAGTGAATTCAATACCCTTCTGGGTAGGTTTGTACCTCGAGTTTGTAACATTATCATCGATGGTAAAGAACAAAGAGGAAGTAGTAAATTCACTATAGGTTAAGCTTGTTTCGCTTCATTGCGTCGTATTGTTTCACTGCCATGTATGATTAACAACTTCAGGGTAAGCTTCCTGTCTGAGAACCTCAGTTTCATCTTATTTCCTGAACATGAAATGGTAGCATCTGAAATCATTTCACTTGAACATTTACGAGCCAAAATCACGTACCAGCTCCTGAACATGACACAATGATACAATTCGTCATGATATCAGCCGGAGTTCTTCACATCGTAACAACATCAAATTCATACAATCGATCAGATTCGAGAAAAGCTTCACCATTACATAGCTTCGATTCCACCTCTAAATCAGTTCCTCCCTAGAGGTAGAGATCGACAAGAGTAAGTCTCCCTGAAATCCGATTTCTTCTTCGACGAGGTGAAGATCGATGCATAAACCTCCTTGGTCGCGTTAGCCGGTGCAACAGCCGCACCCTTGAACCTCTTGTTGTTAGTGCTGCCAACACTCTCAATCTTCCCATTCAACTTCTCCGTTCTCGCAGCAACCTTCTCCACATCCTTACCATCAACAATCCCATGCTTCTTCCCACTCAACCTCTTCCCAGACTCCTCCACTTCACCACCATCAGCGACGCCTTTAGCCGCAACAGCATCTCCACTCCTCTCCTTCCTCTGCTTCTTATCCTTCACAACTCTAGCCCTCTCTTCCTCCATCCTCTCCCTCAAAGCATCCACTTCCTCCTCACTCCCATTGATCACAACCTTGTCACATTCATCAAACTCCCTGTAACACACCAGACAAGCTTTCGACTTCACCTCCTTCAAAGCCTTGGCACTCAGCACATGCCCGCATTTCCTCAAAGCGAAGAACTTGTACGTCCCGTTGAACTCCAGCCCCGTGATCGGGCACTGAAACCACGCATTGTTCGATTCCCCACCGGGGATCGGCTCTAGCTTAACATCTATCATGTCTTTCAAACCTCTGATGTGATTAAAAGCTTTGGGGAGCTTCTTACCTATCAGAGCCTCGACCAGAGCTTCCTTGTTGAACACATTTCCCAGTCTATCCATCACGCAGGGCTGCCGCAGGGTCTCGTAGGAGAGCGCGCAGTTCACCCACTTGGAAAGCCGCTGCTCGTTGGGGTCGATTTTGTCCGGCTTCTTCTCCGCGTACATTTTTAAGTAGCAGTCGCGGGACTCGGCTCCCGTCGCGCCTCCATCGCCGCCTCCGCCGCGGAGGCGGTGGCGCAGGGTGAGAGTGGATAGAGCCGGGACCTGGGGGCTGCCGACCGGGATGGAATCGTCGGCGAGGAGCTTCCCGTTGGCGGTGAAGTAGAAAGCGTCTGGATTTCCATGATCGGGGATCAGGGAAAGCTTCAGGTCGCGGAGGGATAGGGGTTGAGATGGATCGAAGGTTAGGGTTTGGAGGCGGCGGGAATTTGGGGTTCTGAGCAGAATCTGGCGTGATTTGGAGTGCATATTGGGAAGCAGAAACTCGAATCAGGCGAGATTGAGGGGGGAAATCGGAACCTGGAAAACGACGGAATTTGTTATCGTGGTAGCGAAGGAACGAATCGGCGATGGCGGATTTACGACTTCTCCTGGATGAAAATATTCCGACCGAGTTTACAGAGAAATATCGAGACAGAAGAAGAGTAGAAGACGAAGAACGGTTATGGGCCTTCGCATACGAGTCCATAAGGCTTTTTATATGTGCGATTGAATTTTTGCTTGCGTTTCAAGCCCACATAAGCCGGACTGGCAACACCAATGCGGGTGCGCAACGGTCCGGTCCGGACCAACTCATGAGAACTACGGTTCAATAGTGAAACACAATTTAGCACTAAATACGAATCAGTATTGCATTCGGTCTAATTTAGTCCAGTCCAACTATCTATCCAATTCAATTTTCTTTCGTATATAAAATTCACGACGACCAATGATGATATCACCATTATATTCTGTTGAATATGGTATGTTCCAAATATCAGTTTGGTCATGGATGAACCAAACCGTTGCACGCCCTTAGAGCTAAGAAAAAGTATACTAGTTGCAGAAAAAGCACGTGAAGATAACTTGACTCGACAAAGAGAATAATATTATGGCATTTGCTAAGATAAAAGTTATTGATTAGTTAGTATAAACTAAATGATACTTGTTGTACGACTTTTATGCACGTATTGAATTCGAGTCGTGTATCGAAAATCTTCAAATCTTGTTTTCCACTGATTTAGTTTGTTTTCATGAAGGGTAAAATTTATAAACTAAAGGATACTTGTTGTACAACTCCTATGTACGTGCGTATTAAATATGAGTCTAGTATTTGACTACTTAGACTTGCACTTTCAAATCTTGAGTTCGATCAAACTACATATTGTCCATATTTGACTCGCATTCCAATGGTTAACGATCAAAATTCATGCCAGAGTACTGTTTGTTGTTTGGTTAATGAAAGTGGAGCACCATAGCAGAATCATCTTTAGACTCCACAGAAGCTCGGTTCAGTAGTCGTCCCCCAAAACTGAACCAAAAACCTTCTATAGCAGAGGAGCTTATTAACAAAGATCGTGGCTTTCGATCAAAGAGATCACTTGTTCAAATCTCCATATCGTCATTGTAGAGAATACCACTTACATGGCTTTGACTTGCTTGTCGTCTTAACACAAATTTATCTTGGTTTCTGCTAAGTGTTCTCGTCATAAACGAACAAAACTAATTGGAACAAAAACTGCAAAGAGACGAACAAGGCTTCCCTCTTGTCATCTTGTTCCCAATAGCCGGCTGCCGGCGCCTTGAATTTCTTTATGGGGAAGAAAAAAAGTTTGGATCTTTTCGACAGGTTACATCAGGGTTTCAGTTTTTTTTTCTATTGGTTCCTCGTTACAATCTCTAATCCAATCCTCTCTCTTCCCAATTCATTTCAATTCACAGCACCAACAAAAAAAAGGACCATCAATGGCGATATCAGAAATAACAGAGGAGGAACCAGAAGATGGGTTTCTCATCAACAAACAAGCACAGAAGGAGACCATCAGAAGAATGCTACATCACCAGAAATCGCTCCTTCTCTCTTCCACCACTTCATCATCTTCTTCCCTCACTTCTTCCAACCCAACTGAAGCTTCTCGTTCCTCGTCTTCCTCATCGTCGTCTTCTCAGGAAAGCAAGAACAGCACCAGCTTGCTGGGTCTGATGAGAACCGGAAGCACGTCGCTGGGGAGATTGTTTGGGATGGAGCACACGACTCTGGCCGCACATTTCCATGACTACAGCTGTTCTTCCACGACGAAGACGATCCCTCTGTGGGGGAGCGACGCAGAGGATTCGAAAGCAGAGGAGGATCCCTGGGAATCCATTAGAGGATTTGGGATGCAGGGCTCAGATTCTAGTAGCTGCAAAGATGATCAATTGAGGGTTAAGGCTGCCAGTACTAGAAGAAGGAGGAGAAGTAGAAGAGGGAAATTGAGCAGGAAAAAGTCGTTCAGGAAACTGCCGAGGTTTCCTTTCTGGAGGTGGAGGCTGAGATTCAAACGGTTCAGGATTTTGATCTGTGGCAAAATCTTCTGAACCACTTACATAATTGTAGAGTGTGTATGAGAAATTTGTACCCTATTGATTTCGACTTGCGGTGTAAAACCTTTCTCGAATTAATTCTAAGATGTGAATTTTGAGATTTTAGAGGAGATACACATTACATCTTGTGAAATGAAGATCGTGGCTTGATCATATTAGGAGCCCGAATTATACTATTATGTTGACGCAGATAATATAAGCACCATGGCAAATCGCCCTCCAGCTTAGCTCCCAGCCTCCCACTCAATAATTGTGTCAGATGAATGTAACCAGAGAATTCAACACGATAGACGATCTTATCATAATTTCTGCCTAATCAACGCCAACAATTTTTTTTTTATCATATTAGAAACTGGAATCATAATATTATGTTGACGCGGATACTATCAACACGTGCCAAATTGCCCTCCAGGTTAGCTGTCACACAATAATCGTGTCAAATGAATGTAATAAGAGAATTTCAACACGATAGATGATCTTATCATACTATTTAGGTTGACGTGAATAATTAATAATATCAACACGTGCCAAATTGACCTACAACTTAGCTCCCACACAATAATCGTGTCAAATGAATGTAATCAGAGAATTTCAACACGATTGACGATAATCTCTGTCTAATAACATAAAAAAAAATGTTAATCTCCCGAAATCTAGATTGAGAATGAAGTTATGAACTATATTTCACTTTTTGGAAAAACAGAGACTGGATAAATGGGCCTGTAAATGTAATCCTACCCAGTTAAGCTAACCTGAGATTCTACTATCGGTAAATCCCTTGGCAAATGATACAATGGCGGGAGATCAAGCTCCACAGGATGCTCCCTTCTTCAATCCTGAAATTCCTGCTCTCCTTATTCCACAGATGAACCGCAAATGTCTTCCCACTCAACTGAATTAGCTTGGCCGAAACCCACCTCGAATCCGACTTCGTCGCCGGCTTCCTAAAGTACCCGCCGATCTTACTCCAGTACGCCGGATAAAACGCCATCGGCGGCATAATCGTAAAATTCCTCCTCCCTGAGCTTCCATTTCCAACCCTGTCGACAACCCTCGACACGAGATACGGACCGTTATGTCCCCACCTGCTCCCATCGAAAGTCGCGGCGAACTCCGCCATGAAATCTAGAAGCAGAGGGTGGCTCTTGTCGAAAACCAGGACGGCATTGTTTAACCGGGTCCACTTCTCGGTCGAATCGGCGCTCTGCGCGCCGATCGAGTTTCGCAGCCCACGGAAGCTCTTCATCACGATGAAGTCCGTGTCGAGGTAGACCCCGCCGTACTTGTACAGCACGGCGAGCCTGACGAGGTTCGAGAGGTTCTGAGGCAGGGGAATCTCCCCTGGATCCTTCTCCCCTGTTTTCATGTCCTCGAACCACCGCTCCGCGGGCGTGCCGCGGAGCAGGTTGGATAAATCGGGGGCGAATGCCGCAGCCCTGAAGCCGCGATCGAGGAGCGGCTTCAGGATTCCGCGGCCGCTTCGCGAATCCAGCGATCGCGAGACGAGGACGAGGCACCCGTCGGGATTCGACTTGAACAGGGACTCCATTGCTAGAAACTCTCTGTTTCCGAACGAAGTGGCAGGGGAGATCCACGTCATGAAGAATCGGAGCTCGCATCGGTTTCGGAGCAGGAACCGGCGGGCTCGATTGTGGAATCTGCTCGTCAGGTTGTCCGATTTCAGGATCTGGAATGCAGGGAGGTTGGATCTGAACCAGTTGATTCTATCTTGTGTTGTGAGGTTCGTCGGAGGGACTAGGTAGGTTTCTGGGTATTGACCGGAATCTTCGTCGGACGACGACGACGACGACTTGATGATTCTGCGGCGGCGGTGGTGGGGCTCGGAGGAAGGGGAGGAAGGGAGAGGGACGGCGGTGGTGGTGATCATGCTTGTGCGGACGAGGTAGACGGTGAGGATGAAGATTACGGAGAAGAAAGCGAGAGGCTTTACAGGGTAGTAAAGTACCCTGTTTTCGATGATCGGTTTACCCATCTCCGGTGAAATTGGGATTTGGGAAACAGGGGATTTTGGGGGGAGAGGAGTGTTGTTTATGAGTTCAATGTCGAGCTTGGTGAGGAGTTTCCATGGCGGAATTCAAAGTGCTGACTTTGAAAATTCCTTCAGTGTGAATAATTATCAAGTCTTTTGGGTTGGGCAGGAAGCTGCTGAGGAAGGAGGAGGAGAAGAAGCAGAGACGAGGATTAATCTCCATAACTGACCAAATAATTGGGAATTAAATGGCTTTTTCGAAGAATCAGATATTGATTAGGATTGGATTAATTGAGTACTGGGATTTTGATTAATTTTTATGGATTATCTTGGATTCCCGCTAATTCTGCGCAGGCCCCTGACGGCGGAAATTATAATCCGGACTGACGACGACGAGGGTCAGTTTCGTCGGAAAGTGACGGTAGTGAATCTCCTCGATCGGACCAGCTCAGAAGAAAAGGCCGAAATGGTGATCCATTGAAGTTTCCGTCGGCATTTTCTTTGAAGAATAAGGTTGCATATGGACATCAGATAATCCAATTCATAGCAACAACGTCGGGCGGCTCTTGTTTTGCTGCCGGCTTGGACCTATTGTAGTATTGTGGGTGAAAATGAGTCAAACTTGTTGATTTGGGAAAAGCACGTTCGACACTTTACTCGTTTGCTAATAATCAGAGATAGAGCTAAATTTTGTTCGGCTTGAAAGGTTCGTGAGTCAGCTCGACTCGGTAGCTTGTTGAGTTCAACTCATAAGCTAGTTCAACAATATGATTAGCAGGACATTTCAACTATCAACTTATTAGAGCATATATCTCATTACATATGATGTTTAAGAATGTGAGCATGTTATGAAAATATGTCTCCTTTATAATTTAAAAGATAAAGTATGTATCTAGATACTAGTTAATAATTACTATCGAATAACATGATATGAATAATTACAATTATAAACTAAATGATATGATACCTTAGTTCAAGCTGAGTCTCGCAAGCTAATTGATGAGCCGAACTCGAGTAGAGCTCGAGCTAGAGTCAAATACAAACTAAGATTTTAATAAAAAAAATGAGCTCGAAGTCGACTCGATTATTAATAAATCGAGACTCGGCTCGGCTCATTTCCCACCCATACCTAACCAAGGAGGCACATTTGCGTGGGCCAGATTGGGCTTTTGTTGGGCTATTAAATTTACCCACGATGCACGTGATTCGGGCCCAAGCATTGACCAAAAGCAATACACACGGCCCAACCAGCTCGAAGAACAGGTGGCTTTTTCTTTCGAACGCTTGTTTCTTTTCTTCTCCGAACAGAACCGAGATCTCCGCTCGGATTATTCTTCCCCTTGGACTCCCGTCGCCCGAACTAGGAACCGCCGGTGCTTACAGTCAGCGTCCATCGTCAATCATGGTAAAAATTCGCCGTCTTCCGAACTCTTTACTCTTGCTCTCACTTCAGTTTGAACACGCGACGGCGCCTTCCTGTGTTCTCTCGATGATTTCCAGCTTCTGTTCTTTGCGTTTGGCTTTGCTTAGATCCGTTGAACTTTAACCCGCTGAATTTTATTCGAATCGGAAAATTTGGCAGCGGGTTCATTGAGTTTCGCTTGAATTTGATGGATTTCGATAGTATTGGCCTCTCATTTCTCGATTTCCTTTTGCTGGTTTGGTTGCTAGGAGAAATTCTGGTGGATTGAAAACGAGTTGACTTGATTTTGGAAATTTTGTTCTGTTAATGGTTTTTCTTTTGTTTGGTTTTCAGTGCTTTATCTTGTTGTGTTTCATTTGGTGTATATATAAGCTTGGGTGAAGCTTCGCATGCATCGTCACTGTGCATAGCGATGAATGATATGCTTACTGTTGACAAATCTAACTTCGACTGGTTAGAGCATTTCGTGATAAGCTGGATGCCTTTTCTACCTGACTTACTTTGAAATTCGTTTTGCGAATGGAATTCTTCGTGGTAGAATTGGGAACGGATGAGGGATCTTTGACAGTTTTGATCAAACCATTAGTTTATGCAACTTTGCTTTACTAGAAAGGATGCGTGATTGTTTGCGGGTAAAGTTTGTAGTTTTTCGATGGTGGAGTCACTTGCAGGGCTTTCGGGTTATATATCACTATCTGTAAGTAAGACATATAATTGATGGTTTTGTTTGTTCTTGAATTCTGGCTAGGAGTAGAAGTACTGGTCCTTGGTATCATTAAGGCGTTATGTTTCCAGTGACTGTGATTTAGAGCATTCCAGTTTGCTAACCTGGTTTGGATTCTCCATACGTAGAGCCACACATTCTTATCATATTAAGGCATTATGACCTTAACGGTGTGATTCTTCTTGTTACATCGCAGATTCACTTTGTGTGTCTTATTAGTCGCCAAGGCAAAGTCCGGTTGACAAAATGGTATTCAACTTACACACAGAAAGAAAGATCCAAGGTAGTTTCGAAGACCATATTCTGTTGATATTTCATGTGTAAACTGCAAACATTGTCCCTGGTCTATGCTTTCTTTTATGATGTTTCCTGATTGATTTTCCTTTATATCCTTGGTAACTGAACTGTAAGGCCATCCGTGAGCTTAGTGGGGTGATTCTAAGTCGAGGGCCCAAGCTCTGCAATTTTGTTGACTGGAAAGGATATAAAGTTGTTTACAAAAGGTTGGTTATAAATTCATGATTCGAACATCTCCTGAATTCCGTTTTTCAGGGTGTTTGTTTATCAATCTCAAGCTTATCAACTTTGTCGTGGTGCAGATATGCTAGCCTTTATTTCTGCATGTGCATCGATGACGAGGACAACGAGTTAGAGGCCCTTGAAGTTATTCACCACTTCGTCGAGATTTTGGACAGATACTTTGGCAGTGTGAGTGAACTTGTAACTGTTATTCTAACTTTTGTGTGTGGTGCAGATATGCTAGCCTCTATAATTGTGTTGAACTCTGCAGCAATTGCTTTTTCATTTATCACTCGTGTTCTGCAGGTCTGTGAGCTGGATTTGATCTTTAACTTCCACAAGGTGTGCACTTGCTTGCTTTACAGTCGAGGTTTCAGATAATTTCTTTTCCGGCTACGTGTTTGGATAACTTCCATTGGGTTGATTATCTAAACCTTCTGTATTTTGCGATACCGCAGGCCTATTACATATTGGACGAGCTTCTAATCGCTGGCGAACTCCAGGAATCAAGCAAGAAAACAGTCGCCAAGCTAATCTCTGCACAGGTTTGTATCATATGATCTCCATTTCTCTCAAAAGCAGTAGTTTCTCTCGTTATTGACCGAGAGATCAATGATGGTTTTCTCATGCTGTAGGACTCTCTGGTAGAGGTTGCGAAGGAGGAGGCAAGCTCCATAAGCAACATCATTGCTCAGGCCACAAAGTAAGAGGCATACTGATGTGTCGTTTGTTTAAACTACTTTAAAGAAGTGGTTTGGTGTAATTAGCTGAATCCTATACATGCCCCTGTTTTTCGTGTTCTTTGACCAAACATCTGTAGTACCTGCTGTGTAAATCTGGTGCCTGCATTTGAAGTACTGTTCCCCTTTAATTTAGAGCTTCTTGTTTTACCTTGGACTTCAGTTTTCGACAATCCAAAAGAGAAAAAAAATGGTTGCTATGGTGGTTCCCTCTCTTCATGATCAGTTCAAGCCTTCAAGGTTTAACCCATTTCCTTGTTGGGAAAGATAGTACCATTTTGGTTGTGTATCAAACACTACTGCATAGTTACTGAATGATGCCCTCTGGGCTCTGGTCTCTGGAAACCCAGGCGAGTAATGGTCGCTGAAATTTTCTGCATTTCTTTGGCAACCATCTTGTGGTTCCGAAAGTAAAAAAAAAAAGAAAACAACTTTGTAAATGGTCGCCAAAGGACTATTTTCTGCCGCCGCTCCCACTGGTTGCATTTGGTGATTATTTGGGAACAAAATGGTCGCCGTGAATTTCTGAGAGGTATGATACCCTGGTATAGTAAAACCTTTAGCCACCACTTGTCTACTTTACTTTGCCACTTTCTAATTGTCGTCGCCAATAAACATTGCTCTTGTATTGAATATAGAATAATCTGCTCCACACTTCGCTTGATATATTGTGGAGCGAGAAACGTAGTAATAACCAAGGTTCAAAAAGGCGATAGGCGTAAGGCGAGAGTTGAGGTTTCGCCTAGCGTCTAACTTGTTTAGACGTAGACTAAGCGTGTCTATCGTTGAAAGAAAAATAGTTATTCGCACTACATGATGAATGAAATAATAATCTACAACACTTCCTCACTTTAGTTAAATGATTAATAACTAATTACTCAATACTTAATGACAATAACATAGCTCACGAATTCATAGAATCATAGCTCAATAGCTCAAAAGTTCTTGAGCTATTGAAAATATTGATATAGAAAATTGATTTCGTAGTTGACGTTAATTTTCTCCTTTAATATTGACTTCCTAGCTCCATCTAGTAATGTTTAGGAGAGAATTATATGTCGCGTTACTCCATTGATGTGTTCCAGCGTCTAATTAGGAGTGAAACTTCTAAGCGAGGCGTTTTGTCATTGCCTTGCGCCTAGGCGTGCCTAAGCGTAAGGTTTTTTTTTGGTTGATAATGACGAATATATTAATAAAAGCAAAAAGAGAAAGAAATACAAATGAAAGGAGAAACAGAGGCTCAGGAGAAGTGAACCCGTCTCCCCACAGAGCACAGAACCAAGAGAAGAAAGAAATACGACATACAACTCTGAAACAAAAACGAAAACAGAGGGGAGAAAAAAAAACAAAAAGAAGACGAAATCAACTAGACGAACTGAACCAGCCTAAGCGTAAGGTTAAGCGTGCCTTTTTGAACCATGTTAATAACCATACATTTTGAGCTCCTAGAACACCTCATTATACATTTACCAAGACTATACACAGCAAAATAAAAAACAAATTAAACACACCCACATATATAGCTTATATATGCTTTCTCATCATGGATTAAAATCACATAAGCCAACTTCCTAGCTAAGAGTTACGTGGGATAAAAGACACGGGAACCGTACCAGTGATTCGATCGAAATTAACAACCTCGCCTACCAGAGTCAAAAACCGATAAACGGTGGTTTTCAACGGTATGAAACGGTTGTACCAAGAACAGACCACAGTCTCAACACAAAATTAAAATACGTTATACCGCTGATTTTTCCGGTACAACCTCAGTGCCATTCAGCGATTTGAATTCGTTTCGCAGTACCAACGTAGTTCCCATAAACCCCATCATCGTACACTTCGTGGTCCGTAACGTAATACCTATCATTTACGTTATACGCCGTGAAGCCAAGACGCTTGTCTTGAAACGCCAGCCGGCACCAGAAAACCGTCCCTGCACCAATGCTCGCCCCGAAGCTCCAACTGTAAGGAGAATCGGCGACGACGGCGTGACCGTGGAGGTCGTCGTCGGCGGATTGACAGTGCACTATCACCGCCTTCTTGCTGCTCAACTTGTTGGCAACGCTAACCGTCAGCTGCGTAACAGCTGCAGAATCTTGTATCATAACCGTCGCTAAAACGACCGCCGCTAATAGTACTGCTCTGGTTCTGGTCACTATAGCTAGCTGCTCCCTCGTCATTATATCCTGGTTCATTGGTTACTATTGATTGGCGCGGTCGTGCTTTTATAGTGATTACTGCGTTGATCGGTGGTGGTTATAAGGCTTCTGGATACGTACGGCTGATCTGCATGTGTGTTTGGTTGGTAGTTGTGGGTTCTTATGCTGCTTGGATGTAGAGCTTCACAGGATTGTTTTCGGCAGCTTTAATTTATCGTTTAGATCAGAAGATCGGTGACAAACGAAAGCCCTAGCTAGACGACGGTAATGAAAACTGTTTAAGTTCCATTTCAGCCAAAGGGTAAAAGACAAGCAAAAAAAAAAAAAAAAAAAAGGTACAGTTTCACAACTTATTGATACCAAGACCTGTCGTGACTTAAAGTAGTTATGAATTATGATCTCATGTTTAGTGGCGGAGCCACGTTGAAGGGAGGGTACGTATAAAATTTGTAATAAATGACATTTCGAAAAAATCTGTCTACAATTTTTTATGGTACCTGTTTGGAATCCGTAAAAAACGGACCCCGAAAAATCCGTTTAAATAGGTGCTGAATAGACTTGATCATCGATGAACAATAGATTCAGGCCGAATCCGTGATCGATCGGTAGCTTTCAAAATTTGAGGAAAATGGCTTTTTGAAAAAAAATCACCCAAAAAATTACGAAAATGTCATCCAAAAACAATCCTCTCATATCGGCGGTCATTTGACTTCTTCATTGGTGGAGAATAATCTTAGACCGAATCCGTGATCTACAGCCTTCAACATCCAAGGAATATGGCATTTCAAAAAAATCGTCCGAAATCTGTGATGGTACCCCTTTGAAATTTGCAAAAAATAGCCGTGAAAAGAACCCGCCTAAACTGGTGCTTAATAGACTTAATCATGGGTTAAGAATAACCTCAGACCGAATCCGTGATCTGCAAAATACAAGGAAAAGGACATTTAGAAAAAAAATCGCCCAATAAATTACGAAAATGCCTTCCGTAAAAATTATACCCAAATTTGCGATTAATAGACTTCATCATCGATGGAGAATAGTCTCATACTAAATTCGTGATCTGTTGTCTTCAAAATCCAAGGAAAATGGTTTTTTGATAAAATCGTCTGAATATGTGACAGTACCTCTGAAATCTGACAAAAATGGACCCGGTAAAAAGCTGAGTCGGTGTTTAATAGGTTTAATCGTCGGTGAAGAATAGTCTTAGACAAATCGAAGATCTGTAGCTTTCACAATCAAATGAAAATGGCCTTTCGGAAAAAATGCAGTCATTTTAGAAATATCGGTCTTAAGGCTAATTAATTAATTAATTCAGTTAACTTCGATAGTAGAAATTGTCTTAATTAGTTAGTACGTGGTAATTCTCAATAGAGATAGCTATCAATTTAGAGGTATCCCGACTGTAGAAATATGGATTAAATTGATTGACAAGGGCAATTAAATTTACAGAGGTAACATAGTAAAATCTTGTGTTTCCCTCAGAACTCTCCAATATCAATTTCTCCAAAATAGTTGAATTATCGAGTTACTTAATTTGTGTGATCTTTGCAAATATTCACTTGATTACAACCTTTGCAATTCTTATAGTTTCTTGAACTAAATTTGTTAATTTTTGAATTTCACAAATCCCCTAGAGAATGATACTTTTACTTACACTTTATTACTTGTACGACACTGTCCACTTGCAGTTTGTCGCCACCAATAGACTCAAGGAGAAATCGTGATATGTAGCCTTCAAAATCCTAGGAAAATGACTTTTAGAAAAAAGATATAAATGTTTTTCGAAAATGCCCTTTGAAAAAAACCACCCAAATGGGTGATAAATTGACTTACTCATCGGTGGAGAATAGTCTTATAGACCGAATTCGTGATTTAAACATTTCAAAATCCAAGGAAAATGACTATTCCAAAAAATCGCCCGAAATCTGTGATGAATACCCTATTGGAATTTGCCAAAACTCGACCCGAAAGAAATTCGCCCAAATCGACGATTAATAGACTTCCATCATCGATGGAAAATAGCCCACTCAGAAGAAGTAATGGAAGCTAATTGATTAGATTTGCTTGATCAAATGATAATGAAACATACAAATAGGTATAAAATTATAAACTAAAATTAAGAAGAGAGGTGTAAAATGTCAAAATCTTGCGAGAGGATGAAACACACCCACATACATAGCTTATTTACAATGCTAAATCGATACATGCGGTCGCTAGTAGTAGCAGCTTAACTTGTTGGCAACGTGAATCAATCGACACCCCGAAACATGCTGCAGAGTCTTGTATCAGAACCGCCGTCGCCAAAGCGACCGTCGCTAGTAGTACCAGCTGCTCCCTCGTCATTATATATATATGTGGTTACTAAAGATTGGCGCAGCCGTCGTCGTTCTATTTTGGATACGTAGGGCTTTGTGCATGTGTGTTTTTGGTTCGCAGTAGTGGGTCTTATGTTACTTGGAATTGTTTTCGGCAGTTTGATCGTTTTGTAGCCGGAAAGAGAGAGATCAGAAGAGGTGACAAACAAAGCCCTAGACGGCATCAATGAAAACTGTTACGTTCCTTTTCAACCAAAGGGTAAAAGACAAACAAAAAATCTACCCTTCACAATCCATTGATACCAAGACCTGTCGTGACTTATGAAGTTGTAATCTCACGTCAGTGGCAGAGATCCGTAGGAATGACAATGAGCCAGGTTTGGTCGGGTATCTCAATACTTATCCCTGTTATGTAATAAGTCGGGTAATTTATCATGGGATGCGGGTTGGAGCAGGTCGACTCAATGAGTATGTAATTTATATAAAAATTATTAGAAATATTCGTTATTTCCATTATAAGACCAAGAAACAAACCATAATATGATAAATGTAGCTCAATTATTGAAGAAACACTAATTTAAAACTTTATTGTAGCTAAAATATGATGTAATAAAAGGAATATGCCTAGTAATTTAACTAAGATTACCTGTAATTTATGTAAGAACGAGTCGAGAATGGGGCGGGCCAGGACAGGTCGGGAGATGAGAGTATCCATGTCATCCCGCCCCGAAACAAGGCAAACAGGTCGGATAAACGGGTCAAGTCGAAATTGTCATCCCTACTTTGAAGGAAGAGTACATATAAATTATAAAATATGTTTTAATAAAAGCTGCAATAGCTAATTTCATCTTCTTCATCTTTGATTCTTTGGTGAGTAAAGTCTTGCGAAGGGTGTGTACAGAACTAAAGATAGATCTCTCTCTTCAAAGAGTGTAATCCTTCGGTTTACCTACTTTTGTAGAAGAGGGAGAACCTAAGTGTCCTACAAACCATACACACATGTACGCTACCCTTCTATCCGATCGGTTGAGTGAGTAGGTGGGTTGGGTTTATCTACTTCATACTATAAATTTTTGAAGAAATTTTGAATTACTAATCAGATATTCTTTTCTGAAATAGAACGGAAAATAATCAAGAATAATTAATACTAAAATATTTATCGAATAAGATCAGTGTGCCGTTCATTAAGTGAGTAATCATCTTTCTTAATAATCATGTGTCTTATTCTCCATCGATGGATTATATTGGATTCAAATTGCCACCTGCAGTGGTTTTACGACCATTGTGAATTATTGAAAAATAAATTAGCATTGGTTGGAAATAAATTTTGTGAACAATATAAATTGTTAGTAACATAGATAAATTGGTCGTATATTATGTATGTTTAGTAACATATATATATCACGGTCACGTTTTGTGGCGAATTGAATTCGTGACCATTCTGAAATTTGGGTCAGATATTGTCACGTCGACATTATGGTAAAGAACATCCGTCACTAATTAGTTTCTTGCAACGAAAGGCATCGAAACTTCGAAAGGACCGACCATTGGCATTACTATTATTGGCTTACATTCTTTTCCGAAACAGATAGGGAAAATAACCCTATTTAGTAACTAGATCGATTATTAAAAAAAAGAAAGAAAAACAGAGTGCGTAGCAGTGGCTAGGGTTTCTGCGTTCCTCGTCTTCTCCATTTTCTCCTCCTTGCGCAGCCATGCCGGGGGAAGACCCCACGGAAAAGCCCCAATGGCCGGCGGCGAAAGTCAGAGACACTTTCATCGATTTCTTCAAGAACAAAGGCCATACGAACTATAAGTCCAGCCCAGTCGTCCCTGTGAACGACCCGACTCTCCTCTTCGCCAATGCCGGTGAGCTTTTCGTTTTCTCCGTCTCGCTAGCTCGAACGATTCTGATTAGCGCGTCTATTCTGAATAGTTGCTCGATCGGATGAAATACGGGGTATCGACTCGATTTCGCAATTGGGAATTCCGTTTCGCTCTGAGGATGCTTAAATGTTTGATTGTTTCTGCGATCAAGGTATGAATCAGTTCAAACCCATCTTCTTGGGGACGGCTGATCCTAATACCGAATTGGGGAAGCTAAAGCGCGCCTGCAATACCCAGAAGTGTATCCGCGCGGGAGGGAAGCATAACGATCTTGACGATGTCGGGAAGGACACATACCACCATACATTCTTTGAGATGTTGGGGAATTGGTCGTTTGGCGATTATTTTAAGAAAGAGGCAATTGAATGGGCTTGGGAGCTCCTAACCAAGGTATATGTTGTGGCAATTACTACAATGTTGAATTTTTTTTATCACCTTTCTCCAGCTTCTCTCCATTGTACATCAGCTGGTTGCATTTTCTTCGATCGCGTCTTGTTCACCTTCGTTGTCGCCCTGTTCTGTTCTGTTTTTGTCTGTGGGTGATAGGTGTATGGACTTCCCGAGGATCGTATCTATGCTACTTACTTCGGGGGCGATGAGAAAGCTGGTCTAGCTCCTGATAATGAAGCGAGAGACATGTGGCACGAATTGTTGCCTCCTGGAAGAGTGCTGCCATTTGGTTGCAAGGTCAATATGCTTGTTTTTGGTTTGCTTTCCGTTGTTGGTGTGGATAAGTTGCTGCAGTTTGTGTAAGACAACTGATTAATTGGGGCATGGTTTTGAAATCTTCTACTAGGACAATTTTTGGGAGATGGGTGATACCGGTCCATGTGGTCCTTGTACAGAAATACATTTCGATAGGATTGGTAATCGGGATGCAGCATCGTTGGTGAACAACGACGATCCCACGTGCATTGAGATATGGAACCTTGTGTTTATTCAGGTATGGCTAGCTTGTCCTCGGTGGTCACTTTATTTGCTTGCTAGCTGTTCTCATATATGTTGCTCTCCAAATCAGAGCACTGACAGAGCTAAAAGGATCTTGAAACTATCTAATTGCATTTCCTCCTCCCCTCCCATGCTTTTTCCCCCCAGTTCAACAGGGAAAGTGATGGCACCTTGAAACCGCTCCCCTCTAAACATGTTGATACTGGAATGGGTTTCGAGAGGCTTACTTCAATTCTGCAAAACAAGATGAGCAATTATGATACTGATGTTTTTATGCCCGTCTTTGATGCCATTCAGCAGGTACTGTTCTGGTGCTTCTTTCATTTCTTTTCTTTTCAAATGTTTGGTCCTCGAGTTTTCAATGATTTCGATTGGTTAATTTGCTCGATTCTCCATTGTTTACAGGGGATAGTCCTGTAGCGGTCAAGTAATGTTCTCAGGACACATTGTTTCTCTTCTGCAGGCAACAGGGGCACGACCATACTCTGGAAAAGTTGGGGCTGAGGATGTGGATGGAGTTGACATGGCTTATAGGGTTGTTGCTGACCACATTAGGACTCTCTCTTTCGCCATTGCTGATGGTTCCTGTCCAGGTAGGTCATCGCGGGCCTATTTTGGGTCGTTCATTTCCCGAGCGTGCTGGTTCTGGTCGCGGAGATTCTTAATGTTAAATGTTGCAACTGCTTCACTATTTGTCGCTTGTGCAGGTAATGAAGGGCGTGAGTATGTTCTTAGGCGCATTCTTCGCCGTGCTGTTCGTTATGGACGCGAGAAGCTAAAAGCCCGAGAAGGCTTTTTTAACGGGTATGAAGAAAAGGGTTTCTGTGGCTGTGAATGTGGGTCGTCATGCATGTTGTTTAGTACTCATTACACATGAATGAGGGTTGAGATCCCTTGCTGTCACTTACTTTATTGATGGTTTCCATTCCTTTTCCTGTTATACTCAATGCAGGCTTGTAAGTGTTGTTGTAAAAGTGATGGGTGATGTTTTCCAAGAGCTAAAACAGAAGGAACAGCACATCAGGGAAATAATCACAGCAGAGGAAGCAAGTTTTGGGAATACATTGCTTAAGGGAATTGAGAGATTCAAAAAGGACGCTAAGGAGGTTGAGGATGCCCAGGGAAGAGTAATCAGCGGACAGGCAAGGGCTTATTATCTGCGTGCCAACTTTATTGTTTTGATGAGATTTCTAAGGACTTGTATTGAACAAATGCTCTAAAGACAGATGAAATTTTTCATTCTGGCTTGATTGATGTGCTCAGAGTGCCAAGTCCTGTGCTTATTCTATAACTATATTGGTGGTTGGTGCAGAAAGCATTTGCTTTGTGGGATACTTATGGCTTCCCAATAGATTTGACTCAGTTGATGGCAGAAGAAAGGAAACTGGAAGTTGATGTTGAAGGTTACTATAAAGCCATGGATGAAGCAAAAAAAAGATCAAGAAGTGCCAAAACTAAGGTATAGCTGCCTTTATCAGTTTGTTTTTTTTTGTTGAACTGGTTCCAATTCTTCCAATACAGAACTTGAGAGTAAAAATTGATGGAACCTAGCTATGATCTTCCCATTTGTTTCCACAAGCTTTTGGCTAATAGAAACCCTTTTGGCAGCAAGCTGGTGGTGCTGTTGTCCTGGAGGCTGATGCTACATCTGCATTGCACAAGATGGGTGTTTCTACGACGGATGATTCCTACAAATATATTTGGTTCCAGGTTAGGAATATTACTTACTGGGTTAGAATATTCTCTTGCCCTTTTCCTATCTCATTCTTTCTCTGCTCCTTTTCAGGATCATGGAACTTCCATTAAAGCCATCTACACAGGTTCTGAGTTCTCGGAAAGTGCCTCTCTTGGCGACGAAGTTGGCATAGTTCTTCAATCTACTAGCTTCTATGCTGAACAAGGTGGCCAGGTATTCACCAGCCAAGGAAATGGCTCTTTGCAATTCATGTATTCTTAACGCCGAAAAATGTTACGAGACTTGTTTTTTCTTGTAGATTTTTGACACCGGATTACTTGAGGGCTCATTTGGTTCCTTTGAAGTTTTCAATGTCCAAGTATTTGGAGGGTTCATCCTTCATATTGGTTCCCTTACTGGAAGCAGAGGAAAATTCTGTGTCGGCGACGAGGTTATCTGTAAGGTATTTAAAGGACACTAGTAATTACTAGACTGCTTTCTTAATTGGTGTACTTTTGATGGTAAATGCTTCAATGTTCACCTTGTGGTTTGTTCAGGTTGATTACGAGAGACGCAAACTTATCGCGCCCAACCATACTTGCACGCACATGTTGAACTTTGCTCTTAGAGTAAGTCCCTTCCCTTGCCCTCCCCACATAAAATCTTCAGCACTTCTCTGATTGTGTCTTAATCTGATGTCAGGAGGTCCTTGGTGATCACATTAACCAAAAGGGCTCCATTGTCCTCCCTGAAAAGTTAAGATTTGACTTCCGTCATGGTGAGCGTTTTCAGTTTGTTCATAATTGAAAGGTTAGCAGCATTCAATTTGCCTGCTTTCAGATGGTCACTAACTTGATCAAATGATTTTGTAGGGAAACCTGTGGATCCCGAGGATTTAACAGAGATTGAGAAAATTGTGAATGAACAAATTAAGGCAGAGTTAGATGTATACGCAAAGCAAGTGAGCCTGGCTGATGCTAAGCGGATCAATGGTCTGCGAGCTATTGTCGGGGAAGTACGTACGTAATGCACTGAATTAATCTGCAGTTGAGGTTGTTCAAAGTATTAAATGTATGTACTTATTACATTTTGAATTCCTTGTTTATCTTCTCTGTAATGGTAGGTGTATCCTGACCCTGTTAGAGTGGTTGCAATTGGTCGTAACGTTGAGGAACTTGTGGCTAACCCGGATAACAATGAATGGCTGTCACTTTCAACAGAACTCTGTGGAGGTTTTTTTTGTTTTACAATTTGCTCTTCAACGCTCTTCTTCTTTCCATACGTACTTTTGGGGTTTCGTGTGACTTATGAGTATGGAATTTGTTGATAGGAACACATATTACAAACACAAAGGAAGCTAAAAAATTTGCTATCCTCTCCGAGAGTGCCGTTTCAAAAGGGATTAGACGGATAACTGCGGTTACAGCCGACAGTGCTCGCCAAGCGTTTGAATTGGCAAAGAAGTTTGAGCAAGAATTTGAGGAAGCATCCGAAGAAGATGGCAGTGCACTGGAAGAGGTTTGCTGCTATTTCCTAACGTTGATGATTCATTAAGACAAAATGCTCTTTGGTAGTACTCTCCACATATGATTGCTTTTGGTTGATTGTTTTCGTATAATTAAACAGAAATTCGCATCTCTGAATAGTCGTCTGGGACCGGCAGCTATCCCAGTAGCCAAGAAACATGATCTTTTGTCCAGGCTACAGGCACTTCAGGTATTGCTGAGGACACACTTGACTTTCAATACCTGCTTGTCCTCCATTTTCTATTACCCCGGATGTGGTTTTTCATTATCCCTTCTAGTTTCTGCTGTAGTGTTGCCTTTGGCCCTAGAATTACCACTGAAATGTTTTAAATCTTATCAGAAAGAAGTGATAAAACTAAAGAAGAACATTGCTGGAGAAAAACTGCACAAGGCTGTGCAGGTTGCAACCGAGACTGCTGAAACTGCTGCATCGGAAAGCAAATCATTCTGCATCGCGAGAGTCGATCTGGGTTTGGCTGCAACTCCAGTTCGCAATGTCGTATCAAAAGTCCTGAGACAGAAGGTGCGTGGGGTTTTATTATGTTTGACCGCATATATTCTGCTAGTGATGCCAATAGGTGCAGAGAAATCGGAACCAAAAAAAAAAAAAACAAATCTTTTTCCATGACACGGGCTGTTTGCTACATATGTTATTGGCAGGGGATCTCCATCATGGTTATCAGCACTGATGAAACCACAAACAAAGCAGTGGTGTGTGCTGGAGTGCCGGATAAGTCGAACAAGGTGAAGCAGTTGGAGGTTTCTGAATGGCTGAGCACTGCTTTGGGGCCTCTGAAAGGAAACTGTGGCAGAGGAATAGACGGTGTCACTGTTGCCACTGGCCAGGTTGGTAGTTTTGAGTGAGCATATGAATAATGCAAGTGTATCCCCCATTTTCCAACTCATTCGACATAATGATGCGAGCTGAATGAATTCGATCTCTCTGTTTCAGGGGAACGATGCGTCGAAGGTGGATGAAGCCATTGATGTGGCGTCGAAGTTTGCCGAGCTGAAGTTGCGATGATGATGACGATATCGAACGTAGAACAGCAAACGTACAATCTACTTGGAAGTAGAACAGGAGATTAGAAAGGAATATGGGTTTAGGAGTGAGCAGCTGGACTATCCTAGCCTAGCCTTGAGTGTGTAGAAGAATTGCTAGTTAGGCATTGCTTCAATCGAGTGTTTAGTTAGGCACGAAGCAAGATTAATCAGGATAGAGATACAGATGAACGAACCATTGTCGATCCAACCTCTACAAAATATGATGAAAATTTTCAGTTTTATCCCTTCATGATTTGTATTTCTATAATGTTAAAGTGAAATTAGAGATATTTTAGACATTTGTGTTGTCCAAAACATGGTTTAATTATGGTTAACCGTTTTTCGATAAAATTGTAACATAATACCATACATAATAATTTTTTCAAAGTACATCAGCATGATTAATTTAAAAAATAGTAAAAAATATTTGTATCTAATCTAAATATTCTCTTTTTAAAATAGTAAAAAGGCTATAGGAATTTTCTGGCACCACATTTTGGAAGCATGCACGTGCAATTGTCTTCCAGGACCAGTGATGAAGACTTTTAGTGACGACACAGTTTCCCGTCATGAAAGATACAATTGCACGACATTTGTATTCGTCGTCTAAAAGAATTATCGAAAGGACCGGCCTAATTTTGGTCATTGGAGACGGAAATTATATTCCGTTGCATATTACAATGAAACGTTGGCAACAAATTGTAGGTTACTGCGTGATGGAAACCATTAATTAAGAACCAATTCATTTCTACAATTCGAATAATTGGAAGAGGTTCAAATACGAAATCAGGTGCAAACTAACTTACCTCACAGTTAGTTCAATGGTCCAAGAGAGCTCTTCTTTGAACTAAGAAAGAAGGGCTTGCTTAATGAAGAAAAGAGAAGGTTATAATTTACACATAATCCATGAAAAATAAAAATAAAAATGTTCTACGGTAGCCAAATTCGCCTCCACGCACCCATGAACCGTTCACCACCGGTGCGTATATCCTTCCCGTAAAGCCCACCGTCGTAGACGCTCCAGTGCTCGAAAAAATACGGCACCTCATCCCCGTACGCCACGAAAGAAAGACGCTTATCTTCGACCGCGAGGCTGCACCAGAAAAGTGTCGTCGCCATAGCGTTCGACTTGAAACTCCAGCGAAATTCGGCACCGATCTCGACGCAGTGGGCACCGAGATCGTCATCGCCGGATCGACAATGCACTATCAGCATCTTGCTGCTCAACTTGTTCGTGACATGAACGGTCAGCTCCTGGATCGAAGGATGCGCCATGGATAACAAAACCGTCGCTAAAACAACCGTCGCTAGTAACTTTTTGTGGACAGCCATTGTGATCTATATCGTGTAATATATAATTTTTTTTTCTCCTACTGATTTTTGCAGTACTAATTAGTATATATTGAATACTGGAGGGATAGTGCCCTCTGCATCTATTGCTCGTGATTTGTCGTTTTGCTGATGTTCCGTTGCCGTTTTATGGGAAACCGGTCGGCGATCCGCTGCCGCTTTGTTGTTTGGATCAGGACGTACGTCCAAACATCAAAGCACAAAACTTTGTTGGAAGATGTTAGGGTTATCTGGCAACTGTCTTTTGTCCATGTGTTGGATCTATTTTCGACATATATCAGTAATTATCGGGATTCCGGACTAATCAGTTTTCGACATATATATAGTATTAGAGTTTTTAACCGCGCGTGATGTTTCGCATGCTCGAATCTTGATGACTCTCAGCATTAACTATTCATTTTAAGCACGTGACATGTTAATATATGTGCGCAAACTTCGAATCTACAGGCAATGGTTCGATATTTTTCTTTTAGTAAATTTTGTGCAGGCCAACAAAATACTTCGAAGTAAACGAGCTCTGTGAAAATACAAGCCACTAATCAGCCAAAGAAAGATGATGGAGAGTTGGCCGATCGATGACGACAAGCGCGCGCATAAAATCCCGACTAATTTTACCTCCTATTTTATATTTGAATACCGAACTACCTTCAAATATCGATAAACCCATTTAAACACAAAGTATAGTGAATATATCGTTAATACGATCTTCACGAAACCATCCAACCAACCAACCAACCAACCAAACAGCAAAACCCATATGCATACACACATATGGTTTTTTTTTTGTCAATATTGGCGTGGTGAAACTCGGCGCCATGGAGCCTCATAAAACGTGGCATTTGCGTGCCTGGTCTGCCCATAAACCCCATCGTCATGAACATACCAGTATTCCGTGTACATATCACCCTCGTAATACGCCACGAAAGAAAGACACTTATCTTCGACCGCGAGGCTGCACCAGAAAAGTGTCTCCCCGAGCCAACTCGGGTCGAAACTCCACTCGAAACTCTCGCCCACGGCCAACCCGTGGGCCCCGAGATCGTCGTCTTTGGATCGACAATGCACCATCAGCATCTTGTCGCGTAACTTGTTGGTCACGTAAACACTGTCCTGGATGGAAGGACGTGCCATGAATATCATGACCAATAATATGGCCGCCAAAACCGCCGCCGGACGTAGCAATGCCATGGTGGCGGCGAGATATAAAGCAATCCGATCAGTCGTCTCTCTTTGCTTAATGAAACGAATGGTCGAATCGATCGATCGCCATTGTTCCTTATTATTATAGTGGTCTGCTTTGCTTCGCTTCTCATTGACCGCTCCTTTGTCGGAGGCTCTGCTTCTTTTGGGGATGTACGTCGACAAAAAAAGGGACATGCAGAGTTGCCGGCGCGACCAAACTCTTTTTGACTTTTTTGCCCTTTTCCCCGGCAGCCAGAAATTGTGAGCACCAAAAAAAGCCTATATGTGGGGGGAAAATGATTCTTTCAGGGACTGCATTTTTTCCTATGGAAGAAGTTTCCCTGAACTTTTTTTCTTTCTTTCATACGTGGCTATACGGTCCGGTCTGGTTAAATTGATCCGAATTGATCCGGTTCCAATTCGGTTTTTTGAGAATATAAGGATCAAAGATTGGATTGGATACAGTCCGGTTTTGATCCGGTCCAGTTTTAACCCAGTCCGGTCCCAATTCGGTCTTGATTTTAGATTGAGATTGTGGAGATTTTAGTGGAGTTTTGGGTGTTGGACTCTCTTATCTGGTCTTTATCCGGTTTTGGTCCGGTCCCGAATGGTTTTTTTACCTAAAATCTAAGCCCGAATATGAGATTTGATTGTTTGCTATTCGGTTCCGGTCCGGGTTATATGGTCCGATTTTGGGTAAAACCAAAAAGTTCAGACCAAATAGCCAGCCCTATTCTTCGACATGGTTAATTTGTTAAGGGGAGGAGGGTAGGGGAGGTTTGATTCGAAACTGGGATCTTCATGTTGAAGATCCGCTGTGTCATTTATTTTCCCGGGGAGAAAATTTGAGTTGAACAGAATGAGTTTGCATCTTTGGCTTGTTACTAACGATTAAACAACACGCGGAATGGATTTGCACACGTTTCTCTTAACAATTTTTTTTAAGCACGTGACATTTAAGATGTATAGACATGTGCAAACTTCAAATCTATAGGTAGTGGCGGAATCAGAAATCTAAACTAGATAGTGGGAAAATTTGTGAAAAGTTTGTTGATTTTCGCCAATTGCTAGTCTGTTGATTTTCTTTCTGAAAAGTGCGTTGAAGAGAATAGTATATAGAATTGATTTTTATAGTTCTGTCAACAACTTGAATTATTGGGAGAGCTCAACCAGCCACAAACAATGGATTATATGAAATTAAATTATCACTGTTATATAAAATACGCTCTAGTTTTTTACATAATAAAAAACTTGGCTCCGGGTAATGGGTTTTGAGAAGTGGTAGATTTTGCAATCAGTTGTTTGGTTGATGAACTTCTGTTATGAATTGTGTCATGTGAATTATATTGTGTATGGGCCATATAAATGAGAAAAATATCAAATAGACATAAATTATTTTCAATACTTTTCTCTTAATATTAAGGGTAATGCGTTAAGTGGACTGGTGGATATTCAAGTTTTAGAGGGACTATATGATTTATAAATTTTTCGTGTCCTTGAATTCTAAAATCTGTCCGAGTATAAAACCGATCACTTATATTCTATTTAGTGTGTTAAACAATGGATTTGAAGCAATCCATCAACTCATGGATTTTGGGCAAAATCTATCACATAAAATCTACCAACGAAATGACCTTATTAGAATAAAAGTTTCAATCTACCTGCCAACTCCATTTTGATATTGGCTCATCCAACTCTCAAATTATAATTACTGTTTGAACTGACCCCATCACATGAAATTCTGGCTATGCCACCGCGCTCCCATTACCTTAATATTCATAATGTTATTCATCTTACCAAGGTTGTGTGATAGGCAATTTTTGCTTGTGTGACGATGCATAACTTTATATTCATTAAGAAACTTAGTTCATCTCAATAATTTGAATCTTGTACGAGACTAACATAGTAACATCTACATAGTAATTATTTCATCCTTATAAAAAAAAAACTTCCCAAAATTACAAAAATCTCTACGGTACCCAAATTCGCCTCCACCTACCCATCAATTTTTTGTTGGTAACGAAATTCTTCCCGTACACCCCATCATCGTAGACATTGAAGTACCCGTAATACGGCTCGCCCTCCCCGCCGTACGCTTCGAAAGAGAGACGCTTATCTTCGACCGCGAGATTGCACCAGAAAAGCGTCGAGCCCATCGCGTTAACCTCGAACCTCCAGCTCATCTCGGCGCCAATCTCCACGACGAGGGCGCCGAGATCGTCGTCTTTGGATCGGCAATGCACTAGCAGTATCTTGTTGCTTAACTTGTTGGCAACATGGACCGTCAGCTCCTGGATCGAAAGTTGCGCCATGGCGATTACCGCCGTCGCTAAAAACCCCGTCGTTAGTAACCTTTTGTAGATAAGTACCATTTTGATGTAATGTTTATACATAGTGAGTGGCAATATATTTCGATCCTTCTCGTTTTACTTATAGTAACGAATAAAGGAGGGATGGTGTCGTCTGCCTTCTATGCTTCTTTGTTATTTGTCGTTCTGAAATAGAGGGATGGTGTCCTCTGCCTTTATTGTTCTTGTTACTTGTCGTTTTGCCGATGTTCTGTTGCCGTTTTAAGGGGAACCGAACGGCGACACTCTCAGCCGCTTTGTTCTTCTGGGGACAGTACGTCAAAAGACTTGCCGGTTCATAATAAGACTCTCTTTTGTTGCTAGCTTAACCCCTTTGCCGCCGGCCACTAGAGATACCAAGTCTCACCTTTCACACAATTCGTAACACTTTAGACAAATCTCAATAAAGCACGGGAGATATTTATGTCATAAGAAATAATTCAACATTAATTGATAAGAAGTGTTTTAGGGTGAAACATATATAAGAGTTTTTGTACGTAAGAGAACATGTTGACGCGCACACTGTAGAGCTGAGTTACATCTTGAAAAGTCAGTAAGTCACCAAGATGCACTCATAAACAAAATGGTACATAACTAGACTCGAAAAGGACAATATATTGACCAAATAATATAAAGAGCCAGGATGCTACAATTTGCATACTATGAATCATTAGCTTCGATTCCATAAGAATGACTAACAATGTTCGATTTCGTTATCATTGATTGTATTATGTGTGTGTCCATCAATTTGAAAGAAAGCCCATGATTTGGATATCCTGTAATTCCCTATAAATGCAAACAATATTTATTTTTCTAGTGTATAATAATGTGCAGTGCTCTACCTTTATTTCCGAAATAGATAGAATCTCGTTGGTTCACACACTAGGGAGATGTAAATGAGACGAGTCAAATTCCGATCTATTTCAGACTAAACTCATCAATAAATGAGTCGAGCTATAATTGAGATTGTTTACTAAATATCTAGAGTACTTGTTGGACTCAAACTCGACTCATACATATTTAATAATAAGATGATACGACAAAACTGCCGAAATCAATCTAGAGATGCTGTAAATCCCACTATCCCAGTTATAAATTAAGCACTTACAGGAAGCTAGCTCTTCTTCCCAAAGAAATCAGAGACGTACGCACCCAAGGTTTACAGTAATATTCCCAATACGATCTGTTTTCCGTCGAGAAAGTGGTATATGAGATTAATTTTTAGGTGTAAACACAATCATGACGAGGAAGCAGCTTGCAACCATTGTCCACAAGGCGCTGCTAGCGGCGTTCGTTTTGGCGGCGGCTGCAATGGCGGATAGATATTTTGCGTCGGTAGATATTACCAACAAGCTGAGCAGGGGAATCGTGCTCATCGTGCATTGCAAGTCCGGAGACGACGATCTCGGGCCTCGTGCCCTCGAGGCCAATGCGACCTTCGGCATGACCTTCCACCAGAACTTCTTCGGAGGGACGCTGTTCTGGTGCGACCTGGCGGTCGAAGATAAGCGTCTTTCGTTCACCGCGTTCGACGAGAGCGATCACGAGACGTACGTCAAGGCGTTCGAGGTGTCAGATGGCGGAGTCGACGGGGTGGATAGTTTTAGCGGGGAGATGGTTCATGTTTGTGGGTGGAGAGTTGTGACTCATTTGAATTTTTAGTGACGGATTTGGGTGTTATTGGGCGGGCTGACGACGACAAAGCTACTATAAGGAACGAACTTGTATTTGTGACAAGATAAAAGTTGGTCGCTAAATCTTCGTGGCGATTTCTCAACCAATGAGTAGTGCATCATCCCACCTCTATGCTCCTTGTGATTTGTCGGTTCGCGTATGTTTCTATTGCCGTTTCAAGGAAACCGATCGGCAACCTCGAAATACTTGCCATTAATGCACAAAACTCAGTTGGATATTAGCGGGAAGATCCAGGTTATTACATATCCATCAATAATTGTCATATTAATTAATGTCCTTAATTTAATGGATAATATATATTTTTTTAAAATCGTAATTGTTTTTGTGCAGAAAAATTGGATTAATTGTGCTCTTTAAAATATTCTCTATCATATACTTTGGAATAAAAAATTTTGAGAAGCATATTACCATTTATACCGTGGCGGTAATGCTTGATAGTAAATGAGATTAAATCACGGTGGTATGAAAGTGTACATGTTGTATGACTATATAACATAGTGTCATAGTGCAGAATGATTGTATAAATGATAGTAGGAATATACTAGCTAGCCATTATTTACCATCTTTCATCACCATCTTCCACTAGTTATCACCTTATACAAGGATTATATATTTAGTCGTGAAAATCCCTCCCGGAATTATGCAGATTCAATAGATCACAAAGAACACGTTCTTTCCGTGCAAAATTTGAGTGAAACGAAGATAGTAGCAAAGTGGCCCAGCATAGAAGGCAGACGACACCATCTGGAGAAGGTACCATACATACCTTCTCAATCGTTGTAGTCTGTATAATCTCAAATATAGTGAAACTCCTGTGTCCGTGAACGTAACTAACACACTTATTTTAACGAACCACATATGTTATTTTTTTTACTTTCTTGGATTTTCCATCGCATCAGTTCAATTCCAACCACAAATATGAAGTCGATTCCCACTGTAAGTGTCGTCGCCGTCCACTCCGCCGTCCGACACCTCGAACTCCTTGACGTACGAACTGTGATCGTCCTCGTCGAACGCCGTGAAGGAGAGCCGCCGGTCCCGGAACGCGGCCTTGCACCAGAACACCGTCCCATCTCCGACGACGTTCTGGCCGAAACTGAAGCCGAAGCTGGCGCCGGCTTCCACGGCGCGAGCCCCGAGGTCGTCGTCTTTGGACCGGCAGTGCACTATCAGCGCCATGCTGCCGCTCATCCTGTTGGTGACGTGGATCGTCGCCTCGTGGTATTTCGCCGCGGTGAAATGATGGTGAAGTTTCAGCATGGTCGCCTGCAGGACGACCGCCGCGAAGATCGCTCTGTGGATGATCGTTATGGCGACGAGACAAGTCATAGAGAGTGAATCTCTTTTGTTCTTCGAGGTTTTTAGTGACGAGAAATTGGTGGTGGTGTGATGGTTTTTTTGTTATGTATGTATATGAACTAAGGTGGGAGAATGATCTCTATACCGCTTTTGCTCTTGGTCTTGGAGACGTACGGCTCTTTGTGTCCGTTGATTTGGGTCGATCTGGATAATTAATTAATTCGAGTTTGTTTAGCACGTTTTAATTGTGTGTATTACAATGTATACTTACGGTAAGGCTTTGGTTACAATAGGTTGGTGTCCCAATTTGTGACCAAGTTACATAAATTAGGTTCCGGGAAGTGTTGGCACCATAATAATATATAATTTATTGAGGATATTATGGTAACTACGACTCATAGCAACTTTTTTTTGTTCAGTTTCCTTGCTGCTCCACCCTATTTCCGTGATATTTCGAAATTCATGTAGCAAACTACATGCGTACCGGTTTAGGTTTATGGTTTACGATTTAGATAATTATGATCCAGTGTCCACTCGTTAAAAGTTAGAGTATAATATGTATGGTATTTCAAAATCCGATTAATTCAAGATTTAGATAATATTTTCTACTAAGCATATGCAGTATCCTATATTTACTCAGGTTAACATAAAAAGAGTTGAATATAAATATTTTTAATTCTCACACAACGTGTAGAGTGAGAAAAAAAAAACGAACTTTATATAAATATGCAATGAAGCTTGTCTCTTATTTTCCATATCCTTCGAACGAGCTTTGACACATAATCCATATATACGCGAAGGAAATTCAGCTTTCTAATAAAATATTACATGGAGTAATGATTAAAGCATGCATGATAATATAGCTACAACCAAATAAAAGCACATTTATCAAACGCTGCTTAATTAATTAATGATGAGCATTGAGCAATACAATATTCAAGCCGTACGTAATTGAGATGACCAAGAGCAAAGCTGGAGTTCGATCTAGCTTAGGCCATTCATTCACTCATTCATCCCATCCCATCCCATCCCACCTTTAGTATTTAAGAAGACCCATCTATCATCCCTTTGTTAATCATACACAACAAACCCTAAACAGAAAGCAACCTGCCGATCACTATTATGATCCACCAAAAACTATTAGCCACCACGGTAGTTTTTTAGCGACCACAATCATAATAATCATGGCACCACCCTCCATCAAGAAGGAGACCATGACTGTCGCCAATAAGCTATCACGACAGGACCTCGGCCCTGGGGATAAGTAGAGCTGGAACTATTTCGACGGGACACTTTTCTGGTGCGACCTCGAGCTGGCGAACGATCATCATCGTTGTCTTCATTTCGATGAGTTCGATCAAGACAACGACCTGCATAGTGTTCGGTATTGGGAGGTTCGTGATGGCGCGGGGTTACCTCGGTGTACTCGCCAATGTTCGAACGGTTACGCGTGCTAGCTAATTAGGTGTGTCTCTATATATCGCGATGCATAAATCCACCGCGAATATCTCGTTCTGTGACTGTTGAGGTATTCAATAAATCAGTTTGTGTTTTGTAATTCGGTTCTCTTTGTTTGTATCTCTTTTTAACTCTTTGCCATAAAGAGCGAGGCTTCTGGATTCTTTGAGAGGTCTGACTATACATCCTACATTATTCGTACTTTTTTTGTTTTTGCGATCGCACATATTGATCTTACTTTGATAGAGAAAAGAAATTTAGTTGTTGTGTATGTGCACGAGAGATGTGATCATGGGAGATTTCTGCAATTTGATCCCGCAACATCTCGAATTAAGTTTGATGGAGATTATGATCATCGATAGCTAGCTAGCTAGATCTCTCCCCCTACTCAACCTAGCTAGCTATCAACACACTTACCAATTACCATAGATATGTATACTACTTATTAAGACATCCCCGTAAAATTGGGCCTTAGTTGATGGGTCATTGGCATTGTTTTGAATGTTTTTTGTGGTGTGGAGGGTATTTTCACAATCTGTCAAGTCCAATAACTAGTTGGGCTTAGAAGAGGTTGGTGGATGGGCTGGGCTCAAATAAGTGTTGTGCGTAATTGAGGCAGCAGCAGGATATCATAGATCAAAAAAGTTATCTAGCGACCATAGTTTTGGCGACCATAATAGTTATTACAGCACGACCTTCAATCCAGCAAAAATAATTAGCGACCGTAATTTATCGGTATTTGATATTAAAATTTACTGGAGTGCGATTAATATACATTGCTTTTAATAGCGTTAAGACAAAATTATTTATACATTTAATATCATTTTCTTCCACGGTCCCTCAAAAGAAAGTCAAAGGAAAGTCAATTCAAACACTTGAAATTTGCACAGATCGATCATACTTTGTGTTTAAACCAACTATTAATATTGGAGGTCGTTGAAATTCGAACACACAAGTAATGGCCAAACCAGTTATATATGATACTAAGACAAGGACCAATTGCTGCCAATAACTCGAATTGTCGAGAAAATGTTAATTATAAATCTTGTAATTAGAAAACTTTAGACATATTGCAGTTCTTACAGCCAAACCTTATCTATTATTTTGAGAACCATTTAATCTCAATAACCCGAATAACTAAAAACGAACCAAAATGATTTTTTATATATATCACTCCCCTTCAAATTTTGTACTAATTTGGTATATCTGTAGTGGGCGGCAAAGAAAGGGCAAGAAACCATAAAGAGTTTCTCTCCGCAAGGGCAAGCCTTTTGACGTTTACCCCTAAGAGCAAAGACGACGAGATGCTCGATGCGGTTTCTTCCCTTGAAACAAAACGGCAACAGCACAACTACAGACGACCAGAAACTCCCAAAACTATGTATGATAAGAATCAAAGAGGCAGAGGACACTATATATCCTCCATCAAATATATATAATTATACCCATCTTTCTCCTTTATCACAAGAGAAAGAAACGGCGATCCGTAAAACAACATTATTATCACATCACAATGATCATCTGCCACAAATTAGTGCCACTGTCTGTAGCTTTTGTGACCATATTAATGGTGGTTATAGCAAGTCGTCACTCAGTTCTAGCGACGAGAATTCAGGTTAGCAACCAGTTGAGCAGCAAGATACTGATAGCACACTGTCGATCCAAGGACGACGATCTCGGAGCCCGTGCCATCATCGTCGGGAAAGATACCGGTTGGAGTTTCGAGGCGGATATTTCGGGGGTGACGCTTTTCTGGTGCAACCTCGCGGTCGAAGATAAGCGTCTTTCTTTCACAGCGTTCGATGGAGATATGTACGGTGATCAATTTTGGGATGTTCGTGACGATGGGGTATACGGGACGACCAAGTTCACCAATGCTCAGTATCTCGAACGTGAATGGAGGCGAATTCAACGGCTAAATTGATCCATGGTGGATTAATGAGCAGTTTTGTACTAATTAAAGACGACACATTGTCATTAATGTGCCTCACAAAAATGTTCAGGTGATGATGAATTAGTACTTGTAACTATTGTGCATTCTATAATTGTCATGCTTGTTAATTATTCGTGTTCCATAATTACTGTCACAAATGGTGACGATATGCGCGTTCCATAATTCCCGTCACAAATGGTATATTCGTCGCTAAAGGCTTGATTTGGTGACTGGCGGATTACCCACCCACGTGACCTCCCCTATCCATCGTGCATAAGTTTTTGCGGCCCTAAAGGTGATATCAAACACACCAACAAGAACTTGGCCTAGTAGTAGTTTGGAACCCGAGAGGTTCTAGGTTCGAATATCTTAAAGAGTACCTTAATTACAATAAAAATTATATCAATCATAAATAAAATAAAAAATGGATCAAACACTACCGTTTCTTAAAAATAATTCCCCCATTTTTTTTTTCATTTTTGTCACTTATTAATTAACTGCTGCAATAGGACAATTTAATTTATCTAAAATTGTAATTAACACCTCTCCCATTATTAAAAATCAATTAGTTTCAATAATGAAAAAATATTAGTTATAGATCTTATAGAATTTACTAACATATCCATCAAACAAAGCCAATTAATGAATTTGAAATATGCAGAGGTTCTAATACCAAATGTCTAACATTATAGGTTGTAAGGACTCAAACACAGAATCTCTCGGGTAATCAAATACTATGATATCATGTCACAAAACCAACTAATTCTAAATCGAGTTGTGGTGAGATGTTCGCTTATAAATCTTATATCATTTACTAGTATATTAGCTAGATCTGACCAACTACTTATCCTACCTCTATTACATACGTTCTTGGCTAATCATCTTTGTCTCAGTCGAGTCTCTTAATGGCATGTTTCGGTCCTATTCCCCATCACTTTGACAAAGTGAGACACCAATTTAGGTACAAAAGACTATCACTATCAGTTGGACGATTAGACCTTCAACCCATAATCACTACGGCCCAATTGCAAGAACAGAGCTCCACCAACCAACTGAGCTATATCCCCCGAGCCAAATGGAAAATGCATGAAGGAGTCACTCTTTCGATAAGTCTGTATGAGGGCTAGGGTTAGATGGGAAGCGTAGAAGATAAGCCATCAACAACTTTGTTATGGAGTCAGTCAGTTGTCGTGTCGTGTCAGTTTGTTTTCAGGGTCGAGAGGTTAGTAGTCGTTAGTGGAAGCCGAATGTATTGGCTGAAGCTATGCAATTATCGTGTTGGCTGAGAGCGACCTAGTCTGCGACTCAACCAGATCGGTAACCCTAAATTTTCTGTTCGGTTTCTAACAATCTCTATACTCGCCTCCTATTTTATTCTTCTGTTCTACTTTCCTTCGACTCAGCCTTCATTTTCGACTCTGATTGGAGCCGTTGTTCTTCGTATTTTCCGAGAGCTACTGGTGAATTCATATCACGTCCAGGATTCAGAGCAGAGTTACGCTAATCCTTCAATTCGTTTACTGCCATTGCAGTTTCTGTTCTAGCTTTTCCGTACAATTGGTGTTGCGATTCCTTCTGTGTTGTGCTTCCTGATAGTGTAATCGTAGTTTTTCTTGGATCGTTTCTTTATTCCATTTTGTATTGTTCTCGCTCGCGAATTTACTCATCGTGGATCTCTCGATTTCCGATTGGATATCTCAACTCTCAATTCAATCTGAGAACGGAATCGACTTATGTTGTTTCTTCACTTCGTCATTTTTCTGAACTTGTCATTACTTTCGAACGCTTCTTGATTGCGTTGTGTTCTTGATTGGGTTGTTTACTTTCGAGATTTCTCAAGATTCTTATTATTTGCAGATAGCATGTTGATTCTTACCCGCTATTTCCTTCATCCGGCTATTCTCTGCTTTCGCTTTTCTATTGCAGCTCTCTGCCAATCCTAGGTTGGGATCATCTTCTGTTTCTTAGAGCTACTGGCGATTCCTTCAACTCGGTGTGTTATTTCACTATCTCTGTTTCTATCCGAGATCATCCATATAGTCATGCTGTGATTCCTTCTACTGTGTCTCTTGATTGTTTAACTAGTGGTTTTCTGGGAAACATGGATTAATTTTTCTTTCTCTTCAAAGATGGATGCTCGGCTGAGATATATGAATCATGAGTTTCAACAACATAAAAACACGTTTAAAGAATGGTAACTCATGTTAGAAATTATTTTCATGATTTTTCTATTTGAATTTGAGCGAGAGATGACTAAAGGTGTACAATCAAATAGTCAAATACGAACAAATAATTCAATTTTAGAACCAAAATATTATTAGGAGATAAAAAAATTAAGATTAAAGAAAATAATTTAGGAATAAAGATATAGGAAATTATGAATAAAAGAAAAGAAATAAAAAGTAAATAATAGAAAAATGAAAAAGTAGATGCATAGATGGGACAAACTCTAATAGACTATTGCCCTTAAAGTTGAAGTTATTTACAACTTAACCTCTTAATGAATAGTAATCTTAGAACCATATAGTCATGTTGTGATTCCTTCTACTGTGTCTCTTGATTGTTTAACTAGTGGTTTTCTGGGAAACATTGATTAATTTTTCTTTCTCTTCAAAGATGGATGCTCAGCTGAGATATCTGAATCATGAGTTTCAACAACATAAAAACACGTTTAAGGAATGGTAACTCATGTTAGAAATTATTTTCATGATTTTCTATTTGAATTTGAGCGAGAGATGACTAAAGGTGTACAATCAAATAGTCAAATACGAACAAATAATTCAATTTTAGTACCACAACAAGTCAAAATATTATTAGGAGAAAAAAAATTAAGATTAAAGAAAATAATTTAGGAATAAAGATATAGGAAATTATGAATAAAAGAAAAGAAATAAAAATTAAATAATAGAAAAAGGAAAAAGGAGATGAATAGATGGGACAAACTCTAATAGACTATTGCCCTTAAAGTTGAAGTTATTTACAACTTAACCTCTTAATGAATAGTAATCTTAGAACCATGCTTTTTATAATAGAGTTGTCCATCATTTATAGGTTGAGTTTTTGTTTTTCTGTTGAAAAAGGAGTTGAAAGGGCTATTTCCCGCTTTCAAAATGAAGCTGATGGCGCGTGAGGAGCTATTTCGTGAGTCAGAAACTCTGAACTGTCCCTGCAGAAGAAGCCCATTAAAGACTATGAGCAGCGCCTTGTTATTGAATCATCTATCGAAGTTGTTTAAGGGCTTGATGAAGTTGGCCAAAACCGGTAGAAAGTTGTTGTTGGAGAAGTTCCCGAGACCTTACCTTTTCGATGATATCTTTGGTGGGGAATCGAACTTCGATTTTGAAGACGCTCTGGAGATATTGTATGGTTTTTATTGCGCACACCGGCTGATTCCGAGGCTCCTCGTTCTCATACATTCTGCGATTTTGTCATGGTTTCTCGTTAACTAACAGAAAGTCAACGTTGAAGATATCATTGAATTGCTGGACGAATTTATTGAGGCTGCCCTTGAAATGAAGAAAGCCTACGAGAGCAAGAGGAAAGAACTCAGCAGAGGCACTATCTGAAGAAGGCATCGTGGGTGTTGCTTGTTGAGGATGCAGAAAACGATAATGCGGAAGAACGACAACACGCAACACAACGATTTACGTGGTATCCCTGTTCGATGTGAACAGGACTAATTCACGGAGAGCTCAACTGAGCTCTCAATTGACGACAATTTATTATTGACGTAATAAACTGACAGGCTTGCTGCTTACAATAAACTTGCAGCTAAGCTTTTATACAAGACCCTAGGCGGCCAAGACCTAGGGGAATTTGGCCGATAGGGTCGGACAACGGTTCGATCCTTATCGAACCAAATCAATATTTGGATATAATATATCTTTATCTTGATTTCAATTTTACATATGAATTATTTTAAATGCAAAGAAAAATGGATAATAATAGAGTTTAACAATAACGAAATACATACCGAAAAGCATGTCCTTAATACAGCTTCTTCCATTGTTTACAAACTATTATAAATAAATGATTTCCAATAATTTGAATTGTTGAAAGTGGGCCATGTGTATGTGTGGTACTTAACCACTTTCTTACGCACGCCCTCTCAAACGAAAGCCAACTTATGAAATTGAATTTTGCAGAAACCCACCATATCATGTATCTTGAAGACAATTTTCGATATTGGATGTCGTAACAAGTATTTGAACATGTGACATCAAGAATAGACCAACTTTGATACTATATCACTTAGATCAACTTATTCCAATAACTCGAATCGTTGGAGAAGATGCAAGTATTACAAACTTTGGTCCTTTGAACTTGCTTGGTGTGCTTTCGGAACCGGCCATATTACAAGTCGGGAGACTACTCTGTCCACCGGCAACTCTTCTCCCTCGAAACGGCATCGCCATTTTAGCAAAACGACAACCACGTCCCCGCCGTAAATAAGAAGCAAAAGCAGCCGAGGACACTACACCACCTTTGAAATAGACTCCATCGATCAATCTCCTACTATACTTTCTCCCCATGATCAGAAAAAGCACTATAAAAAAAAAACGAACAGCCAATCATCATAAAGTTTTTTGTCACCAAAATTTAATTCTTTTGCGACGAGACTTTTCGTCACATAATCCCACTTTTGTTGTAGCGACATATCATGATGTTCACCACCAAAAATTTCCTAGCGACGGTAGTTTTAGCGACCGTAGCAATCATCATCATGGCACATCCTTCACTCCAGCGCACGATTCACGTCGTCAACACACTCGCCGAGAAGATACTGATCGTGCATTGTCGATCCAAAGACGACGATCTCGGTGGCCACGCGGTGGCCGTCAACGAGAGCGTCAGCTGGAGTTTCGAGCCGAATCTCTTCTGGGGGACGCATTTCTGGTGCAACCTCGCGGTCGAAGATAAGCGTATTTCTTTAGTGGCGTACGACGAAGAGTCTGAGTACAAAACCGACTACTGGTTTGTTTGTGACGATGGGGTTTATGGACGGGATAGGGTTACCGGCGTGAGGACTTATAAGGCTGCATGGAAGCGGGTTTGGCCACGTTGGTGAGCCAGATGCATGCATGATTGTATTTACGAAGATAATATTAGTGATTTGATTCGGTGATGATTGTGTGTTCGAAAATATTATTTCGAATTGTCGAGATATTCTAATCAAATGGTTAATTATCTAGTGATGGTTTCTTCCTTGATATAATCTTGGTAACTGAAATGTAAGTTGTTTAAAGTGTAACTTTGTATCGGCTTGCTTACAAACACAACATTTTATGATGAAATAATTGTCGTGCGCTTACTGAAATTTAACGTATTGAACGTAAATTAAATGAAATTATAAATGTGAAGATGCATGATATAACATTAACTTAAGCAGAAGACATATTTAGAAAATTAGTGTAACATGTATAATGACCGTGGATTGGTTAAATATGGCAAAATTGACAAAATTCTCAAACTGATCTGTAATATGTATCTACTCAAAATATGGCAAAATTGATTTATATGACCGTAGATTAGCTAACAATAACATCACATTATGTTAATGATCACTCAGATTGTTGTTGGAGTTGTCGGAAAATGTTGGTATTTTATAATATATTTCTTACATGCCTACGTAGCCAAATGAAAACGATACATATATTCAGATTATTTTAGAACAAGCAAACATCATATACCAGAAACAACATGTGTATCCATAACATAAATAAATCCTCGAATCCATACCAAATAATTGTTCAAGCCAAAAAAAAGGCACACATATGGGGTGATGGAATGACGTAAGAACTTGTATTAATCATTCGAGTTATCGGAACAAACTAGCTCTTAAAAAATTGTAGTTGCATCTACGGCCTAGGAGTACTGGGTATGGTTCAGTTTTTTTAAATTTTAACTGAAATCCATTTTACAGTTTTATCAGTTTCTCTTAACAAATAAAAATCCGATAAATTCTTAATTATTTTAGTTTCGTTTGAAATCGAAAACAGTTAATAAACCGATAAGTCATAATGCAATCAAAGGTTCGCTTTCAGGATTTTTCGATTTCTTCTTACCGAACCAATAAAGACTTATCCACTTCGATTTTGAATAATTGGCTACCTCGAGTTTTGGTTTCTAATAATTTTCACTATATTAATATATTTGCATTTGTTTTGGAAGAATCATGAGCTCCCCCGTTTTCTCTTCCACCTCCCGCTGATCTCTTCTGAGTTGGACCACCCCGGCCGTCCGGCTGTGGGTTCTCTTAATTGGCCGGGAATGATTTGGACGTCGGCAGCAAAAGCGTCGGACGAAGGAACGTCCATACGGCAACATTTCCCTCAGAAACGGCATCAGCATACGTCGAAAACGACAACAACTCCCGTTACCAAATCAGAAGCAAAGCAGCAGAGGGCACTGCACTACCACCTCTCCATTTTCGAATACTCCAATCTCCTTAGGAAAAAAGGATTAGTGTGACAGCTAAAGAGACACACCACCTAATCCACGCAATTTTGAGTTCGTTCACGTTATTTAGTGTTTATTTACGTAATTCCGTACTTATCTACGTAAAAGTTATGATTATTCACACAAAAAAAATCTCAAAATAATTTCTCTTTTTTCCCAATAAATTGCATTGGCCATATACTATGAAAATAAACTTGGATTTCAATTTTTTGTAAAAAAAATGAATTGCATCATAAATAATCTACACATTCATGTATGTTTTGATATATTCCAAAAGTTAGAAGTTGATTTTACAAAGGTGCGAGTAAATAAAAATATGCTCGAACAACTATTACTGCTGTTTGCGTGAATAGCCACCACTGTTACGTGAATACGAACACCAATACGACAAAAATAAGCACAAATTTATGTGAAACGTTCATAAAAAATGCGTGAATTAATTGTTCCGAACACCAAACCTTTTCCTATCTCCTTATTATTACTCCCCATGATCAGAAACACTATAAAAAGGAATGTCGTCGATCACAATTCACCAGGACAATAACATTGATTCCTAACCCTAAGTGCTAGTTTACATCACCATTATGGTTATTGCCCACAAAACAACATTGCTAGTTTTGGCGACCACGGTGGTGGTGATCATCATCATGCCACGTCCTTCAGTCGAGCACACGGTCCACGTCGCCAACAAGTTGCGCGACAAGACACTGATAGTGCACTGTCGATCCAAAGACGACGATCTCGAGGCCCACGCGGTGGGCCTCGGCGAGAGCTTCCAGTGGAGCTTCGAGCCCAACGCGTTGGGCGGGACGCTCTTCTGGTGCGATCTCGCGGTCCAAGATAAGCGTCTTACTTTCGCGGCGTTCGAACAAATTGGGCTCGATCAGAGTGGGCCGTACACGGGACACTGGTACGTTCGCGGCGACGGGGTTTATGGGAAGGACAAGAGCGCCGACGACGTGTTTTTCAAGGCTGCGTGGAGGCGAGTCTGGCCACGCCGGTGAGCCGCCATATGTATTGTTCGGCAGGGGTAGTAAGTAAAATTACCTACTTAGAACGTTTCGTTCAGTACATTCTATGGTTTTAGTTTGTTCGAATGATTTGGATGATTTGGTTTTGTGAACTGGTTTGGTTAAATTTTTTAGTTTATTTTATTTGGTTTCAAACTTATAGTCGATCAAACCGCGGCCAATTGACCGATGAAGCAATTAGTTATATGTCTAATTTTACATACACATATTTAATACTTTACATAACCACTCAAGAATTAATCAAGCGATTCCTCACCTTTTGGACCATTAATTAAATAATGTTAATTATTGTTCATATACTACATTTGTTTTTTAGAGGGTAAACAACATAATATGAGCATCTAATTTAAGTAAAAAAGCGTGCATTATATATACTCGATGAAAACCTGAAAGGGAAGGATTTTTTTCAGTCTCTCATAATTAAACCAAGGCAATTCACATAATATAATTGACAAATGTTTTTGTTATAAACTTCTAATTACTGCAAGATAATTTTGTGTATTTATTAAGGGTTAACTATGTGTTGATTGTTATATTTACCCATTATATAAATTATCAATCGATGCATTAAAATAATATTTTTTTTTCTAACACATTAATAATGCTATGTCATACTGGTTAACCAATTAACAAAATAGATTCAATATGAGTTTTATTAATTTGGTTGTTGTATTAGTTTGGTCGGTTTTGTTATGATATTTATAAATATTTTATAATTAATAAAATGTAAACTTATTTGGTGTATTAATTACTATGATAACCATTTGAATACCTTTACTCGGATATTAAATAATGGAGATTATATGACGATTCATCTATGTTTTGATAGGTGGTAATGTCAAGAATTCAGCAACCGACTTGCAGTTCGAAGGTATACGAAGATATTAAGGTGATCCAATAGTGGTGTGTTCGAAATTCTCATGAAAATGTGAAGGGACCGATTTTGCTAATGTGCGTTGTAATGGAATAGTTTACCATTTTATTAAGAGTCGTGGTCAGAAATTTTTTTATCCAAGTGATTTTAAAATTGTCGGGAAAGGTTGATGAATTTTGTACTATATTTTTGCACGCATGCTCAATGAAAAATTTATTTAATCACTAGAAAAATCTCATCGTTTTGGCATGGGACGAAGTTTATCGACGATCGGAGCCTCGTCGACCCGAAAAAATGCATTGTTGGTCTGTCGTGCTTGATTGGCCGGCCGGGAACGATTTTGGCATCGGCGGCAAAAGGGTCCAAAGTCACACAAAGAGTTACCCTCGCAAACGTTTCTCTCATGTGCCGTAAACGACGACATCTCCCGTCTCAAAAATAAGAAGCAAAAGCAGCAGATCCAATAGGGTTGGTTATTTGGTTCGGCCTTTTTGATTTTACCCGAAACCGGACCGTATAATCCAGATTGGGACCGAATTGGGACCGGATAACAAACAATCCAATTCAATTTTCGGGCTTTGATTTGAGATAAAAAAAAAATCGTTTGGGACTTGATCGAAAACCGGATAAAGACCGGATAAGAGAGCCCAACACCCAAAACTTGCTTGTTTGGGTCTTAGGGTAGCATTATGCCTGCTGTTGTCCTTGGCCGGAGTCTCCGCTGTATAGAGCTTAACCAACTCCTCACCCTTTGAGGCCTTAGGCCACTCAAATCGACACAAGCTCAATCTGAAATCAAGACCGAATCGTGACCGAACCGGATCAAGACCGAACTGTATCCAAATCCAATCTTTGGTCCTTATATTCACGAAAAGACCGAACCGAGACCGGATCAATTCGAGCCAATTTAACCGATCCGAACCGTATAGCCACCCCTAAGATCCAATCCAATGCCTTAATTAACTAATCTTTCTACCCTTCACTATAAAGAAGAATGGCAATCAGATAATAACAAACCTGCCATAGTGATGATGGTTATCAACAAAGCATTGCTAGCGGCGGTAGTATTGGCAACCATAATTATCATCACGGCACGCCCTTCGGTCCAGGAAACAGTTTCCATTGCCAATCTCTTGAGCAACAAAATACTGATTGTGCATTGTCGATCCGGAGACGGCGACGACCTCGGAGGCCATGCGGTAGCCGCTGGGGGTACCCTCCGTTGGAGTTTCGAGCCGAGCGTCGTTGGCAGGAAACTTTTCCGGTGCAAGCTCGCGGTGGAAGACAGGCGTATTTCGTTCGTGGCGTACGAGCAGTACGAAGAAGCCTTCAGCGGTAACTGGATTGTTCGTGATGATGGGGTTTATGGTAACCCCAACCGCCTCCCGACCTTTCTGATGGCTGCATGGAAGCAACCATCAACAGCATAGGGGGCGGAGTCAGGATTTAGCAATCGGAGGGGCCGGAGTTTCTTAATATGCCAGCACTCAGTCAGCAAGGAACCTAATTCATGGTCTTAGTTCAAATTAAGAACGTTCAAATCGACTCATGGTTTTAGGTTTAATTCTCTTTTGGAATGTCAAGATGACAAGTAATCTATAGGTACGCGCGAAGACAGTATGGGAAAAGTTAATTTATCAGAATATGGATAGTACGAGTAGTATTATGTATTCTAATTTACCAACAGAATTTACTGGCAAAAGTATTCGAAAGTTTTGTAATGAAATGATATAAGATGTACTCTTAGGTTTTTTTAGGTAAGAATTTAAGTTATTGCCACCTGTTGCTGATTCTGTTTGGGTTTTCCTGGCAGTTTTCTTTTATTTTTGCAGATGTACGTTGTTTGTGTTTTTGCTTCTCTTCTTTTTCTTGTGATATGTTGTCATAGGCCGTGGCAGTGGCGTAACCAGAAATTTATCTAAGATAGATCAAACATGGAAAAATATATGTAAATATAATTTATGTTCTAGGATGTGTTTGTCTGAATTTTTTTTTAAATGCATTCATCATGCAAATTATGAGGGATGTGTTTGTCTGAATTTTTTTTTAAATGCATTCATCATGCAAATTATGAGGGATGTTAAGATACCACAATGAAAAATCATTCATGATTCCACAACTCATCTTATTCCGAAGTGTTTCTTCACTTTGTTCATCACAATAAGTGCTCTTTCAACACTTGCATTGACAGCTTATAGCAACAACCATCCCCTAAGTTTCGAGTTTATTTTTTTATATTAAACTCACTTACACAATTTATGAATTAAAAAAGTGAATATGTATCACAAAACATTACTTTTTCATAAAATTATCTAAAATAATATGGAGATTTTGTATTCAACTCACCAATGTAGTCAAAATCGCGTTTTAAAACTTAAAAACTAATGTTTTTATGCTTCTAGATCGGTGTTTAGAAACTAACCGGTCAACTACATCGTGAAGAGGTCGACCAGTTAAGGCAAAAGATATATTCAAACCTCAAGTCAACGTTGTGGATAGTGCTCTAAAAACAATGAACCCCGTGATTTCACCTGAAAGATAAACCAGACATCGGTATGATCGACCTGTTGATCTACACATATTGCATAAACAACTACACTTTTCATGTTTTGAAGTCTTCTCTTCTTCATCACTAATCTCAAAATCCACCATAATTTGTTTACACAGGTTTTAGATTGATAGACTAATAACTTAAATTGTCATTTATAGAGGTTTATATTATTGTTAACTCAGATTAAGTGGTAGCAAAGTTCTTATTTATTACTAGAATCTTTCTAGTGATGGAATTTTGTGGAAGTATAGGAATAGTAAATAAAACTCGAGTATATCGGAATAGTAAGTACTATTCTCGAGACGAGGAGTAACCCATTTTGTTACGTGATTGGTTTTATGAGGATACAAAACAAGATAACAAAAGATTAAATGTAATGACAAAATGATAACATTATACAAATGACTCTTTCCCCGGGCCGGCCGGTTCTCCACCCTCGGGGATCGCCGGTCATTGGTCCTCTTAATTGGCCGGCCGGGAACCATTTGGCATCGGCGGCAAAAGGGTCCAAAGTTACACAGAGTTACGTTCCCCCTCGAAAACGTTTTTCTCTCGTGTCCCGAAAACGACGACATCTCCCGTCACAGAATAAGAACCAAAAGGCGGCCTTTGGAATGCTTCAACTAATCTTTTCTACACTTCACTATATAAGTGGAATGGCAATGATCATCAAAATAAAAAATAAAAAAACTTACCATAATGATCATGGTAGTATTTGCGACCATAATGGTCATTATGCCACGTCCTTCGGTCCAGGATACAGTTTCCATTACCAATCTCTTAACCAACAAAATACTGATTGTGCATTGTCGATCCAAAGACGACGACCTTGGAGGCCATGCGGTAGATGTTGGGGATAGCTACCGTTGGAGTTTCCAGACAAACGTTTTTGGTGGGACACTTTTCTGGTGCAACCTCGCGGTACAAGATAAGCGTATTTCTTTTAAGGCGTACGAGGAATACGAAGAAACCTTCGGAATGTGGTTTGTTCATGATGATGGGCTTTATGGGAAGCCCAAACACTTTCCTATCTTTAAGATGGCTGCATGGAAGCGACCATAGGAAACGTGGATTTGTCAGCATTATTGACCTCCTTTTGAATGTTGTCTGGGGATGATTAATTTAATGGAAGGAGGATTTGAAATTGTTCCGGATGTTACGATATTTTCGTAAAGTGCAATTGATTGTTGAGATACCGGGAAGATGAAATTAACAATGTCAAAAATTCAATGGAAGTCGTGGGAAAGGTGGTGGGAGCGAAGACAACTTAGGATTCCATTGGCATTGTTTCGAAATTGGTTGTGAATATTGGTGGGTGAAGCGCGGATTGGACGGAGTAGATCTGATATGGATCTTTGCTGGTATCGGTCGTGGAAAATGGTGGAAGGGTATAACTTAGGATTCCGACCCAATCTATGAATTATCAAACCAGGTAAAACTTGTTGCCGAAACGAAAAACTCATCAACACCGAATTCAACCTGTTTTGACCGGGTCGATTGTCTTGATTTTTAGGTGTGATTCGGATGGAAAGCGGGCCACATTTTTAACAAAATCCATACCGAAGCCAATCCGTCGATTACATAAGCGGATAAAACTCGCTCCCAATCCAAAACTCATCAACATCGAGTTCAACTCGTTTTAACCTGTTCAAATTATTTTGAATACCCATGAGTTTGAGCTCCATTGTCGTAAAATAAACAAAACGAAAGTTTCAATTTCACTTAAATGTTGAATAAGTGGGCCAGAGTTTTATACAAGATTGGAAGATTGGCACCCCCACTCAACCCAACCCATTAATTAAAAAAAGTGTCGGCTATGAACAATGACCGTCGCAAATAATATTATTTTGAGTCGAAAACCGTCGCCCAAATATCCGTCACAAAAACCAACTTGTACACTTTAGCATATCCATGTGTCGAGATGCTATTGGCTGCAGTTTAACGTATTGGTGGTTTCAAGCAAAGCAATGCCTTTTTCGGCCCGACAGAGGCTCCGGCCGTCGGAAAATTTCAGCACATGCCAGACTAAGATATTTTTATAGCGACCAAATATATTTTCATTGAGCACAACAGAGTACAAAATTCATCAACCTTTCCCGACAACTTAAAATTACTTGGATGAAATTTTTGACCACGGCTCTTCATGAAAAAAGTAAACTCCTACATTACAACATACATTAGCAAAATCAGTCCTTCCACATTTTTATGATAATTCGAACACATCATCACTGGACCACCACAATATCTTCGTATTCCTTCGAACTACAAGCTGGTTTCTGAATTCTCGACATTAATTACCACCTATCAAAACATAGATTAATCATCATATAAATCTCCACTATTTAATATCATGAGTAGTCGTGTTAAAATGGTACCATAGTAATTATCAAATCAAACAAATTTCAATTCTATTAATAATCGGAATACAATATTATAACAAAATCGACCACGTACAACACTAATACAACAACCAAATGAACCAAAGTATTATTTAGGCATTTTGGTTAATTGGTTTACCAATATGACATAACATTATTATTATATGTGTGATAAATCTCATGTCAATGCATCAATCCGTAATTTACATGATACTAATACACTTATTTTATTGTCACCTAACAAAAATACATGCCAATGATATGAGATTAATGAATTTAGTGTGCCTATGTGAATTGTCTTAATCTCTTAGTCTCTACAAAAACGAATATAGTAGATGAACAATAATTAACTTTATTTTCTTGTGAGTCCGAAGGGAGGAATCGCTTGATTCATGAGTGCTGATATAAAGTATTAAGTATGTTTATAGAATATATAAGATGTATGATTAATTGCTTAACTGGTTAATTGGCGTGGCCAAACTCGTCTCCATGCAGCCTTGAAAAACACATCGTTGATTAACTTGTCCTTCCCATAAACCCCGTCGTCGCGAACATACCAGTATACGGCGCTGTGGCCATAGTGGTCGAACGCCGTGAAAACAAGACGCTTATCTTGGACGGCGAGTTTGCACCAGAAGAGCGTCCCGCCGAACGCATTCAGCTCGAAACTCCACCGGAAACTCTCGCCGACGGGCACCGCGTGGGCCTTGAGATCGTCGTCTTTGGATTGACAATGCACTATCAGTATCCTGTCTCGTAACTTATTCGTAACATGAACCGTGTGCTGGACTGAAGGACGTGCCATGATCATCACCATGGTGATCACCACCAGAACCTCCGTCGCTAGCAAGGTTTTGTGGGCAATAACCATGGTGATGTAGACCACACTTTTTTTTATACGGGTGATATAGGTTTATTTTTTGTGATCAGATACTACACGAGGAAGGATTTGAACCTAATTAAGACCTCTAGGTTTAAGGCTGGTGGTATTATCACTAGACCAACCCTTGCTCGCGTGAAGTAGCTAGCAATTTGGCGTATAGGAATGTTATTGTGTGTTGGCCGGTGATCGCCATTATTCCTTTTATATAGTGTTCTGGTCAAGGGGAGTAAGTAAGGAGGTTGAAGTGTTCGAAAATAATGGAGATCCCTCTGCTGCTTTTGCTTCTGATTAGGTGACGGGAGTTGTTGTCGTTTTGGACGTATGATGATGCCGTTTTCCGAGGGAAACGTAGCGCATGGGCCTTCCTTCGTTGGTCGCTTTGTTTTTAGGGGGGAAGAGTTAACGGTGCCGGAAACTCTTTCTGGCTTTTACGGTTTACCCATTTTGCTGCCGATCGATGATTGCCAAATCATTCCGGCCGGCCAATTAAGAGGACCCAAAGCAGGACGGCCGGTGTGGCATACGTCCAAAAGGACCAAAACGACACAACTCCCGTCAACTAATCAGAAGCAAAAGCGGCAGAGGGATCTTCGTTTTCGAACACTTCAACCTCCTTAATTACTTACTCCTCATGATCGAAACACTATAAAAAGGAATGGCGATCACCAGGACAATAACATTCCTACCCCAAAGTGTTAGTCGAATAAGGGTTTGATGTTAGTGGTAACATACCATTAACCTGAAAATCCCAAATTCCTTATAAAAAATAATAAACCTATATCACGCTTATAAAAAAAAAGTGCTAGCTGCATCACCATGGGTATTGCCCACAACACCTTGCTAGCGGCGGCGGTTCTGACGACCATGGTGATCATCATGGCACGTCCTTCGATCCAACACAAGATTCATCTTACCAATATGTTACGCGACAAGATACTGATCGTGCATTGTCAATCCAAAGACAACGATTTCGAGGCGCGCACTTTGCCCGTCGGCGAGAGTGTCCAGTGGAGTTTCGAGCCGAATTTGTTCGGCGGGACGCTCTTCTGGTGCAAACTCGCCGTCGAAGATAAGCGTCTTACTTTCACGGCGTACGAACAAAGTGGGCTCAAACAAAGTGGGTCATACACGGGACACTGGTATGTTGGTGGCGACGGGGTTTATGGGAAGGGCAAGTACACCAATGATGTAATTTTCAAGGCTTCGTGGAGGCGAGTCTGGCCACGCCGTTGAACCATACAAGGCGTATGGATCTGTACGCAGGGCGTAAGTAACCTGTATATCTCGTAATAATTCGAGTTATTTGAGATTAACTGGTTTATGAGATAGTATCAAAGTTGGTTTGATTATGATGATGTCATGTGTTCATCAAGTCCTCGTGAGCCGTTGTTCTTAAAGCATACGTAGTATGGCGGGCCTGTGATTCAAGTATAAACGTTTAGGTATTTTCGTTCAATGTAGCATTTAAATATGAGTATTTGTAATTTTACTATGGATGTCACATTTTATTTAAATATCTATTTTCAACTCATTTAAAAAATAAGCGTACTCGTTCCGTAGCGAATCTCTTACAAGATCAATTCGAATTAATGGCTCTGGTTCGTTTAGAAAATGTGGTTAGATCGAGGAACTATATGTGGAGCAATTCGACATAAAATTGATACCGACCTCTCAAAATTCGGTAACTTCAACTTCATTAACAACCACCTTTGAATCCTTTTTTCGGATATTGAACCCATTATCTCAAGTTTTGGATCGAACTAATTCATTGACTCAAATAGTTCATGGGAGAAAATCGAGTTATTTGGGTTCGAGGGATTGACGGGGCGACCTACCAGTTTTCTTATACGAGATATCCATCCTAGTCACTATGGACGCATTTGCCCAATTGATACATCCAAAATAATCAATGTTGAACTTATTGGATCCTTATTAATTCATGCATTCATTTATTTTTAACAAATTTTCACATTTCCACGTATTTTATCAAAAGCGGCATGGACGAGATATGAAAATGCAGTCCGGAGAGAATCATCATATAGCTCCCCCGTTTTTCTCCCCTACCTCACGTTAATCTGTCCTGAGTTGGACAGGCCCGCGCCGGGCCGGCTTTTTGGTCCTCTTACTTGGCCGGAAACGATATGGCGCTGCCGGCAAAAGGGTAAAAGTCTCTTGCACCGGCAACTCTAGTCATCGTCTCATCCCAAAAAACAAAAGCGTCCGACAAAAGGAAGGATTACTATAAGAACCAAAGCAGCAGAAGATCGAGGGTGTCGCGGGTTCTATCGGACCCAACCCGCGGGTAAAACATGTTTTGACGGATTGCGGGCCAGGTTTGGGTTTAAATCAGTTATACTTTTTATGGGTTGGGTTTGGGTGAGGCATATCCAACTCGTGAATACCCGCACCGCACCCAATTAAGTCCATACCCCTCACGACCCACGGAACCCTTAACAAATTAACTATAATATCTTAAACTAATGCCTCACACGTTCAATTAGTCATATTGTTTCGGTGGATGTTTATCTTTAATATTGAACAATTAGTATGAATGCGATTTGTGAGTTAGTTTGTATGTAGTAGACACAATACGAGTGAAAACTAGTGTAATTGCATCTTTGTACATGAATCCATGGGTACTCATGGACCTGCGAATACCAAAACGGGTTGAGTTGACTTTGAGATTTTCAAATCCAAATAATTTTACCCCGGTATTTTTTCGCTGGATAAACCCATGAGTTTGACATAACCCGATCCAACCCGACCATTGCCATCCCCTACAGCACTACATCTACACGTCTACACCATCTTTCAATATAAAAAAAGGAAAGGCGAGAGGCCGATAGATATCATTACAAGGAAGACAATCGGATTGATACTCTATCGCCATGTCTGTCTACAAAACGGCGGTGGCGGTTTTGGTGACCATAGTGATGATAGTCATGACACGTCCTGCGATCCAGGACAATTTTTCTGTGACGAATATGTTGCGCGACAAGATACTGATGGTGCATTGTCGATCCAAAGACGACGATCTAGACGCCCACGCGGTGGCCGTCGACGACAGCATCGGGTGGAGTTTCGGGCCGAGTTTTTCCGGGGAGACGCTTTTCTGGTGCAGACTTGCCGTCGAAGATAAGCGTCTTACTTTCACGGCATACAATGAAAGCGAGAGAAACATAAGGTTGTGGTATGTTCGTGACGATGGGGTTTATGGGTGGAACAAGCAAAACCCTAAGGTTGCATGGAAAAGTGTTTGGCCGCGCCACTGAAACCAAAGTAAGAGGGTGTGCAACAGTTCGGTCCCCATTGATCAGAATCAGTCCCGAGAACTTGAATAGCCTCGACTCGACGTTAAGAAGATTTGCTTGAGGATCAGAAACGCAACATAATTAAGTACACATTTAGTTCGATTTGGTCATGTCTAATTCATGGTTTGATTTCTTTTTAATATTCAGAAAATACGAAGAATCATATTAATTTTTTCAATTTGTGTTGGTCCAAATGTCAGTTCGATCTGGGTTTTTGTCGAAACTGATATTCCGGCGTGGGGGTAGAAGTAGAGAAGCAGAGGCAGAGGGCTTGATATTCCGGCGTGGTCTGGTGGTGTTAATGGTATGTTCGAATGAATTTCTTATCTCTTCAAGTTAGTGAAACTGGAATACTATAACCTTATTCTTTATCCGATTGGAATTAGGGTTAGGCCGTAGTTCGCATGGAGATCGAAGTACTATGTTTCTGTAATATTCTGTAATATCCTCAGGTATAGTGAAATCAACTCTCTCCTATTTGTGGACTAACTAACACATTATATTAGTGACCAGTTAAATCTATGTGTTTTTTACTTTCTTACATCGTCGATCATCCCGATCGATGCTCACCCCTGGATTGAATAGTAAGACTTGCATTTATGAGTACTTGGACTAGTTGGGGCAAAGAGCACATAATTGGAACATTCCAACTTCCAAGCCCCAAAAGGAGAAACATGGAAACAGACCCCATTGTAAATTGCTGGTTGGTGAGTGAATAAGACGGCCGGCTAGCTGGCCAGAAGTCAGCTGGGTTTTATAAGCAAACAATATCTCTTCTTTTGCAATTTTCCCTTCTCTAGTAAATTAGATATGGTTGTTGATTCTGAGATCTGTAATATACCATATCCTGCCCTAAACCACTAGCAGGAAGATTAACAAATCTCCACTATAAGAAAAAACAAAAGGGAATGTTGACTATTAACAGTACATAGAGGGTATAAGATTTCTGATTAACATTTCTTTCAATTACAATTCAAATTACTGGAACTAAATAATTTATGACATGACATCAGAGTTGGTTTGACGAAGTTGTCGTATGTTCGAATCGCGACAATTAGCAATTGATTTAGTCACAAATGATGATAGACCTAGCGATTGTATGATAGAACCAATGGTGAAGCCAAGTTGCAGCCAGAGGGGTTATAGCCCGGCCCCTCCATTTTCAAAAGTATGTTAATATACATGTAAAAATTTTAACGAATTTGGAAAATATACTAATTGGTAAGCTCCCCACCCAAATGACCACGGTGTAAGTCACTCAAGCGTAGTTATTTTTTAGCTTCCATTCAGAATTCTAGCTCCGTCGCTGGGTGGATCCGTGCATACTTCACGCATATTGGCTGATTTTCGTTTGAAGGGACGTATAAAAAAGTGGTATAAGATTTATAAGAAAATCTTCTTCCAACCGCTCGAATTAGTGGAACCAAAACGATTAATGTCAATAACTAGAATTTTCCCTTTAATTTCATGGTACAAGGGGTTATTTGAAGAAAGTGTATAATTCATGGGACAAAAGAGTTATTTGTCTTTTCTCTTTATACAATATTTATTCATACAAATGAGTTCTTTAATTATTCTTTGTACATGAGATGGAAGTACAGGCTTGCTAAATAAACAAGTATTAAATTTGATTAGCCACAATATATAGAAAGGGGATTTTGTAGGAAAGTTCCCACATTCTATCCATCTTTTTTTATTTCATTGTTGTGTTGGTTGTCACTGAGCTAATTATTTCTAATTAATTAATAAATTATATTTTCAACATTTTCCCCCATTTCAGGAGAATGAATTAAGTGCAAAATATTGGTGAAGATATGATACATTGAACTTTGTTTTTTTTTTATCAACTATAAGATGGATTGAATCCAGATTTTGATCATCTTAAAATGTTCACAATTATATGAACCGTCAATATCAACATTTGATTCATTAAGCACAAAATATGATGAATTTAACTTTATAAGTTAACTTTCATTGAGAAGACTTGTAAATAAATTATATAAGATCCATATCTATACCTTTTCCTACCACTCGAGTTATCAAAATCTGTAATCGGGAGGTTTCGGGTGGGTAGAAGTCACCTCTTGTGGTTTCGAATTAAATATTGTTGCAATAACTAAAACATATCATATATGTGTAAAATCAACTATGTTGAATCACATTAATAATATTGTTATTTAACTATTGGTCATGGAATTTTTGTAATAATAAAGAAACCAAAGAACATGTCCACATGCATATATATTCTATCAATATCCACATGCATATTAAAGTTGAAGAGAAGATTATATGATCACAATTTTGATATGAATGAATTCAATTAAATCGAAGCTAATAAGCTTTGACTCCTAGCTAGAAGCTCACACATAAATTTTTAATCTGTTCTTAATTGCTTATTTATATAATGTACATGTATAAAAATGAAGGGGAATCATTCCCCATAGTAGACTCATCAAGTTGAGATAAATTAAGATGAGAGAGAAAGAGGGAGGGGGGAGATGTTTTAGATTTTTATAAGATATATAAAATTATATGTCATAATCATTATTGTTGTGTTTAGTAACATAACATGTCATACTGAATAACACATATGTTACCTAAGCGAAAAGTTTTAAAGCATATAATTTTGAATATATCGTGTTGGTCTAGTTGGTCGAGATCAGCTAAATGATCCGTATAAAGATTATAAGACATGTGAAACTGCCACTAATTGGGTGAGGGTATGTCGTTCAAAAATTGAGATTGATTTTTCCTTCATAAACTTATATAAGGTATGTATATAGATCGAGTATATATACTTTGAGAGAACTTGTGAAATGCAAGTTAGTAATCATGCTACATGTGGTTGGTTTTTTTCGTGTTCAACTAACATGTGCTAGAGATTGAGAGATTGCTACCTAGTCGTGCAACGTTCAAGACCCGTACTAGAGGTTGAAGATCGATTGTTACTCTTTCGAAGTACGAAAACCCCTTAACACCAAAATATCTTAAAAACCTTCGAAAACTTTGAGTTCAACAATCAATATTACTAGTTAATGAAGGATCCACCACCTAGAGGGAAGAAAGTCGTTGTTATTGGCTCCTAAAACATGTGGTGGGGGAAAAATGGTTACGCTAATTCAGCAGTATTAGCGGCTAATCAATGTGGGTTAACTAATTATTAAAATAGTTAAAAAGAGTAAACTCGAGCTGTCCGGCTGACACGTGGCGCCCGCAAGATTAAATCCTGGGCGGGCGACGGGCGTAGCTTTAGTGGGGTGTGGAGATTATCCATATCCATTCACCATTTTACAACTGATTCAGTTTAATTAATTAACTAGCGTGGCCCCGGCCATTTGTCCGGAGGAAGGTTTGGTATGAAATTTGATAATGTAATGTGGTGTATAGCTTATTGTTGTATAGCTTTTTTGGGAAACACGTGATAAAAATAGTGAATTTTAGTAGGAAAGAGACATGAATGATGCAACGAATCAAAAATCAGCCTTATGAACCAAAATCAAGTACTTGTTAACTTGTGAAACAATATTGTTTCTGGTAATATGATGAGGTGGAGTAAGTTTTATAGAAACCGAATTTCAGAAAATCAAATAAAAAATCGTCTATCCCGCCGGTTTTCGGGAAATGAGCATCTCACAATCGTTGCTAGCTTTTACTCGGCCCGTTGGTCGATTAATTTGCTTTATAAAACTTTCATCTTGTCATCATTGTGCTTTCTGGTTTTTTGCCAAGCCATGATAAAATATAAAGAAATCAAGAATGAACAACACGATTTGGGATAGGAACCACCGTTCCTGTATCCCTAGAAAATGGTGGTAAACACGGACTCACTTGCCAAACTGGTTTGGATTGAGATTTTTATCAGGTATCAGGGAACCATGTGATTATAAATTAGACTTGATCAAAACGGCCCAAAACTTGAAATTCAGCCTGTTTGACCGACCCATGCCAAACTCTAATTATTCTTTACTTTTAAACAATCTATTTGAAAATAAAAAATAATGAAAGAAAAGAGATGACTGTAATTCGCCATTTGCACATCACTGATTCGGGAATAAAACTATAGAATTTCGAAAGGAATATGAAAATGTTTAGGATCGTTTTAATGTTAAAAATAACCAAATAGATCTTTCTGTACAGATACCAAACGATTCCCTATAATATACACTATAATTTAATCATTATGATATCAAATAATTACATAATATATATTTCTAATGATAAAAATTGGACTAATTGGGCTGGTCGAGGTTGAACCATTGAATAACTTTAAAATACATTATATTTTAGCCACTAAGATATAAAATAATAGCATAATATATATTATGCTAGAGAAAATAGCTTGTTTTAGAATGGCAAACCCATGATGTTCATTTGTTTTACTTGATGGGCAAATCCCGTGTAGGTCAGGCCCATTCAACTCTTTTATTTTATGATTAGCGGTTTGCCCATTAGAATCCATGCATTAGTTTATTGTTAAATTTTTTCATTTTAGCAATAAAAATGAGTATTGTTTTTGCCTTTTTCATATATATTTTACCACCACGGAGAAATAAAAGGACTTAAAGAAAAAAATTGACACTCCTGGACCTGTTTAAATCCGCATGTGTACGGTAAGTTGGCCCGTTCCATAGAGGAAAAAGAAAAAAATTGACACTCACTATTCTACCCTTCCTACAAACGCTCATGGAGCAGGGAATTTGAAATGGGGAAGGGTTTTTTCCTCTCTGCGATTATATGTTTTTAAGTTAAAAAGATACAACAAATGTACTTAGTGTGATTGGTTATGATCCTTGCTTTTCTTTAAAGTGGTCATGGTTCGAATCCTAGTAAGTGTCTTTTTAATGAATAAAAAGAAGTAATTGTGAAGACCAAAATGTCCTTCCTACTTTCACTCTGGATGCAGGAAATTTGAAATGAGGCTTCAAGTTTTCTCATTTGTCTTTTATTTATTGTGTAGATTAAGTCATTAATATCAGGGTTTAGTTGCAACAGAACTGGATTACACGCGTGAAACCCGCCATTTCCACAGGGTTAATTCCGACATTTACCACCAATCGCCCCGTAAAAATAAAAAACAAAAGAAAAAGAGGAAAGTCGGAACTTTGCCGGCCGGCCTCGCCGATTGGTGATCCGCCGCCTGTCCTCCGCTCCTCCCTTTTTTTTAGAATTTTCTTAGGATCAATGCATTCTGATTTTATGAAAACAGAAAAAGGAATTTACTTACTGTTATCTCTATTCCTATAGAAAATTTTGGAGAGCTCCACAACTACAAATTACGACTACAGAGAAGCCTTGCGGAAGGCCTCTGGAGCTACTGTTGCGACTATGGTTCTAGCTATAAAAAAGAAGGTAAATTTGACAAGATTTGCTATTATTTTTTATTTGTTGTCCTAAGCTTGGTGCAAGTTGTGTTGTGCATCACTTTTTAACCTTCCTCTCTCTCTCTCTCTGAAAATTTGCGCCACGTAGCAGTTACGTACGAACTCCGCTTCGAACATCCCTTGTGATTCGGTTGTTGCTTCCTGTGAGAATCCTTGACACGTCATCATGTCACTGACAATCAACCCTGCGTACCATGGATGGATGATTGGATGGATCATGGATCGATGGTAACATAATCGACCATAGCTGGTACAGGAACCATCTTGGATGGCAACCTCGTACTCAATTACTATGTACTTATGGGCCGACTACTTAAAGCGGCCCAATTGTCCATAGATACTTAAACCGGCTATCGATAGTAATGACTAACCTTTTGTCATGGGTGATTGCATGAAGCCGTAAATAGCTAATTAGTAGTTAGTTACAAATTAAGCTCCATTACCATGGGACAAGGATCAAATTAAGCACGTAGGTAGCTAGTTTGGTTGACCTTTCGAAGCTTACCTATGTGCTGTTGGATCTTCATATGGTATCCGCTTGCAAGTTGCCACTAAGCGAATCAAACAAATAATACTATTTCTAATCCGAAATCGTGATTCTAATTTGCAACTCAATAAACTTATTGGAATTGCAAGATTGGTGAGTTTAATTAATTGTTTCTATATTAAACTCGATACTATATATCTCAATTGTTGGAGCATTTGTACAAATAAAATCATCGCTTAAATGCATTAAATTACTTCATGGACACTAGAAGTCCAACGAATCATACAATGATAAGTATATTTACTAGAAGATTAGCTACAAAGTTGTTTCTCCGCTAGAGCGCATAGTGACGTAAATTCATCAACCACGTGTTTTGGAATGAACTTGCTAAGTATGTTAGAGACAAGCGTACAAGGGTGAGAAATTTGAATGAACGCATATCAAATGTTATATTATTGATGAGGTGAATAATAATCCGGTATCGATCTAGATAGTTAACCATCTTTCGGAAATTTATATAGCCGCAAGAAGTTGGAAACTCGATTAGGTCATCCACAAACTCAACTCCCCAACATAAGAACCTTCACATTTACCATGGTGTGATGATCATAAACTAGAGAGCTTAGCTAAATTTGGATATAAAATCAATCTTTCCCATGCTAGCTAATTTCTACTTGCATCTATATATACCACAAAGGGAAAAAGAAAAAGAAAAAAAGAAGGATTCCCCTTAAAGAAGGCTAATTATTTCACTTCTCATTGTTTAAACACATAAAGAAGCATCCCTATAGCATATGCTTGTACATTGTTGATCCATCATCATTAGAAACAAGAATATCCATGTTCGCGAAATTCGTTTATTATGTGTCGTGCAATTTTTTGTTGTCTCGCGTTCTATTCATTACAGGCGGCCAGCAACCAATTTCACGAATGTAGTTAGTCATTCGGTTGAGAAGAGATAGACATACATATAAAATCAACGTACGTCCACCTCCTCCCATTCGCATCATATGATCGTGCGCGATGCATGAAGAACATGAGACGTAATGAATCGTTGTCGAGAATCCTAACAACTGAATAAGCATCTGCAACTCGTAAGTGGGTTGATGTCGTATCTTACCCGTTCCACGGACTAAATCGGATTGAATTTTCATAGAAAGACACTTAGACTAGAGATTGGAGGAAGAGGAGAACTAAATAAAGAAGGGGGGAAAACCCTAGTAAGAGTGTAAGACCACAAAAGGAAGAAACAACTTGAAAGTTGAAACAAAGAGACCCCAAAGCCAAGATAGAAAAGAAGAAGGAAGAAACAATTATAAAAGGCAGCACAACAAAGGAAGAAAATCGAAAGAAGCTCCACTTTTCCTATTTATTAAACTGCCCTCTTCCCCTCTCTCTCTCTCTCTCTCTCTCTAAAACCAACCACCGGAAAAAAATGCAGCCTTGCAGCAGAGAAATGGCCGCCGGCGGCCTCAACTCCCCAACAACTACACCACCCTCCCACCAATTCCAACTCCACGACCTCCACCAGATCCACGGCCACTTCGACCACCCTTCCTCCGCCGCCGCCGCCGCCGACTTCCTCGACCAATTCCTCTCCTCCGCCGCCTCCTCCCCCTGGTCCTCCGCCGCCGCCGCCGCAGACCTCATCAAGTCCCCCTGGGCCGACCTCGCCGCCGACGACGACAATGTCGCCGCCGGCAACGGGTTCTTCGACGACCCCTCCGCCGTCAGCCTCGTCGCCAAGCTCCGCCACCACCAGATCAACGGCGGCAACAACACTAACGGTAATCACAACAACAACAACAAGATGATGCTTCAGCAGCAGCTCCTCATGGCCGGCGACGGAGCTCCGGCTCCGCTGTTTAACGGGTTCGGGTCCGGATCTATCCAGTCCCCGCCCCATTTCCACCATCCCACTATGCAACCCGGACAGAGCTTCGGCGCCGGCGGAGGAGGACCGACCGCCTCGCCGGGGAAAGCTCAGCCGCAGGCGAGTGGGTCGGCGGCGACGGCGTCGCAGGGGAAGCCCAGGGTCAGGGCCAGGAGAGGCCAAGCTACCGACCCACACAGTATAGCTGAAAGGGTAAGTTTTTTTTTTTTTTCTTTTTCTTCCTCCATTTCCATTTTTTCACATTTTCTTTCTCCTCCGTTTTCTCGGGAAACAAACAGAGGTGGAAGTTATTTAATTTAATTAATTATACGAAATTGATTTTTTTTTTTTTTACACTGAATTATTATTATGTGTACAGTTACGAAGGGAAAGAATTGCAGAGAGAATGAAGTCCCTGCAGGAGCTGGTTCCCAATGCCAACAAGGTAAAATTGTATTATAGTTTAATCTCGTGTTTGTGAAATCGTATGGTAATTAGTAGTAACCAGATCAATTTGTAACTATTTTTTAAGAATATTAGGTTGTGTTTGTAGAATCGTATCGTAATAACTAATAAACAGGAATCTGATCATTCAATTGGTAACTATTTAGAAGGCGGGAGAGATTTAATTTTTTTTTTATATATTGTGAATTTAGTTCTAGATTAAGGGACGGGAGTTGATGGGTGGGTCCCAGGGGGACTGAAAAACTGAGATCAGGGGGGGCCGCAACGGGCGGCGGATTGGTCGGGAGGAGAGAGATTAGTGGGGGGAAATTAGCCATTATAATTTATAGTTTCCAGTGATTATTAGTTAGCTGATTAATGATTAATTAAGATTCTGATCTGGTTTTGTGTGGGGGGGAATGACAGACGGACAAGGCTTCCATGCTGGACGAGATCATCGACTATGTCAAGTTCCTCCAGCTCCAAGTCAAGGTCCTCAGCATGAGCCGCCTCGGCGGCGCCGGCGCCGTCGCTCCTCTCGTCACCACCACCGCCACCGCCTCCGAGGTAAACCCTAACCAAAATCCTAATTTCAATCATTTTCTCGTGTCGCACATAGAATGAGTCGAGCTAAACCAAATTTATGATTGTACATTGATTTAAGTACCTGATTTTTTTGTATTTTTTTCCGTTTACCCGACAGTCACCCTTTTTCTCTGTTTTTTTTTTCTCACTCACACCACCCACTACCTTATTTTTGGACTATTTACATCCTCAAAAATCCAAATCTCAAAGAAGAAGAAAAAAACAGTCCTTATTCAAGCAGCCGGAACACGACAAAGGGGAAAGCAGCACGCGTGCTCCCATTCCATTCCCAATTTTTTCCAGATTCCTCTCCCTTCTTCCCTTTTTAATAATTTTCGCCGGCGTTCTGTCTTTTCTCTTTCCTTAATCCGCCGGGAAAAAATAAATGGAAGTAGGAAATGAAATCGACTAGATTATCTCAATAATTACGAAATCGTATTAAATAATTAAAACGTTATCTCATACATTTTTCTTAATGTTTTTTTTTTTTGTAGGGAGGAGGCGGCGGAGGGAGCAACAACGCCACCGCCGCAGCAAACGGCGGTTCGTCGGCGAACGAGAGCAGCATGACGATGACGGAGCACCAGGTGGCGAAGCTGATGGAGGAAGACATGGGCTCGGCGATGCAGTACCTGCAAGGGAAAGGGCTCTGCCTCATGCCGATCTCCCTCGCCACCGCCATCTCCACCGCCACGTGTCGCCCCGGCCAGCCGTCGTCTCCCAACATGTCGGTACTCACCGGGGACGTCGCTGTCAAGGACTCCACGTCAGCTACCAAGCCGTGATCCGTCACGGCGTCGTTTCACTTTTTTGGCTCTGCTTTTGGAATTTGGAGGTGGTGATGACGTGTGCGCGTGCGACTAGTGTAGTCTGACGTGGATGGATGGACGGAACGGGGTTTTCGGGTTTCTACAAAACGGAACGTTGACGAAGTCTACGGAAATAAGGGGTCGGATTGACTGACGGAGAATGGAGTGGTTTACACGACGTCGTATTTGCGTAGACTTTGTTTTTATACTTGTTTAGTATAGAGCTTTAGCTAACTACTTTTTAATGTTATTTTGTATTTTGCTTTTTGCTCTAATTCCCAACAAGACCACTACGGTTACCAAAAAGACACAAGATCCGACCAAATCCCGAGGAGTAGAAGAAGGAATTCTTTTGTTTTTAGGGGGGGAGGGGTTTACTAGATGATTAATTAAATTAATTAATTATCATGTATGTACTTAAATTAATTTAATAGTAAGTTGGATTTAATAAATTATAAATTCCTACATCGTTTGTTAAAGGATTCCAGCTTAGTCGAGTGAGATTAGGAATGTGCAACGGGTCATTGGTTAAGTGTTATTAGAAGGCATGATTCTGATTTTGAGGTGGTTGGTTCAAGTAATATAGAATTTTAGTTTGTTCTTTTATATTTGATATGTAGGAGTATGCAATCTATGAAAAACAAAAGGATTAGTTGTGGGATGTGCAATGGTTAGGAAGTTGGAATTGCATAGGCTCGGTCCAAATCGATTTTGGTTAGGGCATGATACATAATCAAAATTGGTTTTGGTGTTCCAGTCTTTGAATAAATTCATGTTCCTGATATTGAACATAAGACGTAGAGGTTGTGTTTATCACGCGAAAACTAGTTGAACCACAAGGATGGTTGGTTTTGAGGTCTCATTCCCACTTACAAATACTCATAATTCTATTTACTGGAATCATTGAGCTTTTGAAAATGAATTTGAATTTTGAACCACACTTAAGAACAGCAAGAACCATTCACAATGCAGAGTAGTCGAAATTTAAACCCATATATAGTTAAGTTGAGCATGGAACTAGCTAGGTACAACAAACAAGCTATGCTAATAGGCTATCTACAATTGAGAGACAAGCTAGGTTTACAATTTCATATATGCATTAGAACTAAAGAACAAAATTCTTAGCTTTTGCTTTGGTTGAACCTCTAGAAGGAAGGACCATAAAACAAAAGAACCCGTGTCCCATGAGGAATTGAGGATTACATTTTAAGTCAACGGCGTGTCACTTTTGTAGCTTTTTTTTTCCCCCTTCTTTCTTCTTGTTTTGCTTTGTTATGATTAAGTTAGTAAGGGAATCTTAAAAGATAACAAAGGAAGAAGAAATAAAGAATAGAGGGTTAGCTCATACACCTAATCTAGTTAATTTTGCTTTAAAGAGTGTTAAATATATATTTGGTTTTGTATGCAAGCTTGTTGGGTTTGTTACATTTCAAACAAAGAGTTGTTAGTGGGTTTGCCGCCGGATCACTATATAATTGTGATTAGGCATTAAGCACAACATACATATACTAGAGTTAGCCATTAATTAACCAATTAGTATATGCCCCTTGCAAACCAATTAACCAATTATGTATATGCCCATTGCAATCTAATTTCCCACTAGTGGTTGACGAAGTGTTACGACTCATCCTACCAATTTGAATTGTTTAGGAGAGGTCCAAGTGTCCAACGATGGTTCTTGTGTCGTTGTTCTTATAGCATGACACATTCTCAATTTTGAATGCATGTTATGCATATAATCTAGTAATCTTCAATATGGTCATCAATTTTGTCTCAAAGTACCTCAATCTTCAAATTGTATACCAATAATGAAAAAGTAAACGTGAGAATTCATGTGAAAAATCATTTATGATTTGCTCGTATTTCCAATGTTTGTGAAACTTGTCCAGCACAACTTCAGAAATTCATCTAATCATGACTAGTATATGGATGGATTAATGAGACACTAATTAGTTGTAATTTGAGAATATATTATCCTATTAAACAACTATTGAGGATTACAAATTTGAATTTCATTATTTAGAGCCTAGTTCTAGACTATGATTTATTCTATAAGACCGAAAATTGATCAAGAGTGTACCATGTAGTTTATAGAAACACTTTCATTTTATATAAAAACATGATAATTTCAAGTTGTAAGAAAAGAGGGTTTATAGTCATATCTTACACTCAAGACTAGAATTGAAGTGATTACCATCATACTTACCTACTTTGAGATGATTTATGTATCCATTGGTACAATTCAATCCACCAAAGGGGGAAAAGGTCACTTTTCACTATCTAATTAATCTCCATTATTACGCATGGTAATTTGAGTTGAGTAAACAAACTGTGCGGTAATTAAGAGACATGGAGAGGGTTGGAGTTCCGTTTTGCCAATGCATTCCTCCAAGGAGAAAAGCTTGGTGCTGAAGTAAAAACGAAATCACCTTGTGGTTATAAGCAATTAACCACTAAAAGGTGGCTCAATGTTGCGATGCTGATAAGTAGGGCTGGGCATGCGGGCGGATCATTCGCGGTTTTGGGCCGACCCACCCGCATTTGACCTGAATTTCGTTAAGTGGGTGGGTCTGTGGGTGGGTGACGGGTTGCGCTGGGAGCCATCCGCCGGGTGGTGGGTGGGTTGTGGGTGAGTGTGCGGGTGACCCGCTCAACCCAACAGCAAAAAGATCAAAGTCGTTGGCGCTAGAGAGAGGAGAGTGGAGAAGTTAGATATAAACTCGGACTGCTCCTGGAGTTTGAACCTCAAAGCCAACCTTCCAAATAGAGATCCCCTCTTATTCCCTTAACTTTTTCCTCTAATTCTTCTGCCTAGATCACCACTCTTTCCTTTGTGGAATTATTTTCCTTAGTTTCTTGCACCTAATAATCGTCTCAATCTGTAGAAAACTCTTTCATAATAGAATTTCTATCCAATTTAAGAACTAATTCGACATATTTCGCCCTATTTGAACTTCTTGTTTCCCTCGATGATTCTCTTCACCTATTATCATGTCAAGTTGACTCCTTTATATTATATACATTGTGATGTGGGTGAACCCACAAACCCACCCGCATCATCCACCATCCGCCCGACCCAACCCGAGACTAAATGTGGGTGGGTGATGGGTTAAAAATTATCAATCCGTTTAAGCGCGGGTGGGTGCATTTTATGGTCAAAATCCACCCGACCCACCCAATGCCCACCCCTACTGATAAGTATAATGTGCTTTTGATTTCAATTTCGACGGTACATCATTAAGAGAAAGATTTCTTCGTAATTATCAGCAATACTTTGCTTATCAAACATTCATAAGAGTCGGAATAACCTCGAATGTTTACGTCAAAATCCCTCATTAAAAAAGTAGTTTGTTCAATGTTCTAGCCTCCCTTCCCCACTCCATCCAAACTAATCATAATTAATTAACCACAATGCTTGGATTTGTACCCACTAATTATCAAGTATCAACCAAGTAGGTTGAGACTTTGAGAAAACAGATTCACTCCCTCTGCCCTACCTGTCACTCTCCTCCCTCCCACCTTCCCACGTGGCAAGCTGTAAGAAGGGGTGGCAGTTCAATTACGGATACAAAGCAATAAATCCTTATTGGTTTTGGTTAAAACTCGAACCCGATAAAAAACCAATAAGTCTTAAAATCAAAAGATTATTTTCGGTTTTCAGTTTATTCTAAACAAAACCGAATCCATTAGGGGCAACCGAAAAACCAATAAGCACTTAACAATTCCAATTTCGATTTGAGCAATTGGCTAATTCGAGTTTCGCTTTTTATGGTTAGGTTAACAGAACCAAACTGAACCGCCACCCCTAGTTGTAAGTAGTAGTAAGCCGACTGAATGTGATGGAAGCTTTGATTCAGACCATTTGTTTAAAGGATTTGCAGCAGATCTTAATATTCAGAAATGAGAATTAACACTGCAGAATGCACATGGGAGAATTAAAGTGACTTGCTTCCCACAAAGTCTTGAGCATTATATCGGGATTAAACAAAAGGCCTTGAAATAATAGCCCCATACATTTCCTCACAAGGCAAGTGAATCAGATCAAACAGTGCAGCAGATGGAATCAAAAACAGGCTTGGCATTATCAAACCCCACATTATAATAAAGCCTATCTGAAAGGGGAAGTTGACAAATTCACTCTTACTAGACTTCCTTAACATCCATCTGGAAGTTGAGAACTTACATGGAAGGAAGGTTGCAGCTTTCTTTGAATCTCACGAGATTCAAGCAATTTCATGAACCCTGCAGAACTGAAACAGCACTAACCAAGGCTATGTGTGACTATATATATACCTGTAGACAAGCTGCAGTACTACTCATAAGTTCAAGGTCAGGTTCTACTTTGAAGTTCAAACTGCAGTTGTAGCTTCTAAGTTCATTCCTGTTTGTTAAGAACTATTGTGTGAAACACTGAGAAGTAATCAGATCAGGCACAAGTGCGAACCGTATAGGAACAGTTAAGAAACAAACAGTACATGTTATGCTTTCTGTTCCACTGGATGATGACAACAAATGCGTAGATTCGACAAGGGTCACGAAGCCCTCTTTTAGGGAACATAGGCCGTAATCATTAAGAATAACAGTCACACATACACAGGTACATGGTTCAGTTTTAGTTCCACTGCATACACCACAAACTGTTCTAGGTTTGAGCAAAGCTCAGTGAGAGACACGGTTAATAGAATCTGATCTCACAAAGTAAGCAAGCAGCAAACTCTTTTACTTAGAACATGCTGTCCCAGAATTCAACCTGAGTACCGAAACCAAACTGACCATAGCGATCTTGAACCAAGCTCAAGCTCTATACCCCTGCGAAAATGGTATAAATTTGAGCTGATGAAGGCACCATTAACCATCCAGCCAAGGAATCCATACATTAATCTTCCAACTACTAGAATCTAATTCAATCATCTCTCTGTTGTCCAACATATCAGAAGTAAAACAAGCTAAATCCCAATTCCCAACCCTAGAACCCATGTCAAAGATGGAAACTCTGTAACAGAAGAACTCATCTTTGTGGATTGGGCTATGTATAATCAAGGTTATAGAACACAGCATTTGGACACAACAAACCTGCATTGCCATAAACCCCGAAACCCAAAATCTTACGAGTGGCGAGAAGATCCAATTTCAAAGTAACAAAGGAACTAACTGATTAAGCTTTCTGTGGAAGTATCAACGGACCTCCCCTGGTTTCCTTGTCATCCAGTAGCCTCTGCACCCTCTTCTCCTTACAATACAGCCTATCGAAATGCTTCACCTAATCAAATCAAACACCAAATTCCCACAAACCAAGCTTTAGATGGAGAAAAATTGGATTTCAACTAGCCATGGCGATTAGTTCAGTTCAGTTTTGTACCCAAGAAGGCCGGCAGCTGTTCTCGTAGGCAAGCCTCGCTTTCTTGCACTCCGCCGGGTAGAGCAGCCCGACGCAGCCGAGTTCCGTCGGCTTCTTGTCCGATTGATTCTTCACGCAATCGTAGAAAGCATCGCGAGCCTGCCAAGTTTCCCTAGATTTGTGACATTAATTCTTCCTACCAAAAATGAACCGATTGAAACGGGCAAAAAAGGTGGTGGGAGGGAGAAAATCGAACCTTGTAGCAAGCTTGTCTGGCTTGAAGGAGAACGTCGGTGTGGACTTGATCAGGGTTTCTCGATGCGTAGGCTTCCGACGCCATTGATGAATTGATCTTTGCAGCTCCAGAGAAAGAACGAATGAAAAAAATTCGCGACACCGACACCCAAACCCGCCGGCGAGAGTGAAGGTAGGAGTTTCTGAAATTGGGCTGGACTTCACCGGCTAACGCATGAGCCTGGGCTTCGCTGAAACTATCAAGTGGGTGGAGCACACTAGGCCTGATGGTAGTGGGCCTCAGGTTTGTCATGGCGGGCTGGGTTTGCTTTATAAATTATATCACAAACAATTTGGCAATCTCTTTGCGTTGTGTCATTGGCTTGCCGAACTTTGCCTAGTTGAGTAAAGGGTTAATATTTTCGTATAACCTGAATTTTGACCAAAATAAACATTCTGGCCAATTTTTTTGATCTATAACATCCTGGTCTGAACTATACACCAAAATAAACAATTTGGCCAGATCCTACTTTTGACCGTTAACTTGGACGGTCAAACGCGTTGATCGTTAATCAACGCGCCATGTCACTGCCAAGTCAGCATAAAATATTTCAAATAATTCACAATTTCCACACATTCCCTAATTTTAAATTATTATAAATTAAAAAAAATCATCTAATACCTTAGTTAAACCAAAAATAAAAAACAAAAAAATTAAATATTTATCAGATCTTCTGACTTGGCAGTGACGTGGAGCGTTGACCGTTAGTCAACGCGTTTGACGTCCAAGTTAACAGTCAAACATCGGGTTTGGCCAAATTGTTTATTTTGGTGTATAGTTCGGGCCATGATGTTATAGATCCAAAAGATTGGCCAGGATGTTTATTTTGGTCAAAGTTCTGGCCATACGAAAATATTAACCCTTGAGTAAATGTTAGGGTAACCAAGTAACAAGAAGTGAGTTATTGGTGAAATGTCCTTATATCATCTTTAGATGGTGAGCTTGATCCCTACTATAAACAAAAATATGATTTATTTACTTTTGTTTAACAAAACTTGCATATATCTTGTGACAAATCCAAAACCGTTTCCCTCTGCGAGAGAAAATATAAACTCGTGTGACAAATTCGATTAATCTGATTAAGAGGGAAAAAAACAAGAATGAGAGTCTAAGCAGGTGATGACCTATCTACTATGGGGAGGAGAAACAAAGTAATACTCATTTAACATACTGAACGACAAAATAAGGACATGAGGAGCCGCTAAACGAGTCACCCAGTTCCCTAGACGATCAACGAAACTAATACAATAACCATAGGCGACGTAAACTCTTGTTTTTTAGACAATAAAGAATATTCAGCTGGTTTGACTTATAGAAGAGAAATAATTCATTGTTTGTTTACCATTATGGAAGGTAGGGGGTGTGCAACGGTTGGGTCTGTACCGGATCGCACCAGATCAAATTGTAGCTTGCACTAGATCATATCGTATCAAATATGATGTTGTTCGATCATTGGTTTCGTGAAATTTTATAAATACCGAATAAAAATGGACCAAACGCATTGTTGATCTGGTTCTTAATTCTACGATATCATTCATTATTGGACAATTGCTCTCATTAATTTGATCCAATGCGGACCGGACACTGCACACCTCTGATGAAAGGTAAATAAATATACCTTTCTACATCTCAAGCCTTATAGCTTTTAAGATGGTGCAATAGTCGCCCTAGCAAGGACTCACCTAGGGCCATTAGGACTCGGTGTCAAAACCGTTGTCACCTCTATTACCAAAATCGCACGAAAAATGGTCACTTCGCATTTATTAATAGTACTTAGAGATAATATTTCACTTGTACTTTGGGATACCCAATTCGCTTCTCACAATTAACACAAGGGATTTGTCGTTCTCAAAGCAGATATTTGTATGTGAATTGGGTTGGGTGATTTTTGGTGATGGGTGGTTCGGTGGGTTAGGTAGATTCACAAAATACATTCTAAAATCTCACATTATTTTAAATCTAATATGAAAGAAATCTCCAAACTAAATAATGTTTAATCCTTAATCATATATGCATCATTGGGCTTACAATATACCAATGTTAATTGTTTGCAAATCACAAAATATTCAAATGATAAACATGATCTAAGCACAAGCATAACAAAATAAAAAAAATAAAGATGAAGTTTCAGCATAAATCTAGCTAATTGTGCGAGTCTTTGAGTCAATACCCTCGCTAACACTTATGAAATGAACGAGATAACAATTTATAAGTCAAATTAGTATAAATAACAAGGAATTGCAGAAGGAAGTGAACACATGATATAGATTTTCAACCATGGAAACAAATTAGACTTTGCAATTATCCTTTATAACCATAACTTTGTGAAGATATATATTCAGAATTGGGAGGACGTGATATATAGAGATTTGAGAAGACCTTTAGATCGAAATTGGGGGAGATTATTGCGAAGGTACTAGATTTGGCGTCGAGTGACCCACCAATTTGTTTGTAGAAATCATATATGGTACTATACTAGACAAGGAGGCGACTGGTCTATTATATCATAGGTCTCCATCTCGTCGTCCTTTGCCTCATTGCCTTGCAAGCTTCATTACCATCAATATATGGTACACTCTCTCTTCCCCACTAACACTCATGTCATTGGGTTTTCTTCTCCTCAACTCTTATCCAAAACTTTATCCGTTTATAGCAGCACTCAACTACCATTCCAAATGGAGAAAATTTACACATTACCCTTTTGATTCTTACTTTGAACCCTAAAACTAGGAATGGCAATGGGCAGGTCCGGGGCGGTTATCTCGATACCCATACCCGCCCCATGGCAGGTCGGGTCCAGGTCGGGTAATTTATTACGGGGCGCGGGTCGGGGCAGGTCGACCCATTGGGTATGTAATTTATGTGAAAAACATTAGAAATATTCGTTCTTTTCATTGAAAGACCAAGAAAGAAACCATAATATGATAAAATGTAGTTAAATTATTGAAGAAATTGAGGTTTTCACTTATTTACAACTTTATTATAGCTAAAATATAATGTAATAAGAGGAAAATCTTAAGTAATTTCACTAAGATTAAATGTAATTTAGGCAAGAACGGGTCGAGAATGGGGCGGGTCAGGGCAGGTCGGGTAGATGAGAGGTACCCATGCCCGCCCCGCCCCGCCTACGAGGCGGGTTTGACCTGCCCCAAAACAGGTCAAACAGGTCGGGTAAATCGGGTCAGGTCGAAATTGCCATCCCCTAAAACATATGCACCCAACTCATGTTTCCACACATATGTTATTGTAAAACGTGTTTATGTATATGAGTGGTTGAGGATGGTTTGATTGTTTGACCTTTTCCAAAGGGCAAGAGCTTTGATTCCTTGCTCTTTCTTCTTTGTCGGCCATTGAATTGAAGACCTAACTTTTATGTATATCACTCACAATAAACTCTTAAGGCCAAGTAACAAAAAAAAACCCCTAAAAATGTGTATGTAAAATGCTGAAGTACATAAAACAAATGTAATAGCTACTAGCTAATGGATGAAAATGGAATAAGAAAAGAGAATCAATAAGAGGAGCAACACATGAGCCGCCGATATAGAGGGAAACAAGCATAGAGAGGGGAAATGAAGCCTCTTGCATAACGTACAAGAAGATGTAAAGGCTCAGAGAGTAGCAAAGACAGATTCAGACAAATGTAATTGACAGGAAAAGAAAGCAGAAGCCTCTTGCAGAACGTACAAGAAGATGTAAAGGCTCAGAGAGTAGCAAAGACTGATCCGAACAAATGTAATTGACAGGAAAAGAAAGCAGAAACAGAACAAAGACATATAGGGAGAACATATGTATTGACGAAAGGCATTGAATCCTAAATTTAGGTTTCATAAATAATTATCTTTTCGTGTTGAAGTTACGGTTGTAAACTTCTAATGAAAAAAAACTTTATGATAACTCATGCATAGAGGGTTTTGTCAATGGTGCTCTACATAATTAGTGCTAATGATGATTTTGTGTTTAAAACACATAGTCTTAACAAATAGCCAATTCCAGGTCCAACTTGTAACCCTTCTAGCTTATAGGACTCTTAAATGGACCACAATCATCAATCAAATTCGAGGTAAGCCAAAGATAAGCTTAGGGGTCGAAAGATACTTTAAGTATGAAAAAAACATCATCAATGTCTATATGTAAGATTAAAAAAATAACATTGAATTACCCCATGAATTGACCACTTGTTGATTGATTAGTGGTACAACCACATCGGTCCTCTCCAAGGACAGAAGCCATTAAGTTTGCCCTAAAAAACGGTACAAATCACATAATTAAACAAACCATCTAATCTCATCGTACATAAAGGATTAATGAATGGAAGGCATCAATTATAAATTAGTACGATCAGGATTGGGTCCAAATCAGATTATTTAAATTCCTTTACGACCATTGTTAAATGTATACGATAATATATTCGAAATTTCACGACAATATCATTAGTTTTATCTTAACATAAATATTGAATAATTCTCATATTTTAAAAAGATTTGACGTATCATATTGAAAGAGGATGAATATGTAGATCCTCGTTTTTTCGCTCCCTTTAGATATCATTATGACTTCAATCTTTCACGTAACCTAAACTCTATGTTGCTCATCTCCCCTCCTCGCTATCGTCCCCCTCTACCTCTCTACTCATCGACAACATTCCTATTAAGATCACAACATATATGAGGATAAATGTCTCTTCTCTCTTTCTCTTGCTCATCCTATTTGATCTCACTTCTAATATCACATCCTCGAATAAATTTTTAGACCCCAATATATTTTTTTTACTCTACACGATGAAACAATTACACATGATAAGATTAAAGAGAGAATATATTTTCGTCTATGCAATCATGTCAAAAATTTCACCATTTGTTTTCAACACATTATCGTGAAATTCATCTAACCCAACAAAAATATGTCATCATGGCCGTAATGTTTGACCAAGTACTAAACCAGAAGACAAGAAGCCTATGAGATGGGACAACAAATTTAAGACAAAGGACAATCAACTTTATACGATGCATAGAAATGAGAATCTTTTATGAAATTGAAAAAGTAATTATACTAGTGCTATTAACATTAAACATGTCGAATATAATTTTATTTTAAGTAATAATTAGTAAGATTGGTCTCCTTCGTTGAGGAATGTTGATAGGATAATTGAGAATATATAAAAGTTTCGTTTGATTAGAATGTGCAAACTGCAAACCTAAGTTAGTGGAAAATGACAAGTAGAAATGCATAAATATCTAGAATTTAAATAT